CAGAGGGAGTGTTGGCCACGAGTCGTACGCCGTCCTTGCGGGAAGATCCACGCTGGGCTGCAATGATGGAGGATTTCAGCAAGACATGCTCCTTCAACTCGGCCAGGGCGTTGTCGTAAATCTGGGAGTTGTAGTGAGTGGCACTCCGAACCGCTGCCCCGGTGTACTCCGCCAACTCAACGTGATTGCCGTCGTTGAAGATGGCCAGCGCCGTGGCGTCCAGGGGATTGCCAGGGGTCGCTGGCCACCACAGACCTGCCTCAGCCGATCCAGAGGAGAGATTCTGCTTCGCGGCAAACTCCGGCCAGGTCAGAAGCAGCTCTTTGGGCACATTGTCCGGCAGGTTATTGAGATCGTCGAGGAAAGGATACTTGCTGAGCATGGCCACATAGTCGCCCTCGATAGTCGGCCGGGTGTAGTTGGTAAGGGCCACTTTTTTGGTAAAGTCGTAGTACTTCGGGTTTCCGAAATCCGCGGGCTGAAAAGGCGCCAGAGGCGAGTTTAATCGCTTGAAAAAGTCACGGACGACGGGGATATTTTCGTGGAGCTGCACGCCAATGTCGATGCTGGCCCCCGTGGCCTCGTCGCGGAAAGTCCGGGTGTGTCCACCAAGTCGGTCCGTCACTTCAACCACGGTGAAGGTCTTGTTCTGATCAGCGAGACTGATTGCTGCATAGGTGCCTGCTGCTCCTCCGCCGATGATGGCAAAGTCCCGCTCGATGACGTCCTCTGCAGCATATGCCGACGGGTCGAATCGGTGAGAGTGGACACGGGCAGCCAGGGCCGCGGCGACGAAGAAACAGGTAGTCAACATGTTGGAACGATGAATGGAACCAATGGAGACTGGCACTGCAGGTGCTGCGAGCGCCTTTTATACAAATACATCCTGGGGCTCTGACTTACTTTCCTCCGCAAGAAACTCCGGTGTCAGGCCAGGGGGCGGAGGGAGGGTCGATGCAGCCCCCAAGTGGAGTTTGCCCCCAGTGGAGTTTGCTGCAAGTAATTAAGTAAGCACGGCTGAAATAAACAACTTACTTGCATAGATCTCACGGGCTAATGAAGCCTGCTAAGCACTGCCTCGTTGTACAGGAATAATCTTCAAACGATCTGCCGGCCTTTGTAATAGAATGATTTTTGAACCATACACGGCATGTATTCCTGGATTTACTTGTCTCAATCATTTATAAGAAGCCCAAAAATATTTCTTCCAAGCATTGACAAGCCCCCCGGCCCCCCGGCTGCACTCTGCAAGTAGGATATTAGCTATATCCCTCACTATACTAGGTCGGGGAGCTGGTCTACGCGTATCTATAGAGATTATCCACCGTAGGAGTGAACTTTCTTTATTTGGAATCAACTTATGATTATTGGCGCGTGTATTACGGCGAAGAATTTTGCCTTTGCATCGGTTTTGACGAGTTGTCTAAGGCACTTGAAATCGGCGCGTAGCTTCCTTGATCGATGAATTTCCTTGTTCTGATACGCTTGTATTGCGGTACTGATCCTTCCCTCTTGCTCGATGGAGTTTCGTGAATTTTTATTGCGAATTGGAGACCTGGTGGAAAGTTGAAGTAATGCAGTTAACGCGTTGGGGCGCGATCGCGTTTTCCGATCGACCTGCTTACACGATCGACTCGCTTATGAGATACGTTACCTACGTGTGGGTAGGCGTGCCCGTTTGTAGCTGAGCACGGCTACGGAGTACCGGTAGCATCTATTCACCAATCACTACTATAATTCTTACCCCCGAGCTTCTTCCATTTGCGCAAGCTTGTATGCTTGATCGACCTGATACAGTTGTGCAAGAGGATAAAGCACCTTCCCACGCTCATCAATTCTAACAAAATGTGTTTAATATGTCAGGGGTTTAGCGACTGCTATAACCAGGCAATTCACCTGGCCTAAATGCTATTGAACCTTCCTGGCTATGGCTAGAACGATATATGACAAAAAGGGTGCGCCGAAATCACGAGCAGAGGTAATTCGTGTATAGGGTAAGGCATAGAAGGCGCTAACATAGGAGCGTACTCTACAGTGGATTACCTAGGTAAACGTTTACCTAGGCATATTAAAGATATAATAGCGCTAGAGGAAATTGATAAGTATTGAGAGGGTAGGAATCACCTATAATAGTGGATGTGCATATACAGTGTGAATACACATCAAGTTCGAACTAAGTATTTTGAGAAAAGCAATCATGAAAGAACTATTGAAATAGACCTCCGTATATATCTGATACGGTCGAAGCTCTGTCGCTAGTGCGATTTCAATATTCTAACGCAACATTCCCTTCACATTTTCTTCACAATTTTACTCTGCCTAGTCTGCATCCTTTCCCCATCAGCTCGCATCTTAATTGCTCAGATGCCTCAGCAGAAGAAATCTTCGCTCAAGACTTATTTTGACGAGCTAGAAGAGACCAATAGCGATGACGAATACAAGGCCTAGTCAAGTAGAGCTTTTGACTTAAGGGCTGAGCTGGCAGTTTTTGTCGCTGGGCGGCGGGAGGAGGGGAACCGGAAGCTATGTTGGTTTTCTTAAGGGTTCCTTGAACTTAGCTTCTGCTTCAGCTTCGGCGATGCACGGCCGAATGTCATTATTCGGTTTCCGAAGCCGGGACTCACGGCTACAGCTTATAGGGACGGAAAAAATGTGAATGAGGTCCAGATCATGGAATACCTCTACCAAAACACTGATATCCCTATTCCTCGTGTTCACAGCTAGGGCTTGATTACCAAGAGTTCACAACATTTTGGTCCATTCATCATCATAGGTTATGTCAATGGTACACTTTTATCGACTATCTTGAAACAACCCGATCGAGAAAATATGGTTCCGAACCCGAACATCGACAAAGATCTATCATTAAATCGCCTATCCTATGTTCTAACTTTGTTAACTAGAGTTTTCTAGTATCAGGTCCATCTCGGAGGACCATACTTCAGGTGCATGGCACCTTGCCGGAAGACCCTTTACGTACAACATAAACGAGTTAGCCACTGTCGCCGGCTACCGCAATGGTCAATTTCTAAGCGCGCCGTTTGACCGTGCAAGCGGTTATGTGAGGTCGGTCGTGAACGAGCACTTAATCCACCTTTAGACCCAGCGTACCCTTGCTAACGAGGTGGAAATCGCTCAGGAGCGGTTCATTGCCCGTCATCGGTTCGCACAGCTGGTTTCAAAGTACTATCCTAAGGACTACGGGCTATTTATACCCTTCTACGACGACATGCGACCCTCAAATATGCTTATAGACAAGAAACACTCTGGATCACTACAATTCTCGATTTTGAGTTCACGAATGACATGCCAGCTGAGTTTACGTATGACCCGCCTTAGTGGCTGTTGCTCTCGGGTCCGGAAGGCGCTACGCGATGGAAGAGTTTTTGACTCTCTATGAGCCTAGAATGGAGCAAATCTTACGAGCTTTAGAGCGAGTGGAAATTGAAATGGTATTAGAGGTCATACAGCCCGGTGGACCGTCTCTCTCTGCCCGGATGCGCGATTCATAGAGGACTGGTCGATTTTGGTTCGACTATGCGGCAAGAAAGAGCTTTGATGTAGACACTATCTGTTGGGCTGCTTTACATAACGACGGTGCGGGTGTTTAGATGCCTGATGATAAGGCGCGTGCAGAGATGGAGCCATTTACGCAGATTAAGATAGAGTAGGTGAAGGCATATAAGGAGGAGTGTACTGCTCGTTTTTCCTCGGAAATCTAGAGGATATGTAGCAATATCGTCTGATCTTCCATCGATGTCATTTTTCCCTACATTCATCAAAAATCTTGTTTCCTTCCCCTTTACTATTTTGAGGCGCATTTCGAGGCATATATGTTTACCGCATTCTATCAAAAAACTAAAATTTATAGTATTTTATAAAGCTTCCTCGTCGGATTTGCCCACCACCGAAGCTGCACTTTATATACAACCCTTTCAAAGTCACAAGCTTCATAACGTAAGCCTCGATCAAAGGACGCGCAATTGGAAGGCGGTGCAGAAGTGCTGGGAAGGGAAGGTGCGATAAAGCAGAACCCAAACACAAACGCGATGGCCTCTCAACACTTTCCACTGTCTGGTATCCAAGACCAGCCAGCCATGTCAAGTCGACGCGGAGAATTGACTTCAGCATCCTCCAGCTCAGGATAATTATCATCTTCGACCTTCCGCCTCATCCACCGGGGCGAGTCAGCTTTCATCCATTTCCTCTATTTCTCATTCGACATCGTCCAACCTCGCTAGCACCAACAGCGCCAGTAGCTCGTCGATCTACTCCGAACTCCTGCTGTCTGGGCTGTTTGTGCTTCCTAATTGTCCACGCCAAAGCAATCCTTCGCTAGGGGAACTGAGACGGGCCATCTCGCTTAAACAACAACGATCTTGGTCGCCTACGAAGATTGATAGACGCCAGGCTCAAAAACCTTATAACAGCGTTGTTATAGTTGAATGTCATTAACGGAATTTTTACTGAAAGCATGATACCCGGGTATAAAAGAGCTGTTGGAACAAAGACTTCCACATCATCTCTAAAAATTCCTTGAAAGTACAACAGACCTCGGACTTCAAGCTTCAAGCTTCTTCATCTGTCCTCATTACTCTACAAAGGCGAAGGACTCGTTCAGCATCGGATCTCTCGTCCCTTTCATCTCCTCTCTACAAGACCATACCTTTGAGACACTACTAACCCATTTCATCACTAGTACAGAATCAACAGTTCAAACGGACCCTGCCAAGCCGAGCTAATCCGTGCTTTGCTTGGCATTTGTGAAGCGAGAAGAGCGGAATGGATCGTCCACCAAGTAGCCAAAACGTTTAGTCCTCATTTGGACGACTCAAAGACACTATCAGGCGAGTTCATTAAACTATTTCAGCCACCAAACCGCAGCCCCCATACATCATGGCAACCGAGCCTCCCTTTTCTCTTGAACTCAATATATTTACTTTCACCCCGAAACATTTCGATTATCCAAAGGCTGCTGCATTTCCATAGAGATCGCAGATATGCCGGAAGTTATGTTATACGGTGGACCGTTCACATTTTCCAATTATGGTCCTCTGACAACAACATACACTCCACCGCCGAGTTGCACTGCAACTGATAGGCTCCATCTTGGCCAGGTGACATCCGGATTTCCGCGCGTTTACCTCGCTGTGAAGTGCTCTTCGCAAAGCCAATGGGATTGTGTTCCTACTGGCACTTCCACCTCAGCGACAACATACGACGATCTCAAATATGTCGGGAGCGCAGGATATTACTCGCCGGGTCTGTATTGCCCTTCTGGGTGGTCCACAATGGGCTTGGCCACGCGGGACGAACACGGTTCTGTCAGTACATCGGGCTATCTAGTCACGACCGCTAAAAAAGTGCCTTATTATGAGGAGCCGGCCACTTTGCTAGCTAGTATGTTGAAGCCGAGCGAAACGATGGCGCTTTGCTGTCCGAGGTATGTTTTGAAATTCTTCATTGATGTCCAATATCCAGACTAGACGAGATTTCCCCGAACTAAATCAATTCATAGCGGGATGAAGCCCGACGGCTTGGGATCATGCTTTTCTACGGTCGCAGACTACAAACCGAGCGTGGGCTGCACGACTAGCGAGGACCTCGACTATGATTGGCAGGAAATTACTCGGACAGCCACCTACTCTGGAAGTGCTGTTACACAAGTCTTTGAGCATGCTTCTATATCTACTATCTCTGTAGAAACGACAACAACAACTTTGGAACCCGGGGAGGAAAGATTTCTGACTGGGATCGAGATCGTCCCTATTATTACAATCGTGCATCACCGATCCGATCTTCCGGCGGGAAGTTCAGCCACAGCTAAAGCCACTGGAACAGGCTCCACCGAGACTGCGTCTAATAGTGGAGGGTCTTCTGCTACCGCTGCTTCCACGTCAAATGCTGCGGTTAGATTGGGTTCGCGTTCTTCTTGGGAAGGACTCGGTGCTGTTGTTGGGATCTCTATGGCTGCTATGGCTGTCGGTGCTGCCATGATACTTCCATGGTAGACTGGAGATTGGATAGAAGCTTATCGCCGCGAAGATCAAAACGATCGGGTGTACACTACTTGAAATCGCTCGGGGGGTGTCTAGAATATCAAAGGATCCACTTGTGGGGAGTTATGTCGCAAAGATGCACCTGGTTTGCATCAGGAGGAATTTTCCATTCCACGAGATCAGACGTGAGGTAAAATTCATGTTATTTTTCCTAATTGGGATGATCCGCAGTGCTATTCTGCTTTAAAGCGGCGCCTCTATATATCCCATTCTGGCGACCCCAGAGTCCTCTTCCACTCCTTTTTGGGGGCAATTGTGCCTCGTACCTACAAATAATCAAATGACACCATTTTTTTGGTTCTTTCTTATTGCATGTCTTGAAGTCCTTGATTTCTGTTTCTCCTAGAACATTCTGCTCAAGGCCGTGTGCTGTTTTGGACTTACTCAACGAACATCCCAACTAAATCGAAATCCACTCTTTCAGTCTAGCAATATTTTTTATTCAAACCCAAATCAAAATTAACCATTTAGTTGTGTATGAGTGGTTTCTTGAAAAAGGCCATCTAAGAGAAGTAAGCAAGAAGTAAACCCCGAGGTCTGCATACATCGGGGAAATTCCATCCGGAAATTCCCCGTGGTTTTGCCGCGGTGTCAAGGAAACTTCCAAACGCAACCAAAGGGGCAATGAACATCGCAGTGGGATCCAGAATTGAGGCAATAGTCCATTTAACTGGCTCTCTGGCCATCAAATCCCCGTCAAAATCTCGGCCAAATGTATTTGGAGCACATTACGTTATGTTACTTATATAAAAGTGTCGATGCCCCGTGGGAGTAATATCAATTGGAGGAAAATATCTACATCATGAAGCCGACAACTGCATTCCCCCTCATTTTAGCAACAGGGACGGCATCTGCTGTCGTGGGCCGGGAAACAACTTCCATTAATTATAACTCAGCACCGCCAAATCTTTCAACATTAGCTAATGCTTCACTGTTCGATACATGGAGACCCAAAGCCCATGCCCTTCCTCCATTTGGGAAAATAGGCGATCCTTGCATGCAATATACAGATCCTAAGACAGGACTGTTCCATGTGGGATGGCTTCATAATGGTATTTCAGCCGCCACAACAGATGATCTCGCTACATATACAGACGTCAACCCCGATGGAAACCCATCGATTATCGCAGGTGGAGAAAACGACCCCCTTGCGGTGTTCGATGGCTCCGTGATCCCCAACGGAATTGATGGCATGCCCACTCTCTTGTATACCTCTGTCTCCTATCTCCCAATTCATTGGTCAATCCCTTACACTCGTGGAAGCGAGACCCAATCCATTGCTGTCTCATATGATGGTGGTCACAATTTCACCAAGCTCAGCCAGGGTCCCGTCATTCCCTCTCCTCCTTTTGCCGTTAACGTCACTGCTTTCCGTGACCCTTACGTCTTCCAAAACCCGACTTTGGACGAAACTCTGAACAGTACCAAAGATACTTGGTACACCGCCATTTCTGGCGGTGTCCACAATGTCGGTCCTTGTCAGTTCCTATATCGGCAGCATGACCCCGACTTCCAATACTGGGAATATCTTGGGCAATGGTGGAACGAGCCCGTCAACAGTACTTGGGGAAATGGCGAGTGGGCCGGTGGATGGGGCTTCAACTTCGAGGTCGGCAATGTCTTCAATCTGAATGAGAATGGGTATAGCGAGAATGGCGAGATCTTTGTAACTCTCGGAACAGAGGGTTCTCAAGCTCCTGTTACTCCTCAAGTTTCCTCCATTCATGATATGCTGTGGGTTGCCGGCAATGTCACCAACAACGGCTCTGTCTCTTTCAAACCAACCATGGCCGGTTTCCTTGACTGGGGCTTGTCTGGTTACGCAGCAGCAGGAAAGATCTTGCCAGCCAGCTCTCAAGCATCCACCAAAAGTGGCGCCCCCGATCGCTTCATCTCATACGTTTGGCTGACTGGAGATGAGTATGAGCTTGCGAAGACCTTCCCCAACGCTCAGCAAAATTGGACCGGGACAATGCTATTCCCGCGTGAGCTGAATGTTCGCACTATTCCCAATGTGGTAGACAACAAGCTTTCCCGTGAATCGCCATCTTCTTGGCGCGTGTCTCGCGAGTTCTCTGACCAAGTTGACCTTGAGACAATGGGAATATCAATTGCCAGAGAGACCTACAGTGCTCTGATATCCGGGCAATCATCTTCCGAGGCAGGCCGGACCTTGTCCCAGGCTGGTTCTGTTGCATTCGAGAACTATCCCTCGAGCAAGTTCTTCGTATTGACTGCGAACATCTCTTTCCCAAGCTCGGCCCGTGACTCTGAAGTTCGATCGGGCTTCCAGATCTTGACCTCTGATCTCGAGTCGACGACTATCTACTACCAGTTCTCCAATGAGTCTCTGATTGTCGATCGTACTAACACAAGTGCTGCGTCTAAGACTACTGCTGGGATCAGCAGTGAGAATGAGGCTGGTCGCTTGCGGCTGTTTGATGTTTTGCGTGACGGAAAGCAGCAGATCGAGACATTGGAGCTTACTGTTATTTTGGATAACGGAGTGCTCGAAGTCTATGCCAATGGACGCTTTGCACTTAGTACTTGGGCTCGGTCTTGGTATTCGAATTCTACCGGTATCAGCTTCTTCCACAACGGTGCGGGTGAGGCGACATTTGGAAATGTCACAATCTTTGAGGGATTGTATGATGCTTGGCCTCAAAGGAGCTGAACATAGAATGCGTCACCTGAGAGAATGATTTTTTAATTCCAAGCCATATACCTCAATGACTGGGAGCTCCTACAACAAATAGATTCATTTGTGATAACATATTGTTACCACTGGCTCTAGAAAACAATGTACCACGCTTCATTCTAACCAGATCCAGGAATAGAGTGCATTTTTAGACCTGAAGACACCCAGTCCCAAAGCTAGGATATTCTAAAGCCACAGTTAAAAGAGATAGAAGCGTCAGTGTATGCCTGAAAAGAGCGAAAAAGTAGAAAAAGGACTGGAAAAAAGACCCCTAGCAGGACAGAAAACATCTCCAAATAAAATGGCAAATAGACAAGACATGTATGTACAACTAAACAATGGCAATAAGCTTTCTATTTTGTACGAGACGGGCCGCAACCAGAAGCGCACCACCTAGCAACAATGATATACCCGAGAACAATGAGAGCGAAAGATATCCATATTTCTCAACGAGCGCACCGCTGATGGGAACATTTGCCATAGCACTGTAGACTGAGTTAGCCTCTTCAAGCATGATATCAAGGAAGGTATATCTTACGACAGAGCTGTGGACCCCGACACGCTACCAATCGCCAAGCCGAGTGTGCCAGAAGTTGCAACCTGTGCGGCACATGCTTGCTGCAGTGATAGAATGCCCTACCTTCTATTAGCATGTTGACATTCAAGAATTCTTGGCAATAGCTTACCCCGGACGCGAATCCATATGCAGCCGACCACAGTATAAGACCAGCCACAGATGTCACCTTAGTCCAACACAAGGCAATAACACCCGCGGAGAAGGTCGCCAAGATACAGCAGTTGAACTTCCCGTATTTATCCGCCACGATACCAGGGAGAATTCGACCAAAGAACGAAGCACCATTCACAATGGAAACAGTATAGAACGCGAGGGTCGTAGAAAATCCCTTCTCAACGGCGTATGATGTCGTGTAGAAAAAAGGCGCAAACATGCCGAAATATATAACGAACATGGCGAGGCATAACAGTTGCAGTGCAGGCTGTCGAACAAGAGCTAGGGTTTGTGCTTTTCGATCATGCTGTCCAACATGTTCTTCCAATTTGCTCTCTTCCTTTTCGAGCCTTTTCTCTCCACTTTCCACATTCTTTGACGATGCATCTGGAGACTGCGCAGCCACACAAGTGAAGATAAAGAGAGGAATCATGATAAAGCCGACGATTCGCATAGTCCAGGGAAATCCGATCTTGGGACTTTTGAGCAATCTGTCGATGATAATCGGCCAGATCACGCCACCCATCGATGAGCCTGCAAGAACAATTCCCATTGCCGCTGCACGTTTGATTTTGATGTATTGCCCAACCAAAGCAAGCATAGGCCATGTCGCAAGAGCCATGGAAATACCCAATAACACACCTTGGGCGAGGAGGAATTGGTAGAATTCTTGGCATAGCGAGATCATCATGAGTGCGAAGACCGTGCCTAAGGATCCGAGATACACCATGAGCTATTGATGGAATGTTTAGTTAATATCCATTGCCAAGTGTTGATTAGATGAATTTTACCTTTGGTCCAAAAATGTCTAGCATTGCTCCTGATACAACGGATATACTAAATAGAAAGAGGATTGATATAGCTCCGAGCCATGCGATTGTAGATGTGGAGCTCGATGCGAGTTGATTTTGGGCGTAATACTCTTGGAAAATTCCGAATGAGTTCATAAATCCCACAGTACAAAATGTACAAGTAAAAGCACCGAATATGACGAGCCATGCCCGGGGCCTGAAAGTGTCAGTATTCAAACATCTTGTAAGTAGAAAGTATCACACGCACGTATACTCCCTTGGGGTGTCATCTTTCGTCAACATTTTGAAGTTGATATTGGGATGATACCCAAGATGAAAGTGTGATTTGATCTAAAACATAATCAACGGCAGATTATTCTTCTCCTTTATACTAAATCTTTATGTTCGCAAAGCTCGTGTTGGTGTTCTCGGAGACTCCGGTGTTGATATTGCTTGGAGGGAGGCGGCCGAATCGGGTTTAGCGCATGTCGGAGACTCCGCGGAAGCTCCGAGCTGACAACCCAATCCGATCTAACGCTACATTTCTCGCGATTGTCGAATGCCTTTCACCAAGAGAACACTCGATTTTGATGATAACCCTATTCATTGTTGAGCGCATGGAAGCTCAACGTCATGAAGCGAATCTCAGGGGCTGATATCGCCGCTTCAAATCAAGCACCGAAGAGACAATCTCGACAAGACCCAGTTTCATGCGAATTATGTCGAAAGAAAAAACTAAAGTGCGACAGAGGCCTCCCATGCAACAGCTGCTGTACACGCAGAACAGAATGCAACTACGGTAGCTACCGCTCGGGGGTGAGCAACTCCGTGCCACCTCAGAGCCAAACAGAAGAGAGACCCTTGTTGGACCGAGTCTCCGAGCAACCTCGAACTTTAAGGTGGAACCCGCGACAGGATGCGTATCCACAGGCCCGGAACAGGAACGAGCCTCTCCAAACAGCAGATCGGCTCGAATCCATCGTTATGGGGCACCGGGTCCCGACTGCTGTCCCTGCCACGTTGAGAGCTGAGCTTTCCCATCGTCGGGATGTGGAACATTCGGTGTCGCAGCATACAACTCCTAGTAGCCAATTTGGTATGGCACAGGGGCTAAAAATCGCTTCCAGTGAGAATCCCGCGACTGTCCATCTGCCCTCTTTCCTGCCGCCACTTGCAGAAGTTATGGGTCTGTTTCGATATTATTGCGACTATCTTGACTTCCAGTATCATCTCATCATTCCCCATATTGTGGAACAACAGATACAGAAGATATACGATTCTGTCGCCCAAAATGAGCAAATTGATTTGGCCCAAACTGCTTTGCTTTTTAGTATCGTTGCATCTTCGCTATATTACCAACTTCTAGGCGAAGCATCGGGACATGCAGAGCAAGTTAGCCAAGAAGCTACGTTTTTGGCAGGATCTGCCCTAATTCAAGGAAATTATATTGCGTATCCCAGTATTGAAGGGCTCCAAGCGACGATGATTATCGGCCACCAATTGTCGAATATGAATCTGCCTCCCTCAGTCAGCTCGCTGTTTGTGCACCGGTCATTCGTCAGCCAGGCAACCAGTATGAGACTTCATCTAGTTGATTCCCCTCACTTCATTAATGAGCGCACATCCACACAAGCTGATACAACAAATGTTGAACTGAAACGCCGCTTATGGTGGGATTTGGCAACGTACGACTGGTACGTTAACTCGAAAACTCTCACTGGGCTTATCATTAACAAAATATCCAAGGCTCATAAGCTTTCTGAGTGGGCCTCAAGAATGGACTTACTCAATTCAACCTGAGCATATGGTCGTTCAAGAGCCTCTCAATATAGAAGACGAAGACATTGATCACATCCAAACCAGTCTTCCGCTTTCCACCCCAACGAAAATGTCATATAGTTTATGCCGATCAAAGTTGGCTGTCGTGTGTCGCCATATTGTGGATGAAACCTCATTCTACCACCTCCACGGTCAAGAAGTACCCTATGACAAAATTCTCGCGCTCGATCGGAAACTCCACAACATCTGCGCCGAAATCCCGAATTTCTTCCGCTTTGATCAGGCATCACGACGTGAATATTCAACTCTCTATCGTGACCGACCAACTCTCGCATGGCAAAGATCCCTCGTACAACAAGGCTACCACTCTCGCTTATGTCGCCTGCACCGCCACTACTTCGTTCGTGGGGCGAAAGATCCCAGATACTCCTATTCACACGTAGTATCTCTTCAATCTGCTCGCAAGGTGCTCGAGATAAAACGCATGATGGATGAAGACGAGCCCGTTTTCAACCCTCACAGCTCGGTCATCTGGGCGGTTATGCACCACGTCTTCATGGCAGCGGTTATTCTCCTGATAGATGTTTGTTTCAACTGGGATGATATACTAGCCGAAAGAAGAAAGGAGGAGGTCCTAGATGCGTGTCGCATGCTCAGTCGAGCCCAGCAATCATCTCCCATTGCACGTGAAGGGATCACTGCCATGATGGGCATTTTGAGAAAGCATTGGAAACATGAGAGGTGGCCAAGCTCACGTGGTTTGCAGCCTGAGCATCCTGTATCTTCTTCGACTGCTACAGCAGCTGCCTTGCGACAGGATCTTCTTACTCCTGATTCGATGGGTGCCACAACCGATGCTCCTCCATGTGCCCCAGATGAGTCGTCGCTGGATGCTTCGGCGGCCCTTTTGCCTAGTCCGCTTCCTCTGGAAGATATGTGGGCGCAGATGCTGGATAGCAGCGCTCATATTGAGCTTGACACACCAGACTGGACTGATCTTCTCACTGAGCTGACCAATGCCACATTGCCAAGCGAGTGAAACAACTTCGAAAGATTGGATTCGTGACCTCGTATGTTTTGATTGAGGCTCTGCTGTAAGGCACCAAGGCGCCGAAGGCCCTCATCACCCCAAAATCACAACAATGAGTTGACCATAACAACTTCACTCGGCTTGCCCCAGCTTCAATAATTTCCAAAGGCAATATGTCACAGACCACAGACACTACAGTCCCCGGTATTCAATTGATAGCCAACCTCATCAAATCCGGCCAAGCGACCCGAATCGTCGCCCTAACAGGCGCAGGAATTAGCACCGGCGCCGGAATCCCAGACTTCAGATCCCCCACAACAGGTCTATACGACAAACTCGCACCACTCAGACTCCCATTCCCAGAAGCAATCTTCCACATCAACTATTTCAGCCACACGCCCGAACCATTTTACGCTATCGCCCGCGCCCGCCACCCGGGGAATCTCAAACCAACAATCACGCATGCGTTCCTGGCTCTGCTGGCCAAGAAGAACCTACTTCGTTTTCTGTTTACCCAGAATATCGATGGACTCGAGCATGATGCTGGGGTTCCGGCGGAAAGGGTTTTATGGGCTCATGGAAATTGGAAGAGTCAGCATTGTTGTAAGTGCAATGCGGATTATCCAGTTGAGTTGATGAACCGGGCTATTGGATTGGGTGAAGTCCCGTATTGTCTTCGGGATGGGTGCGGGGGTGCTGTCAAGCCGGATGTTGTTTTTTTTGGGCAGAAGTTGTCGGATGAGTTTGAGCAGAGGAAGAAAGAGGTTAGTGAAGCGGATTTGATGCTTGTTTTGGGTACAAGCTTGAAGGTGGCGCCTTGCTCTGGATTGCCGTTGTTAGTTAAGGAGAGCGTTCCCCGAGTTTTAATAAACAATGAACGGGTGGGTGATATGGGAAATCGAGATGAGGATGTATGTATTCTGGGGAGTTGTGATGATGGTGTTCGGCGATTAGCTGATGCACTTGGTTGGCGAGATGAGTTGGAATGTCTTTGGGAAGAAGCGGTGGCTGCTAAAAAGGACGTGGAGATATTTGATGGAGGGCCTAGTCTGGATGAGTGCATTGAAAAATTGGCGAGTAGCATGAAGGACAAAATGAAGGTCTCGGATGGTCATAAGCAGATGTTGGAGAGACATTTGAACGAAAAATTCGGGCATTTGATGGCCAAGCCAGGCCCGTAATTATTGCAATATATACTGAACGTTTGAACGATACATATGTATCCAAAGCCCTGCTGTTACCTTTAAGTGGCGGTCCACACTTGTTCCATGGAACAAGCACTATGTTTGAGAACGACCAACATATGTAGGTATGATGCCACGATGATGTGACGAGAAGGTCGTGTCTGCATACCAGAGGCACAGATCAAACAACAGTCAACTCTCAAATCTACATCAATGCCATTCCACAAAGTACAATATGGTCTACAAGAAGAACGACCTCCCTTATATCCGCCGCTTCATCACAACCCACAACTCCGAGGGTGAGGCGATATTTCTTTCCCATGCCCAAATCCCCGACTACCTTCCCTCAACTCCAGCCGGTGACGATGGCGAGATAGCCCTATTGTACGCTACAACCAGTGACCCGGCCTCAGTGGACGCCGAAGCCGATGTCGCCATGTATGACGAGTTCCTCCACCAACCTCCTGGTATAACCGTCGATGAAGGAACTGTTTTCCGATTGATAGATCTTCATCCTGGGAAAGCCACGCCGATGCATCGTACCGTGAGCCTTGATTATGGGGTCATCATTGAGGGCGAGGTTGATCTTGTTCTGGATTCTGGTGCTAGTCGACGCATGCACCGTGGTGATGTCAGTGTGCAGCGTGGAACAGCACATTCCTATCGCAATCGAAGTCACACTGAGTGGTGTCGCATGTTATTTGTGTTTTTGCCGATGCAGAAGTTGTCCATTCAGGGAAAGGACTTGGAGGCCGAGGTTTATGATGAAGGGTATGAGGATGCGGAGAGGGAGCAAAATAGTCAGGACGGCGATCAGGCTACATAGAACTCTTGGGGTTCGTTCAACCTGTCCTTACACTATGAACACAATGTGTATCTCCGCCTGAGGTAGCTACGTATGCACCATATTCATCAGATTTATTGAGCTTCCGCATCCTCTCACGGTGTCGACATTTTTTCCTCTTCAAGATGAATCTACAGACCTAAATTCTGATATAGAATGAATTTCTAAATTAGCTACAGCCTCATTTGGACCGCAAAAGGTGGTTGATCTACTATTTCAAGCCTCGTTAAATTTTGGCCCCCAACATTACAAATCTCACGATTATCAATCCATCTTAAATGTGCGAAACAAAAGGCAATGTTTAGAACTCTTTGAAAACAAGCGTGCTCATTGTTGCAGCTCTTGCGATAGGATACAGAACTAAATAATATGTCAGCATTGTATATTAATTCTCGTTTCAAAGCCTAAACAATCACATAAATAGAATCAGCCCTCCCACGGTATCTCTCTATTCATTCAATATTCATTACTTTACACTTCAATCCTCCGAGATCCTCATTGTCGCAACAATCATTACGACTGATCCCAGTAAAGTCTAATCTCTACCATCCTCACTCACCATGGACAAACCAATCCGCCGGGTAATTGTCGGTCATACTCCCCAAGGCAAAGCAACCTTCACCTCAGACGACATTTTGACACCCTATGATCCGACTACAGCACCAGAATTCTCAATTCCGGGCCCAAACTCCGGCTTTGGCGTTGTCCAAATCCACCGCTCTCGCGGCTTCCCAGCCGATAACATGCGTGAGCTACCAGACCCCCACAAGACCCTCGTCCCACTGGCCGATACCAAGGGGCCTTCCTGTCGGATCTTGGATCTTCCTCCTGCGGAGTCAGGCTGGTTCCATCGTACTCTGAGTTTGGATTACGGCGTCGTTCTGTCTGGTACGGTTGGGATTATTACCGATGGGGGCGAGGAGAAGATTCTCCGTCAGCATGATGTTATTGTTTGTCGAGGTGCGAATCATGAATGGGTGAATCGTGGTCAAGATGTTGCTAGAATATTTGTGGTTGTTGTTCCGAGTAAGGAAATTGTGGTTGATGGCGAGAGATTGGTGAAGACACCCGCAGGGGAGATCTTTGATCCTGAAGAGGATTAGTTTAGGTATACTTGTATGTAATATGAGCCTCAACTCTATACAGATACTTTAAATTTATCAATGAGTATCTACACCCATACTATAAGTACATGTATGTAATTGTTGACTGAGTATAAACTCGGAACTTCCCGACAGTTCCGAGCGGAAAGAAAAAGAAATTCCGACAACGGAATTAATTCCAATCCACGCCCTGTGTTTGACATTGTTCACACTTTTGACACCTTTCAAGACCTTCCATTCCTCTCATTTTGGTGTCTCTATATATCTTTTCAGGACATCCCCCCTTTTCAACAGTGTTTTGCTCTGGCTGTGCAATTTGGCTTATTCATCTCCCCGCACCCCGCAATATTCAAGCACATCATGGATCGCGACCAATTCAAAACAGCAGCTCACTCAGCCATCGATGACAGTAAGACTCTCCCACAATTCTTCACTTCAATGCAGATCTAACCGCAATCTCAGTCCTCAATTACTTCGATACCGTCCCAGACCGAAGAGTCCTCCCAGCCATTGAACCAGGCTACCTCCGCCCTTTAATCCCCGAAAACCCCCCAAACGAACCAGAATCCTGGGCACAAATCCAAGAAGATGTCGACACAAAAATCAAGCCCGGCCTCACACATTGGCAATCTCCCAATTTCATGGCCTACTACCCAGCCAGCGTGACATACCCCAGCATCCTAGGCGAAATGTACTCCGCAACATTCACGGCCCCGGCCTTCAATTGGCTCTGTTCACCGGCATGCACAGAGATGGAAACTATCGTCATGGACTGGGTTGCCAAGGCACTCGCACTTCCAGAATGTTTCCTCAGTACATCGGAAACCCACGGCGGAGGCGTGATCCAGAACAGTGCCAGTGATGCCATTGCGACGATTATCGTTGCTGCGCGAGAGAGGCGCGTTCGCGAGATTCTCCTCGATGAGGGACTCAAGGAAGATACACCCGAGTATGAGGATCGGAAATTCGACGTTCAGGGTAAACTGGTTGCTATTGCTAGTGATCAGACGCACAGTAGTGGTGCCAAGGGTGCGCTGATTGCTGGTACACGCTTCCGCAGTGTGACTTCCAGACTCGAGGATAATATGGAAATGACCGGTCCCCGGCTCCGCGAGGTGCTGGAGAAAGCCGATCGCGATGGTCTCATCCCGTACCATCTCACTATGACTTTTGGAACGACGAATTCTTGTAGCGTGGATCGGTTCGCGGAGATCAAGGCTGTTTTGCAGGAAAAGCCTGCGTGGCAGCGCATCTGGGTGCATGTTGACGCGGCTTATGCCGGTGCTGCCCTAGTTGCCGATGAGTGGCAGTATATTACGAAGGACTTTGCAGAGGGCGTTGATAGTTTCAACATGAATATGCACAAATGGCTTCTGGTGAACTTTGATGCTAGGTGAGTTCTATGATCTACGATCTTGCCATACCTTTGTTCTAACATTCTCAGCGTTCTCTACGTCCGGAATCGTCTGGACCTGACCAATGCATTGGACATCACACCCGTGTATCTGCGCAACCCTTACTCGGATTTGGGAACCGTGATTGACTATCGGAATTGGTCCATTTCACTCGGTCGCAGATTCCGCGCATTGAAGATTTGGTTCGTGATGCGGAGCTACGGCCTCAGCGGCATGAAAGCGCACATCCGAAAGACCATCGGTTTCGGTGATCTCTTCGCGGACTTGGTGCGCGGTCGATCTGATCTGTTTGAGATTGTCACGAAACCGGGCTTCGCCTTGACTGTATTTCGCCTGAAGAATCCCCAAGCTTCATCCAACGGCACTAGTGGATCTTCTGACCGTGTTTCCAAAGATGAGGTCGCTGACAAGTTGACCAAAACTGTCTACGAGCTGATCAATTCTCGGGGCGAGATCTTCATTACTTCTACGATCATTGACGGTGTCTATGTTATTCGGGTGATCAGTGCTAACCCTCTTGCTGAAGAGAAGTATATCCGCAATGCGTTTGATATTGTGGTCCGGACCTCCGAAGAGGTGCTGAAAGAACAGAAGTAAACGGTATTATGAGAAGACATGATTGTAGACATGGGCGGTTATATGACATTAGATACTCTCTACATGTACACGATAGAATGATAGAATGATTTTGCAATAATCAGATACTCCTCTCATGTCAATAGTTTCTTCATATCCCCCACGCCAAGTGTGGATAGTCTCGCATCAACTCCGATTCGGATTGCATATTCCCCCCACGCGGGGTAAGCCATGGGCAATTGGATCCTTCCTTTTCAATCTTGCACTCTACACTGTTCAGCTCGAGCCCATTGTATAGTTATCTCCGATATACCAACATGTCCACGCAACCCTCGTAAGTCAACCCATCATACCTAGACGACCTGTTCTAATAACCGCAGCTATATCCTCGTCACCGGCGCAACCGGATTCATCGGTGCCCATGTTGTCGATAACCTCTTAGCCCGCGGATTCTCAGTCCGCGGATCAACAAGATCAAAGCGAAAAGGAGAACAGATGAAAGCTGCCCGTCCTCAATATGCCTCAAAGCTCGATTTTGTCGTCATCGAGGACTTCACCCAAATCGGAGTCTTTGACTCTGTAATGGAAGGCATCGACGCAGTTATCCATGTTGCCAGCGTATGCAATTACCTCCAGCATCTCAAAAGCTCCCCTTTACTAATACTCACCAGCCCTTCTTCTATAACACAACCGATAACGAAAAAGAACTAATCATTCCCGCCATCAACGGCGTAAAATCAATTCTCTCCGCCTCCGCCAAACAACCCGCCATCAAACGGATCGTCCTTACATCCTCCTTCGCCTCGGTAGTCGACGTAACAGCCACCCCACCCCAAGACTTCACCTACACATCCGCCCACTGGAACCCCCTAACCTACGCAGAAGCAATCGACCCAAAATCAACCTCAGTAGTCGCCTATCGCGGCTCCAAGAAATTCGCTGAACAAGCTGCTTGGGAATTCGTCGCATCCCAAAAGCCAAATTTCGACCTAGTAACTCTCTGCCCGCCCATGGTCTTCGGTCCGGTCGTCCACCCCGTCCCGACGGTCTCGGATCTGAATGAGTCGAACTCCGTTCTCTGGAGTGTGGCTGCAGGCGCTGACCCACTGCCCGGTGCGCGTGTGCCGGCTTGGATTGACGTGCGTGATCTTGCTGAGGTGCACGTTCAAGCTTTGCTTTCGCCGGAGGCGGGTGGGAAGAGGTTTATTGCTGCTTCTGAGGAGCCTTTCTCGTATGACCTTGCCGCAGATATTATTCGCGAAGAGTTCCAGTGGGCTGCTGATGTTGTTACTCAAAATTATACTACGGGGAAATTGCCGATTGCTCCTTATGGGGTTGACGGCGCGACTGTGGCAAAGGAGTTGGGGATTAAGTACCGCCCTTTCAGGGAGACTGTTGTTGATTTGGTTGGACAGATTAGGAAGCTTGGGCAGTGAGGGTAGCATAATATACATCAAAAGGTTCTACGCTGGATTGAGTATATAATTCATGTAGAAAAGGAGTTGAAGAGCTAGCCGACTTTCGCCTCGGTACCATAGAAAGTTACGCAGGCTGGTGATATATGAGTGATTTAACGCACCTATTGTCCTTCGAGTTCCCACCACAATATCAATTGAAGTCTACTCCTTTTCCACTCGTAATCGCAATTCGTACACGCTAGCTAACTGCCAAGGCCAACTGTGCGGGAATTATTACATCCAAAACAGGAACAAACCTCACCATCAGCAGGCCCATCAGCATGATTTGCCCCCGCTATTCCTGTCATCCAATAAACTTCCTATATCGGTCATTTGAGAAGATGACTTTATCTAGACTGCGAGGAGATCGTGTGCCAAGCCTGCTATACAATTTATCCGGAACGACGTATAATTGGCTGGTTCTATTATCAATTCGCGCAGAGAACGCTATGACTTGTCTTTTTTGACAGTCAAATATCCGAAGTAAGTCCACATAAATGGGTTCTCTAAGTGATTGCATTCCACTCCCACAAGACGGAGCAAGGAACATTCGTGATGAGCCTGGACGTTGCAACAAACAGGCAAGATATCAATTCTTTCTACGACTCCAACGGCGATGAGAATTCCCACCTCATTCCATCTTTTGAAAGCAACCCTATCTCTAGTGGGTCACTTCCCATACGGCCAAATGAACCAACTTGTGAGTTTATCTCATCCTATCCAATAGTTGGGAAACTGTAACAATGCAATTGACAATAGCAAAGACCCCAGTGACCTACCCTCTCGGCCATCACACTCGGATCATCTCTTCCATAATCTGAAAAGATTGGTTTGGCAAGATCGAATGCATAATTGCGATGACGGTCCGTTTACACATCACGGTAACAGCAGATCATGCAGCCTGGCTTCTATATTCAAAGAACAAACGAAAGAGATGATTGGTATCAAAGTCATTTTCTCGGCTATCTTTTCACTGGCAGCCATTCTTGTTTCCAATACCAAAACTCCAGCATTGATTATCTTCATCTGGAATCTACTCGCTATCATACCGCTATCAGTCACACTTACTGAAGCCACTGAGAGGATTTCCAAAGACTTGGGTGAAACCGCCGGTGCATTGCTCAACATCACTGTTGGCAATCTAGCAGAGCTTATTATCTTGTGAGCCTTCAATCCTTTTATGAGAGAGCCAGGCCTGCTAACTGAATTTAGCATGTAATATCCAATCTTTTCGAACGTTGTAGCTGATCCGAATCTAACATTCTCTAGCACCGCTTTGCTCAAGAACAGAATCAAAGTTGTTCAATCATCACTCCTTGGCTCTATACTTGTGAACCTCCTTTTCGTTCTCGGTTCCGCGATAATTGCAGGCTCTCTCTCCTCGCGTGACCTGTCGTACAACACCGACTTGACACATTCATTTGTGGGCCTTCTTAATCTCACAATATGTTGCATCATGATCCCAGTATGTTTCTAGCGCGTCTACGCTAACTCAATGCTAAACATACGTCAGAGTGCTTTCTATGGAATTGAGATGGATGCCACATCCGCTGATCGTATGTCGTTAGAGTTCAGCAGAGCGGTATCGTTCATTCTCCTGGGCATCTACTTCCTGTATCTCTTGTTCCAATTCAAATCTCATCCTGAGCTCTTTTGGCCCACGCGGCAGCCTGTCTCAAAGCCGGAAAATGTGATAGTTGCAAGCACGACGGGTCGAATGTCTGCAGATCTTGAATCACAACCTGCACGTTTCGAAACCCCAAGCAGAGACCTCTCCCAACCAGAGATGCAGCAGCTGGAGCTTCCCACTGATCCTCAAACATCTCCGGTTTGTATACAGCCCGAATCGGCATTACCACTGATTCAAATCGAGCCCTCACAGAGAGCCGAGAGAACACCCAGAGCACACAACCAGGCTCCCAAACACAACCCGAGATGCGGTTGCGAGTATTACACAGTTTTAGCAAACCGCGCGCTATCATGCGCACTCCTCATCATGTCGACCACTCTGATCGCCATATGCGCTGAATACTTCGCTTCCAGCTTCGCAGTGCTGAACGAGCAGGGAATCCTCGGCGAGTCCTTCGTCGGGCTAATCATCATTCCTATCGCGGGTAATGTTGCTGAAAACGTTACAGCCGTGGTCGTCGCTGCGAAAGGCCAAATGGACCTCGCCATTAGCGTTGCTTTGGGATCGGCTATTCAAATCGGTCTTTTAGTTTCACCTCTCCTTGTTCTGGTCGGTTGGGCACTTGATAAACCTATGAATTTGCACTTCGATCGCTTTGAGGTGGTAGCATTAGTTGGTGCTGTTCTTTTGGTTAATTTTATTGTTTTGAAAGGCAAAACCAATTATTTAGAAGGGTCTATTTTGTGTGCTTGTTTCGCGGCTGTTTCGTATGTCACTCCTTTCTGAGATTCCACGAACATCGCAATTGCTGACTTTCAATTAGTGTTGGGGCGTTTTTGTTGCCCAAGTGAATGTTTAAAAGGGCAATATTGAATTGAGCCCCAATTTACCACCTGTAACACAGACAGTCTGCAATGCTGTCCATTTCTGTGTACAACCTTGGAATATTGTACTATCGATTGCAAATGAAACGATGAAACGGAGATTTATCCATTTCAGCCCCTTTAATTCCGCTGAATAATCGGCATAGATTATTTAACATTCCGGAGCTCCGTTCAAGCCGACGCCACTTGTTGCAGTGGCTTCGGGAAGTGGATATTTGCCAATGAAGTCAACCTTGCAACGAGGTGTTAATTTCCGTGTGTATACATTGTTATAGTCTACCGCATTAGCTTTTCCGATCTTCCAACATCTACGGTCGTTTTATCATTGATACTATAGTGCATATTGAAACTCCGTCAGTTCCACCAAGTCAATTCAAAATAGGACCCACGCATGAAAATTTTCCTCTTGCCCCTATTGCCGATATTGTGCCTGCAGGTGTGCGTGCAGGTGCGCCATCTATGCACTTTATAATCATGTCACGGGAGTAACGGTTATCTCGGAGATGATCAGATATGGCCTGTGACCCGATGACTTGACCTCTAGGCAAAAAGCCACCGGATATTGACGTCGGCAAAGATTGATGACGATCCTCCCCGGTGGATCTGGAATGCGCAAGCTCACTTGAAGAATCCCACCGCCGTTTCGCTGCATCGACTCAACTAATGCCGATCCGGGTTTGCCGAGCTCATTCATAGGGGGTTTTCACTCTATTTCTTGATCTCAATGCCGAAATCACCGTACAAAGTGGATATAGAGGGTCCGCATTCCATCCGGTTCCTGCATAATGTTACTGTTAGTTCGGTTCACGGAATTCCCGAGTCCTATTTTTCAGAATATATAGATCCTTGGATGCCAGCTCCGGAGAGATCACCGAAAAGAAAATGTTGACTTCTGCGTTGCTTCTGCTTGCCTCGTTCGGCCTGGCCCAGTCAGCCAGTCTCGAAGACCTATATCTTGAAAATGCGCCCTCTTCGCCGCGCCCCTATGTGATTCCGCATTACGCGAACTCCCATGCCGTCACTATCGGCGATCAGCTGTATCGCTTTACGGTGACTGGCCCTTCTTCCGATAATGCGTTCACTTTGATGAGCACCAATGCGCCTTCCAGCTCGTCATTGGGTGTATTGCCCCATATTCACCAGAAGCATTATGAGAACTTCTTCAACTTCAAGGGTCGGTTCCAGCTTTGGGCCCAGAAGGGTGCTGCGGAGCAGCAGGCTCGTCTCTTGACGCAGGGTGACTATGGATCGGTTGTTCGGAACACCACCCACACATTCCAGATCTTGGATCCCGACACCGAGATGGTCGGCGTGATTGTTCCGGGTGGCTTTGAGTAAGCGTTCTATACATCGATTATCCGTGCTCTGTCTAACCTCTTCCAGGGACCTCTTCTATGCCCTCGGAACCAACTATACATCAGGCACCGACACCCCTTATGTTCCCGCCCACTCCAACAGCTCATCGTCCCCGGACGCAAGCGTCATCTCCTCTCTGCAAAAGTTCGACGTGTACGCCAAGCTTGGCTTCGAACCCCGTCGCGATATCGTCAACGGCACCGCTCCCGTCGACAACTCCGAATGGCACACCGGTGACAATGCGCTCGGTAACGCGGGCGAGCCTTACTTCGTCGCCAACGGCTACGGTCCCAAGTACTTGAGCTCCAAGTTTGGTTACCAGGTTGTCCAACCTCTGGTTACCCCCAAGCAGGCCCAAGACACCAACTACACTCTCTCGACTATCTCCCTCAGTCGCCAGACTAAGGACAACGCCCCGGCATACACCTTGGGTGGGGCTGCGGCCTTTGAGGTCATTGAGGGTGTGCTTATGATCCAGATTGGCGATTACCCCGTCGCCACTCTGTATGGGGGCGATGTGGCGTTCATCCCCGTCGGTGTCTCTTTTACTTACTATACCGAGGTGGCTTTCACCAAGGTGTTGTATGTCAGCAGTGGAAGCAACGGTGTGGATTCGCAGTTGATCAAGGGTGGAAAGCCTTGGAACTGGGTCACATTCCCCAAATATTAGAATTGGCAGGTTACACTTTAAAAAAGAAGGGAGTTGTAAATTCGATCTGCAGGATCGATCGAAAACCTCAATATATCTCTATATAAATCACTACCTATGTATATACCACACCAGATTTCCAGTTGATCTCGATTTATGTAATATTCATTTAGGCTGGCCGCTAGCCCGACCGCAGCTTATACCCCACGTATCCTCTTAACATCCAACAACTCAATCACTATACCAACAATTGGACTCAAAATGGCTCTACTTCTCGAACCTGCAACACTTGAAGACATCCAAGCCATTACGGAGCTATGGTTCACTGTCTTCAATGACCCAATCATGAGCCACATGATGCCCGACACACCAGGCGTACGTAACTGGTTCAGTGAGACAAACCGAACAGACATGCTCTCCAAGCCGTTCCAGAAATACATAAAAGTGGTCGATCCCAGCGTGCAAGTCGACGGCCGGCCCCGGGTAGTCGCCTACGCGAAATGGGATTTGGCCATGCCCGAGGAGCGTGGGCCTCGTTTCGCCCCTTGGCACCCTGAGCAACCTGGTCCGGATTGTGATGCTTTCTTTGGGGGTATGGAGGTGAAGCGCAAGCGCCTTTACGGTGATCGGAAGAACTTCTGTATGTGATGAGCTTTTCCGTGCGGGTGTTTGTTTGTTGCTAATGTTTTTCAGACCTCGACATGCTCTGTACTCATCCTGAATACCGTCGTCGTGGGGCGGGTTCTATGCTTGTTCGTTGGGGGTGTGAGGTTGCGGATAAAGAGGGGGCTGGAGCTTATATTGATGCTTCCAAGGCCGGTGCTGCGTTGTATGCTAAGCAGGGATTTGTGGATCGTAGTGATCCTGCGATTGAGAGTGAGATTGTTCCGATGACGAGGAATTAGACTAGAATGTCTTGATGTTGAATTATCTGAGCTCTTAGAATGTTCTAAAATGTGAATATTTACAATATTTACTTTGAACTTCCATTGAATATATTGAGATATTGACCTCTGACTACATACCAATACAACTCCATATCAACCCCTCACCTGTCAATTTCACCAATTCCCAATTTTTTCATCCTCCCATCACTTTTATCACATTTTAAAAATAGCACTCTTCTCCTGAATCATGCCAAGCTCTTGATCCGTCGAGATGTCTACGAGTCTTATCGCCTAAGTTCCTTTCCCGCGCCAAGCATCTCCAAGCCTCTGCGAGCCTCTCCACCGACCCCGCGAAGCCCAATGGCACGGTACATATACGTTCAACCGTGTACGGAGTAGTATGATCAAGGCTATGATCTAAATTTATCAATCATCCCACTTTCAGCATGTCATTACTGTCCAAGACCTTGGCTATCACATCAAAACAATGACCCCAAAGTGCGGAGGGATGTCTATATTTGGCAGCGATGTGCACTGCTACAGGGATGAGGTGCAGAAGCTCCTTACCTTTATGCACTAGCAGTTGAACCCCTGTCGCTCGTTAGGTTCCTTTTTTTTTTCCTTCCAACTGAAAACAATCCAAGCTACTCGGCGTTGCACAGCTCTCAGGGGTAATTGAATCTGTTCAAGCTGAGACAGCATTGACTGTTTCATGTGGATGATCTCTCGTGAAATTTGAGGATCAAATCCCTTGATTCCCTGAAAATGACATCATGTCGTCATTACGGTCAAACTGAACTCCGTCACTCCAACGACTAACGACTGTGGAGCCAACCAGCTATTACCAATCCTCGTGGCCTCGACCAGCACGTTGAATCACGCCAAGAAATCTCCAGGACTTACCATCGCTTCATATTCTTTGTTCAATGATTTCTCCGACCTAAAACCGAGTCGCCAAGATCGCGAAAGTGAATTGTCAATCTTTTGCCAAATTCTATTGTAGCACAGGACGGTTTATCCCCGAAAACCAATCACTTCGACGTATTTCTATTCGGCCGCAACTTAGAGGTTCCGTCGGGAGAAAGCATGCATTAAGTCGTATCCACTGCAGGCATCCCCTTGGCTTACGGTAAGCAAACCCCCACTGCATATTCGATCTAGTCACGCTTGGCCTAGACCAAGATGCTCTAATAATCATTGCCTTGGTCGGAGAAGGACCAGCCCGTGCTTGATCAGTAATATCTCCATGTGGGTTATACGAGTGCAAAGTTCCCCTTCCCATTGGTTCTCTGCAAAAGTCCCAATGGGCTGATTCACGTATAAATTGGCCTGACCTGCAGCTCGTGTGAACTTGAGCTTGCTTCCCCATTGTATTTTAGAAAATTTTCCATAATGCGTGTCCTTGCCCTAGTCACGGGCCTCGTTGGCATTGCCAATGCTGCCTGTCCGTATATGACCGGCGAAGTGGACAATCCTCATCTCGAGCGCCGAGGTGATGAGGATGCTGCTGCTGACACGGAGAAATTCTTGTCTGCCTTCTACCTCAAAGACCAGGATGTCTATTTGACCTCGGATGTGGGCGGCCCCATTGAGGATCAGAACAGTCTCAGTGCTGGCGAGCGAGGCCCGACCTTGCTCGAGGACTTTATCTTCCGTCAGAAGATCCAGCGCTTCGATCATGAGCGCGTAAGTTCCTAGCTATCCAATTCAATCGCAGTTCTCGAACTTATACATATCCGTTGCTTAGGTCCCCGAACGGGCCGTTCACGCCCGAGGCGCTGGTGCCCATGGCACATTCACCTCCTATGGCGACTGGTCCAACATAACCGCTGCTTCATTCCTGTCCGCCAAGGGCAAACAAACACCCATGTTCACGCGCTTTTCCACCGTTGCTGGAAGTCGCGGTAGTGCCGATACAGCACGAGATGTGCATGGCTTTGCCACTCGTTTCTATACCGACGAAGGAAACTTTGGTACAGTCGACCACCTCGGATACAATGGACGCGGCTAATTCATCGACAGATATTGTTGGAAACAACATCCCTGTTTTCTTCATCCAAGATGCTATCCTTTTCCCGGATCTTATTCACGCCGTCAAGCCCCGCGGTGATAATGAGATCCCCCAAGCTGCTACTGCGCACGATTCGGCTTGGGACTTCTTCAGCCAGCAGCCTAGTACCCTGCATACCCTGCTGTGGGCAATGGCTGGTCACGGAATTCCTCGGTCGTTCCGTCATGTTGATGGATTCGGAGTGCACACTTTCCGTCTGGTTACTGACGATGGAAAGACCAAGCTCGTCAAGTTCCACTGGAAGGGTCTTCAGGGCAAGGCCAGCTTTGTGTGGGAGGAGGCTCAGCAGGCCGCTGGTAAGAACGCAGACTTTATGCGCCAGGATCTTTTCGAGTCCATTGAAGCTGGGCGTTTCCCTGAGTGGGAGGTGAGTGATCCATACTTTCATTTCGGAGATTCAACCACTAAACGCTCGTCAGCTCGGTGTCCAAATTATGGAAGAAGAGGACCAGCTCCGGTTCGGCTTCGATCTTTTCGATCCCACCAAGATCGTCCCGGAAGAGCTCGTGCCTGTAACCAAGCTCGGAAAGATGCAGCTGAACCGCAACCCCCTGAACTACTTCGCCGAAACCGAGCAAGCCATGGTAAGTACTCAAGTCTCAATTCCCAAAAATCAAAACTAACCAAGACACAGTTCCAACCCGGCCACATCGTCCGTGGCGTTGATTTCACCGAAGACCCTCTCCTCCAAGGCCGCCTCTTCTCCTACCTAGACACCCAACTGAACCGCCACAACGGTCCCAACTTCGAGCAGCTCCCCATCAACCGCCCCCGCGTCCCAGTCCACAACAACAACCGCGACGGCGCAGGCCAGATGTACATCCCGCTGAACAAAGACGCCTACTCGCCCAACACGCAAAACGCCGGCTCCCCCAAACAAGCAAACCAAACCACCGGCAAGGGCTTCTTCACCGCGCCCCGCAAGGCAACAGGCTCTCTCCAGCGAACAGTCAGCTCGACCTTCGCGGACGTCTGGTCTCAGCCCCGCTTGTTCTGGAACTCGCTCATTCCCGCGGAAAAGCAGTTCGTTGTTGACGCTATGCGCTTCGAGGTCTCGAATGTGAAGAGCTCGGTCGTTCAGAATAACGTTATTATCCAGCTCAATCGTATTAGCAATGATCTTGCGACTCGGGTCGCGGAGGCAATTGGCATTTCTGCGCCCTCGCCGGATAACAAGTACTACCATGATAACACGACTGCGCATATTGGTGCTTTTGGAGAGAAGCTTAAGACGCTGGAGGGACTGAAGGTTGGATTGCTTGCTTCGGTTTCCAACAAGAGTTCTATTGCGCAGGGAGCGAATTTGCAGGCTGCGCTTGCCGCGGCGGGTGTTGATGTTGTTGTTGTTGCGGAGAGGATGGCGGACAACGTGAATCAGACTTATTCTGCTTCTGATGCTGTGCAGTTTGATGCTGTTGTTGTTGCAGATGGGGCGGAGGGATTGTTCTCCGGTAAGTCCTTTACTGGGAAGCCGGTGAATGGTACTTCGTCTTTGTATCCTGCTGGGAGACCTTTGGATATTTTGCTTGATGCTTTCCGGTTTGGAAAGCCTGTTGCTGCGCTTGGGCGGGGTGTTGGAGCCCTGAAGACTGGGCAGATCTCCACTGAGAGAGAGGGTGTTTATGTTGCTGGGTCTGTTGGAGATGCCTTTGTCAAGGATGTGAAGGAGGGTTTGAGAACATTCAAGTTCCTGGATCGGTTTGCCTTGGATTAATTTTGATGACCTGGATATATTATGGTTACTATATTTATGACAATGACATGTGTTCTCTCATGATGTTTTGAGCTGACCTGTTTACGACAACAATTCCATGAGCTTTGAATAGAGAACTTGGTGCTATGAGCCAAATATATTTACAAGTCTGACACGCAAACGGCAAATCCAAAAACGAGGTTCTGAATATATAATTGAACCAATCACAAGTACTTGATTCCACTCAATCTCTAGAGCTGACCATCGAACTGCTTCCGACGACGCATGAAAGAATCCGCGCCAGAGAGAGCTGCCGCGGCACGAACATCCATCTTCCTCTTGTTCTTAGCGGAAGTGGAGTTGCTCTTCTCATTTCCAAGAATGGCCCATTCAGCAACGGTTGCACCAGTTCCATTCTTGGCCTCCACATCAACAGAGTCAAGGGCCTGATTGCCGACGATAAGCAGAGATGCGTATCGGGCTGCAGGCACGGGAGATGACAAAGTGACGTTAGTTGTATTGCCAGTGGGAATGGCAATGGTATCCAGGTTTGTGGTCTCAGAATCGTATGGGTCTGACAGGGTAATGTTGGTCAGAGAATGGACGATTGTGTAGTCCGAGCCCTGGGAAGAAAGAGCCTTGACGGGATCTTGGAGGGTCTTGTTGTGGAAGATGATGGTGGCGTTGACTGGTGGTGCCTGGGCCCAGTCGAAGTAAAAGCCGGAGACTAAGGCACCGGCTTCGTCTTCGAGAGAGACTGTCACAGCACTCATATCCGATGCTAGTGATGGCTGCCATTTTGTTGAGGCAGCGCCGTCTACCGCAGAGATGGGGAATTGACCTGGCTGGAAGGCATCAGAGGAGATGACCGGCTGGCATTGCACGAGATTACCCGCGACCGTGTTCTCGGTTCCAATTTGGCGGTTGGGGATGACAAGTGACCCCTTCAGTGGGAGGTGATAAGTCACCGCGTCGGTCTCAGGGCCTGAGTGGACTGTGATGGTCTTGTTGGCAAACCGTTGGTCGGCGGTATCTAGGGGTGCAGTTCCTGCGGCATGACTGATGGTGGTGTGGGTGTAGTTTGACCACGCCGAGATGGGCCATCCACGCCAGTAGAAGGTGCGATACTTCAAGTATGGGATTTGCGGGGGAAGGTTGGGATCAACGTGGAGAATGTCATCTGGCCTCAATCGCAGACCAAGATAACCATAGATAGCGACTTGGTTGGCACCACCGTGACCAGTCAGGAAGGGGTATGCAGGATGTGTACCTCCATTGATGGTTGAATTGTCTATCAGCTGTTCGGACATTTGGAAGAAGGGTGCACGCGTGTACGGCGCGAAGGAGTATTGGCCGTATGTATAGGCCGAGCAGCCAGAAGGGGACATCTCGGCTGCAACAGCGGAGAAAATAGCCCAGGTCATGGCTGGGCCATCAGCAGACTGTTTGGCGGCATAGTAATCCAAATCATCCAACGAGTTCTGGCTGGTGTAGTTTGAGGTATAGCCAAGGGGATAAGTGACCATGACAACATCGGCTTGCTTGACAACAGCACTTCCATTCATGGTGGTGTACTCAAGGGTCACGTCGTTTTCACGAAGAATCAAGACATTATCAGCCATATCATCCCACGTCGAATTCTCCTCCAGTCCAAACTGCTGACGGAAGGAGTTGGCATGTCGCAGAGTTTCGGCAACCATGGGCATCGTGAAGCCACCGGCATCGACGTGGTTGGCATATTCATCCTAAATCGGTTAATTACTCGTGTTCTGGAAATAGAGGCTAAACTCACAGGGTCGGTCATGTTTTTCATTGTCCAAGAAGACCCATTCCGAACCAGCAGGTCGGCATAGAGGGTGGCCGCCGAGTCGTAGATCGGGAAGTGTTCCTCTTTGAAGATTTGGGTATTACCACTGGTCACCCATTGGTTGACCAGGGAAATTCCAATGTCACCATTCAGGTGATACTGGTAGTCCCAGCAAGCACCAGTAGCTGTGCAGTTACCAAATCGACCGCTCGTCCAGGGGAAGATCGCAGCCGATGGGCTGAAGTTGGTCTGGTTCTGGGATCCTGAGAAAGAGGTTTTGATGTTTTCCTGAGCTTGCGCGTACTTGGCCACACGGAAATTAGTGAATCGCTGGGAAGCCTCTGGGTGAGAGGCCACAAGACCGGGCTGCATCCAGACATCCGCATCCCAGAAGACTTGACCACCGTATGAGTCGGATGTTAAGCCACCGACCGAAATGCTGTCCACATTAACTGGAGCTCCGTCGACTGCTTTAATGGCGTTCTGGCCAACAGTATTTTGCAACAAATAGTAGGTATTGGCCACAGAGATAACAGCGTAATCAATAATGTTGCTATCAGCAGGCAGAGTTCCATTGGGGAACGAGAAGTGGTCAACGGAGCTTTCAGGCATAACGCTTGCCCATTCCACGATGTGGGATCGAAGAGACTTGGCATAGCCATTCTTCATTGCGGTGGACGATGCATTCTTGGCCGTTTCTTTGGGATCTTTGAAAGCATCTGTGGAAGCTCCTCCAACAAATTTAGTGACGCGAACCACTTGATCAGCCTTGAACTTCACATCCACAGCCTGGGCAATGGAAGACTCATTGGCATGGACGTATGGCTTGTTGTGGACGATCTTGCGAGAAGACAGGTCCACATTTGACGAGGCAGTGATGTTTGCATAAATATAAGCCGTAACATTAGCGATTCCATTCGGTCGGACTGCCGAGAAAATGGCACCGTCGTCCTGTCCTGTCTCAACGAAATCGGTGCGCACCGCAGAGGCACCATCGAGGACGTTCACAATTGTCGCCTTTGATTCCTTGGATGGAATAATTTCCAAGTCCACGACTGCCTGATTGACAAACAACTTGTGGGCAAAGAGGCGGTAGGTAATCTGGTATGATCCCTTGTCACCCTCGGGGGTCCATTTATAGGACCAGACCAAGACACCTGCCTGGAAGTCATATGTGGTTCGGTAATCAGAGATGGTATTGTTGTCCACCTTCGCGTCCAAATAAGTACCATTTCCCAGGTCCAAGATAATTCCAGCCCAGTGGGGAACACCACTGATAACGCTGTCACCACCGTACTGGGATAGCCAAGGGAAGTTGCTACCGTTGGTGGTCGGCTGTGAGTCAAAGAATCCACTGATGGTTGCAAATGACTGGCGAGTAGAGAACAATGGCCAGCCACTAGTGTCGGCGGGACTGTCAATCTCGAAGAAAGGACCGGCGCTGGCAACGTTGATTCCCAGATATCCGTTGGCGACTGATCCACGCGATTCATAGCGACCCTGTTCCAGGTTTGTCGTGCTCAGAAGCCAGTTGTCTTCGTCCCAAGTTACATCGTCGAACCCGGTCTTGTAAACATTCTTGCTGAAGTTGGCTGGAGAGCTGGGGCCAGTGTACTTCTTGATGTTTTTTATGATACGATTATTAGGAGCGCTAGCAGATCCAAGTTGTGCAAGCAGTGGCAAGACCACGAATGTGAAGGACTAGGAAGCTTGTCAGTTATTAATTTCCATCTGACGTGGGGAAACTTACTTTGAACTGCATATTGCAGTATCTCCAATATGGTGACCAGTTCGATTTATCAAGGACAGCAGATCTATACGATCTTCTAGAGTCTGGAATATGCGATCGGCAATGTTGAGCGCCGAATGCAAGAGAGTTGAAAAAGGAAAGCTAGATATTTAAGTGCAGTTTTCCTAACTGTGCCGATCCAGGCACATAGAAATTAAAAATCGCTCAGGCCATGCATGGCAAAATGTGGGGAATCGGCAGAGGCGTTTGTCCACGGGGTTTATACGAGGAAGCCCAAGGCCCATGGATTGAGTTCTGACAACTCGCCAAGGCATGGAAGAATGTCGTATGAGGCTGCCTAAGTGGCTTGCACAACGGATGTACGGAAAGACCGGCAACTGCGGAGACAAATCATAAATGAAGATATAGTATTGGTTGTGAGAAACCGAAGGTTTTCCATCGGCATCCTTCATACGGGCAGAAGTTGCCGGAATTGGGGCGGACTTGCCCGAGTTAGGACGGGATTCCCCAGATCATCGTCATCGATGTCCAAGAGAAGGTTTGGCGCGAGCATTTTGTGGGGGTTTCTGGAGAACCGACCCTCCGAAACGTTGGGGTTTTGTCATTAACTTCCCGACAAAATCCCGCCGGAGGGTCACCGAAATGACATTCAAGGTTAAAGGTGTCTATGAAACTGGTCCTTGGAAGAAATTGGCAGATGAAAAAGGACCAAAAAGGAAGAAGTGTACATTATGTAGGTTTCGTGGGGTGAGTTACCCAATTCGACTTAGGGGTGTCTGCCTGAGGTGTCGACTATATGAATCTCTTCGAATTAAACAGCCCTGGAGGTAAAAGTTCCCTTGTTTACTCATTGCATTATACCATTGGGCTATTGATCTAAAATCAAGACTGTCCTTCCTTTTTTTCTATAAAAAAGGTACACTTGATTACATGCCATGGTCATTGAGGGAGGCCTGTGTGAGACTCCAATATTCCAACGTATGTGATATCTCACTCTAGATAGCTAGGTACATAATCCTTAGAGAGCTTTTCGTATCGTCGCCATCGGAATTGCCAAAAAGCTCAAGAGAGGCTGAGTTGCAATGTCTCATCTCGTGACATCGCTTGGGATATTCACTTTGGCGTGTTGGGGAATTCCTCGCTGCGGATGTGCATACCAGAAATCCTGCTGCCGGCGTTTCTGTGTGGGTATCTTGATACATATATTCGTAACTATTCACATTTGGCGTCCAAATTTAAAGCATGAGGCACATATGTCTGAATTGTCGTTCACCTCACCCGTCAAAGATCAAGACAGTCCATGGCCCGCCATGCCAGTAGAAACTTGGGTTCACTCTTCCTCTCCGCTGTCAGCTTCACTATTCTCAAGATTTGCATCAAGAGGAGTGGGTGGAGCAGGAGACGCCTGGGTCGAAGCCCCTTCTGAAGATCGAATAGGGACGGGGGTCCGTCGCGGAGCAACGCCGCTCGGCCTCGAGGTCGCAGTCAGCGCTCTCTCACCTACAAAGAAATTTCCAGGCCATTCCTCGTCGCACACAGGGCACGTCTCTGACTGCTTCATGCGGAAGAAGTTGGCCATACAATGATCATGCAGTCGACCCTTGCACTCAAGGACGGCGCAGCGTTGGCCCTACTCTAGCTGTCAGATACGTTCTCCATACCTCAAGATTACGGGGACTTACCACAGTGATTGTCTCTTTGCACGCGGCACACTTCTTGATTCTTGTGACATTATCATCGTTGTACTCTGCCACTAACCACCCCCGCAGCTCCATCAAGGCTCGCGGGGTTAGGGTGAGGTATCCCTTCTGGCTTTTTTGGAGCCAACCCTCTGCGATGAGATTAACTATCACCTTTTCGGCCTGGGTCATGGTCAAGGACTGTGAGGCCGCACTCTGGGGTTGGGAAGGGTCGTTGCTCGTGGACTGGCGTCCGCCAGTCGGGGCTTTATGTAGTCCCACCGCTTGTAATTGTTTTGCACACATCCCTTCGCTTCGGACAGTGTTATTTGTGAGGAACATAAAGTCGAGAAGCCTTTTGAGGAATGCAATCTCGTCTGCGGTGTACGTTGTCGCAAGCTGAGTCAAAGGATCACTCGTAGTATTGACTAGTGCCCAGACTCGAGCTGGTATCGTTGGGGTGGTATCCGACTCGGTAGATTGTGGGTTTTGGGGTATGGAACTTCTGATCTCGAGGTCGAATTGCGAAATCGCTTTGTTTGCCGCTTCCAGGTAGGAGTAAAATTGTTCTTGGTCGATATCTGAGGGATCAACCGTTTGGCCTTCTATTTACCACTTGACTGTTAGTGGGAGGCTTCATTCATCAAGGACTCAATGTACAGTACCAGAGACTGACAGAATCGCAGCCAAGACAGGTTGCGCATCTTGGAAGGTCATAGACGAGCGGCCTATGAAGGCCTGCAGGAAAGCGCGATTTCCATCATCATAATCGGCCATGTTTGGTAAGTTGTAACTTGATCTGGAGGGACCCGAGATCGTAATATATTAATCAGGTTCTTTGTTTCAACGGGTTTGATCGCTTTGAGCTTTGACGCGATGCGACGCGATGAAAGAAAAGATAAGCGATAAGAAAGTGAGTCCTGAGGCATGGATTTATTGGCACCTGAGCAATATGGCTTCCTGACTTTGTTTCTCCAGTGGACTACCCCCGGGCTGGAGCAAAATTTAGCAACTTTAGGCTGTAATCGGGAGTTTTACCAGAGTCTATAAGCCTGAGTAGAAAGGGATTGCCTTTGCTTTCATGATTCTATTCAGAAGTATATAATACGTGGAAGTTTGGAATGTGAGATTACTACCATTGCCCTCGCGTCTAGGTGTTGCACTTCCTTGGGTCCACCGTTTCCTATTCTCATAGATTTTATACAACGTACAACACTAGAACAAAGTGAAGCTGTACGAGGTCCTCTCCTGGACGAATGACGGCATCAACATCCAGCACTCCACCACGGGAACACGGGAAGACCAAAATGGCCCAAGGAACACAAACATCTGACACATTTCCACTTAGAGCCGAGGACAATGTTGTATACTACAGTATACAATACAGTATACAATAGCTATCAAAGATGATCCCTGCAGACAAAAAGTATTGTATACGACCCGAGGTCAATGTCTCAAAGCAAACGGACGATGATGTCAGTACGAGCTGGTGAAGTTTTGCTTTCAGATTAATATGAATGTGATAATCTGTGTGACCAGCATCACCAATCATATCTTCCAAATCCACTTGGAAGATCGAAGCCTTTCTCAGCCGATCGAAGCGGTCTACGAACCCCTCAGATAAAAAAATCTGCAGAAGCTCCCCCAGCTGACAATTGTGGTGAACCCCATTGATCTCAGTGGTCGCACTACCACCCGTAGCGCGCTTTGATTGCTCCAAAGGACCCAGATGGCTGCAGATGAGTCTCCAGATAGTCTGATGCATTACTACTTCTGGTGCGATCGGCACAGTCCAATCTGCGCTATTACATCGCAATCGCGCCGATCTCTTCAGCTCGCCCCGAACCTATGGTGAACTGAACGATGAAATACCCAGAGAGGAGAGATCCCTGTGGGACTAAACTGGGCTGCTTCAGCTTGCAGTTAGACAGGTCAAGTTTTTTATTATTTTAACTTAAGAGAAGCTACTCCCCCCGCTCGTGCGAACAGCTTCATTTTTCCCTCTCTGCACTATTGTTGTTTGTGTAGTAAACTAATCAGCCTCATGCCTACTCCCATTCCAGGTCCCCCCGGAGTTCCCCTCCTGGGTAATGTTTTTGACGTCAACCCTAATGAAACATGGAATTCTCTTAACAAACTCGCCAAACAATTTGGTAAGTCTAATCAAAAAAGCCAAATATCACATGCTTGTAATACTAATCTTGAGATTCGATTCCACCAGGCTCCATTTTCAAAATCAATGCCCTAGGACATGAAATCGTCTTCATCGGTAGTGTCGCTCTATTGGAAGAGATTTGCGACCAGACTCGATTTCGCAAGTGTGTGACAGGCCCTGTTGTCGAGATCCGATATGCAGTCCACGACAGTCTATTCACCGCATACGATGACGAGAAAAGTTGGGGTATCGCCCATCGCATTATGATGCCTCACCTCACACAATCCGCGACCGACAACCTCTTCGCCGACATGGCCGAGGTCATCCCGGATCTCACAAAGAAGTGGAGCGCAGCACCCAAGCAGCGCACTCTGCTCACAAAAGATCTCGACCGTCTCCTACTGGCCTCGTGTATGCAATCGTTCTTCAACCAGCGCGTGCACGTCCTCGAAGGTGAAGAACCCCCCATGATTAACGCCATGGAAGGCGCCACCATGGAGGCCATGAAGCGCCCTACCCGTCCTAAGGTGTTAAACTGGCTGTACCAGCGCCGCTTCGAGAAAGACACCAAGACCATGCGCAACTTCGCCGCCAGCGTGATCAAGACTAGAAAGGATAACCCCGAGACGGCCCGCAAGGATATCCTCGATGCCATGATCAATGGCGCAGACCCAGAGAGTGGCGAGAAGCTCACCGAGTCGCAAATCATTGATGAAATCATCTCCATCTTCATCGGCGCCGCCACCGCTCCAAACCTCGTCTCCTACGCCCTCTACTACCTCATCGAGAACCCGACCGAAATCACCAAGGCCCAGGAGGAACTCGACCGCGTCGTCGGCGACGGCAACATCGACCTCGAACACCTCAAGAGCCTGAACTACATCGAAGCCATCCTCCGCGAGTCAATCCGTCTCTCCGCCACCGCCCCCGGCTTCAACATCGAGCCCATCCCCTCCAATGATAAGAGCCCCATTCTCCTCGCCGGAGGCGAATACCAAATTGCCCACAATCAGCCCATGATTGCCGTCCTGGCACAGGTCAACCGTGATCCGGCGGTCTTTGAGGATCCCGAGGCTTTCAAGCCTGAGCGTGTCCTCGGCGAGAAGTGGGATCAGCTCCCTGCTGCTGCGAAGAAGGGCTTCGGTAACGGGAAGCGCGAGTGCATTGGTAAGCTCTGGGCTTGGCGCTGGTCGTTCTTCACCCTTGCTAGTATTCTCAAGGATACTAAGTTTGAATTCGCGGATCCTAATTATAAGCTGGAGTCAAATGGTGCCTTCAGTATTAAGCCTCAGCAGTTTTATGGTCTGGTTGGGCCTCGCAAGTGATTGTCGATATACCTTTGTTTTTTAACTTTAGCTTTTATGATGAACTTCAGAATGAAATGAGCTTGTTTTTTTTGTCTTATCTTTAACCTCGGTCTTAATTGTTTGAAACATGGAAGTTATGTACGGAGTAGTGCGTTGTAGTTCATAGATGGCGTCGCGTCTACATAATAATTGCGTATGCAATGATGTGTTCACTACCCGCCACGTTAACGCCACGGGGAAATCTGAAACATGTATCAATAAAGTTCAAAAAATCAAAATACAACTACACGATTTACCAGTCTACATGTTACATTGAATTTTTGTGCTGAGTGAAAATAATTCGAGTGAATGTGGTATATTGAAATCCAAAAAAGGGCCAGCCTAAAGTCTCTATATTGACACAGAAGCAGAAACCATTCCAGCTGGGAAGCAGACCATTCTAAAACAGAATGGTCACAAAGTCTTATCTTCAACAATCATTCAAATCATAGCAGAATCAAAAATCAAAGAAAACATTTTTAACCGCTGTAATCAATGGTAACAGCCAGACGGACAGGACCGGAGGCAATGTTACCACCGATACCACCGACATCAGTCTCAGCAGAGGTGTAGGCGTTGTTAACGGTGGCAGCATCGGGAGAGATAGAAGAGCAAGTGCCACCAAGAGCATCACAGATCTCCATACCAGAGACGGTCATGTCGGCATTCTGAGCGGCAATAGCAGAGACATCGAAGCCAGACCAGCCGTTGTTGGTAGTGGATCCAAAGTCGAATTCACCCCAGGTGGAGGCGTAGCCACCGTTGGAATCGGTGGGAATGGTGGAGCCAGAGGCGGCAGCCCAGCCACCCTGCGAGTCGTCATCGAAGGCAACGTACTTGGTCTCGCCAGCGGCAAGAGTGAAGGTCAAGCAGGCCTGTCCGTACCACCCGTCCATCTTGCCGTCCGAGCCATACTTGTTGAAGATGGCCACGGTCCAGGAGTCGGTGTTGGCACCAGTGAACTGAGCAACGTACTTGTACTGGCTGGCGTCGGAGCTCGAGATCTGAATGATGTTGCTGCCGTAGGGGTTGCCGACGTTGCCCTCGTAGGTTACACCGGTTCCCGAAGAGCTGGTCGAGCTGCCGAAGCCAGCAGTCGAGTACGCGCCGCTGGAGGGGGTGGCAGTCCAGTCGGAGGAGACGGCGGCGCTGGTGGCTGTTGCCTGACGGCGTCCGACAGCGGGGTGCGCGAATGTGCCAGTGGCCAGGGTTGCGAGGAGCATGAGAGACTTGGAGAACTGCATTGTTGCTTTTTTTGGAGTGTTCGGTAACAAGGGTAGAACAAGTGTAAAAGAGTGTTGTATGTCTTGTGTGAAATGAAAGGACTGTTAAAGGACTGTCAAAGAATGTGTGGGTTACCGGTTACCAAAAAAAAGAGTGTGGTTGTTTGAGAAGAAGAAGGCAGAGGGAGGGGAGAATGGGGATTTATATAACTTCCGAAAGAATCTGCCGCCACGCTCGCCCCAAAGCCGAGACCCCAATGTGCCTGGTACCTGGCTCCGTCCAGTGGACACGAAGTGCAGGTACGTCAGACGGTTGGTAGGAAGGACTCGTACGTCCATTCCACAAAGGTCGAGGCCGTGGGGTTGACATGTTCTTTGGGGCCAGTAGATGTAAAGTAAAGAAGTACAACAGTTCCATGGGTCACCGAACGGCGTACAGTATGATTGGACTAGGTTGTACTGGTGGATTTGATGTCAAGCCACCGTCCCAATCTAGATTTATACAACGTGTTTGGGACATTCGTCATTGGCGGAGTCCGGTGGATCATCGTTCAAGGCTGGGCATTGTCCAGGGAACTTCTCACAATGGATGCCAGGGGCCGCAGTGTCCCGGAAGAAGACCGCAGTGTAACCACAATTCTAAATGCTCTTCGTGTCCTCAATTGGGACAATCAGTTTCGTGGGTCCAGAACCGCAGTGACGAGTGCCGAGGGAAGTGGATTGAAAAAAGGATCCATCAATGGAGTTTAGTTAGAACAAAGTAGGCGAACTGGATCGTCTGGATTTAGCGGGCTTCCAGAAGGATTGTGGGCCATGCTCAGCTTCTAGGCTGAGACTCAATGACGCGGAACTGCCTGGAACTTCTGATCCGGAATAGTTTTGACTAGATGTTGAGACTCTGAATATTCAACCTTGTCTTCCTTCTCATCTGTATCTCCATGTCTCAATAATTAAGATGTGTGTTTCAAATGCGATCAATTTCAATATTGACAATATTCATGTGTTTCCATGTGTGCACTGTTCAATAAACAGAAAATTGTCCAATGCACCATGGACAACAATGTTGTGGTTCAGGAGAAAAGCAAGGCGATTGGCTGATAAATATGGGACATGGAGACTCAACCAATCACAATACATCCCAAGGTCTTGGCAGGGCAAGGGCTAAAGTTCGAACCAATCATCACATTCTATTCTACATACTTGGCTGGTACTGTCCATCCATGGTATATGTTTTCTTTCGTGAATTCTCTTTCGTCGAATATTCCAATATTGTTTCATTGGCATTTTCCTTCGAAGAAAAAAAGCCACATTCTTTCGGCTACTCATGTGTTGCGTCTTTAAGGCCAAATACCCGACCTTCCTCATTAAAATGTACGTACATACAGTACCTAGAAAGTTTCTTCACATGAAAGCCCCTCACTATCGCCTGCATTCCATCTTCTATGGCGGCATAGATTTCCCTCTGTGGATCCATGATGAGTTCTACTAGTACTCCATAATGTTCCACTGAGGGGCTGACGGTCTGGCCTTCAATGGAGGATTCGGAGTAGTAATGCTTTCAAAGGGGATCAAATATCCAAGAGATTAGCTGGGTGGTGTTACAAGTAAGAGATAAGACAGGGGGATATATAACATCGGGCCCTTTGTTCATACAGCCCCAAGACACATAGTATCATACAATATGGTAGGTACTCTCAAGGGTTTATTCATTTTTTCAATTAGGGCCCAAAATAAAGTTACACGCTACACAGAACTAAAGCCCTGAATTTGACCCTTTAAGCGGGCTTGGCTGAAATTGTGGGTTCACAGAGTCGAACGCAAGTCTAGACAACCTGTCTGAACTTGTCGCGACCATATTGTACGAGGTTGACTGACTAATTGAATTCTTCATCATTCTCGTGCCTGTTTTTCTTGTATCGCTGATGTGCTAATAGATGGAAGATTGGAATAAAATTGGGCCCGTCTATACAGGTTGTACTGCCATCTTTATTTATTATTATTCGCCACCAACTCAGTGTATAGAGTTGAGAGACATCTCATTTGTCGAGGATATTGCCACAACCGCGCGTTCCTGACTTGACCCATGGCGTCTGCCACGTGCCATGCCTCTACTATTCTTCGCGAATCAACTCATGCGGTAGAAATAGATGAACTTTTCAACGACTATATCTCCAGATCTCTGGATTGTCAATCTTGGAAGATATATAAACAAGAGACCAAAACAAAAGAAAGATGTATCGGGAAATGACAATAATAGCCGTATCATCCGACTCACTTTACCAGAACATCACGCCCTAATCAAAGACTTGTCGATACTGCTTTTGTCTTTATTTTGAATACACACTCCAAATGATTACGTTTGGAGGCCAAGAGTCACAGCAGCTTGGTTTTATTGATCCTGTTCTGTTAGTTCGAGCAAAAGGCATGTAGACCTTGCAAGTCTGCAACTCGCAACTTTGACTTTGATTGTAGACTTCTCATTCCCAAGAAACATTATATTCAGATCAAATTCGATTCTTTCATCCTACAAGACTAGTATTCGTGAACGACGCTTTATTGGCAATATTGCAAACGACCTCCATCTTTGAATCAACGACATCACTTGAATGTCCGCATTTCTTTGTTTCTTAACAATATCCTGGTATGTAGCTTTTCTTTTCCATAATATAAGATAAGTTGCACCGTAAAATAACGAACTGCCTCACGGATTGCGCAAAAGATTGACTCCTTGAGACTTCTATAGTGAAAACCAAGCGTTCAAGGCCCTAAAATGGAGGGCTCCCTCAAGAAGGAGCAGTAGAAGTTCGACAACGATAATGGGGGGGGAGGGGTCTTGAAGAAAACTAAAAGAGCAAGAGTTCGGCGCAAGGAAGCTGTGCCAGTGAAGAAGGCTCCTTCAGTTCCTCTTGACGAATCCTATATTGGAAAGATAGCCCTTCCTATTCCACTTGATAGACCTAAATGGCAGACCCGTGGAAGTGGAGATGTCATAGGAAAATTCCTATCTTGGACATCAGAAAAGTGGAACGAACGCGAGCCTGATCTTGATCCCGAGTGAGTAAGCCACAGTTCAAAGTTGGGGACTGTCGCTAAGCATACTCAGGACTCTTGATGCTCAAATTGAGAGATGCCATGACAGGATCAAATAAAGATTATGAGCGACAATTGAAGGACTTTGCAGCTCAAAAGGAGAAGCACGAGTGAGTCTTTCAAAGTCCACGCCATGTTAGATGTAGCCCACTAATTTTTCTTGGTGCGATGATGGCCAAGGAGCCAGGACTTAGCTGGAAGGCGGTCCGGCATGTGCAGAATTTGGAGGGTACACTTGAATTTTTAGAAGAGGGCGACGACGATGAGCACATTTTGAATGTCAAGGCGTTGTTGGAAGCGTACAGATCTTGCACATTGGATTGGAATGAAGGTCTTGTGACTTACTGGTCATATGGCGAACAACTCTGCCAGTCTCAACCCTTTGACTGGGATGAATTTCACGAAATCAATCGTCGACACCAGGGACACCAAGGCTTTTGGGCTGTTTTGAGGCTCGTCATTAATCAAGGATTGTGCGAAGAAACAAGATGAAAATGATTCCTAGAGACTTCAGCACAGTTATGCTGACAGTATTGTACAACGTTACCTAGATAGGTCGTAGGATCAACACCGTCCCCCACAATTGAGGCTCTCCATTGGGGCCAAAATTCTCCCTCGAGGACTCTTTTGTGGTAAATCAACAGGAACATGTCCTGATCAGGAAAGGTACCTTGTTTCTGTATGATATTTACACTGCCAAGGCTTTTGGCGGTTAGGGGTCCGATATAATTCCCCTGAATGGGCATCAAGATCAAGCATCTCCAGAGTATTGAGAATAGGCTTTGCAGAATTATGTACACAATCTTTGATCAATACGTCTTACCATCCAGGCAAATCACCCCTAAATTGCTTGGGTCTGAATTCATAAATGCTCTTTATAGAGTGCAACATTTCTCTTACACATCTACGGACACCTCTGAGAAACATTATATTGTTATTATTTTCTGTACACTTTCTTACCACTCTATTTCAGGTGCCAAAAATAAGAGAGAGTTTAGCATCAAGTATCTGAAAGGGTGTACTTTGATCAATGTGGATTGTCACTTTATTTGTGCAAGGTCCGGTGTTTCTTGTGAGATTTCTAATGAAATCCAATATACACATATAGTAGAACATGTTTATGAATAGTGAATGAACTACTCCGTACTAAAACCTCTAAACAATTTCATAACTCGCACACACTTTCCAAGTTGAGAAACTGGTCTCGATTTATATAAGATCGACATCTGAAACAGCCCCCAACGTAACCTTGTTATTCTGCCTATGAGCTCTTTCCTACATAATTCGTCGGATATTTATCATTCACTTGCAGACCTCATGTTCTAACAATAGAGACCCCAATCATTCTTCACCTGAGCTCTCCCCGTATGGGACCCTGGAGACGCCCTGGCTGATTGATTATTATGCTAGTCCGCGAGCTATACCGCATAGAGGAAGTGGTTGCCTTTGTTTATGATATTCACTAGCTGCTAGGTCTCCAATTCAAGGAATTGCTCTAAATTGAATAAATGATCACCAATCACTCTGTTCGGGTGGACGGGTTCCTGGCAGGAGGTAATTACAGGGTGCAAGGTTACCGCGAATAGATTAAGAAACTAATGAGATATAAGTATGACCAGATTTCCAACTATGTTTCTCACTCATCAATCTAAAAGCTCAATTGTTATATCACTTCAATGGCCATTCTCAAGCCCATTGTCCTCGCCACCTTGGCTCTGGCAGCTCAGTCCACCGCTCAATCTGCCAACCCCGGACTAGGAGCAAACCCTAAGGCCCAAGGATCAACCGAAGAGGTCACCCAGACCACCGGTCCAAATGGGTAAAATCCATCTCTCCTCTATAACATAATTATCTAACAAAGATCAGATCCGAAGACTGGCTCAACACCGGCATCACCGATGGCGGCTGGAACCCGCCGTTCCTCGCCCTGGAAGACGTCTACCACATCTCGCTAGATGACTTCTACAACGGTATCGGCTCTCCCTGCAAGAAATACGACCAGTACTTCCAAAGCGCGGGATCCAAGTATAGCGTGGACCCGGTGATTCTCGCCGTTATTGCCATGCAAGAGTCATCCTGCAACGCCGATGAAGGCGGGCCAACACCGGGATTGATGCAGGTTTCGTGTGAAAACTACCCGAATGGCGAATGCACGGGTGGTATTCAAGATAATGTCGACGCGGGTACCAAGTACCTCACTTCGCAGCTGGATTCGTCGGGTGGAAATGCTCTCAAGGCATTTGGTTCTTATAACGGGTGGTTTACGAAGGGGAGCGGATTGAATGGTAATAAGGGTCTGACACAGGATTACCCCTGCTCGTCGGAGGGTAAGTCCAATGGTGTTCCACAGAACTTGGACTACTTGCACCAGGTTCTCAATGGATGGCTGATGGGCTTGGATGTTTATGGGGCTGATAACTGGATTGGTACCTATAAGTGTGACCAGTCCTGTGATGACGGTAGCAAGTGTTAGACATTGCGGTTGGATCGGATACATTGGAAGGGCCATTCAAGGTCAATTTATTGCAAAATGATTCGCATAAAACATGCTTCAAATGACAGCCGTGAAGATCTCCAAATCTCGTTTGACAAAGTCATTTCTTCATAATACTATGCCTCAATCAGACAGCGGTGGCCTTCTGGAGCCATCAGGAAAGATGATACCATCTTCATATCGCTGTCTGACATTCCATCTTTCGCTGAAGGTCGAGCATCAGGCAATGCTCGGAAGAAGAGCGCTGTAGCAAGGCGAAGTTCCCTTCGAGCAAGGTGCATTCCCAAACAAACTTTGGCCATTAGCTTATATTAATGAATAGACTTTTATTGGTAGACTTACTTCTTGAGCCACCACCGAAAGGCAAGAAAACATCTTTCATCTCTTTAGTGGGATTTTCCCATCTCTCGGGTTTGAAACTGTTTCCGTTAATCTAACTTTTCGGGACGCCCGAGGCTCAACTCACCTATCGGGCTCAGAAAAGACTTTGGGGTCTCGATGTAGACTATAAGACTGTGTTGCTACCGTGATCCCACCCGGCAGATGGTATCCATTGAAATCGGCTCCCTCCTCTGGCACTAGTCTCGGTAAACCAGCGGGAACAGCCGTATACAACCGCAGAGACTCGTTAACCACCTGATTGAGATACGGTAGATCTCTGAGACTTTTGTCTGTGATCGGGCTAGGGATACTATCCAGCTCTGCATTAAGCTTCTCTCGCACACGACTGTCGCTGCAAACGCCGTGGGTGAGATAGCTCATTGTTACCGCAGTAGTGTCACTGCCTGCAACAATATATGACTGTGCTTCCTGTCTGATATCTGCCATCGATAATCCACTCTTTTCTGTGTCGAACAACTTTGTAAACAGAGTTTGTTTGGCGTCCAATGGATTCTGAGCCAGATGCTCTTTATACTGCCCAACACACTGCGCCGAATATAGGGTAAGTCTATTGGCTGCTGCCGCTGATTCTTTGAATAATGGCAGCGGAATGTATTTTCCAAATTTGATCAGGAAGGGGAATGTCGTGCGTATAGCACCAAAAGATGAGAGCTTTTCCAGATCGAGACTGTATTGGTTTTTCTATGCTCTCAATTAGTACAGTCTTCTGTGAAGACAATAAGGATCATCCAACCTTTCCAGACTCAAGCATTCCAAACGATTGTCCGAAGCTGAGTTCTCCAATGATGTCCGTGGTCATGAATAGCCACCATTTGAATACATCGGCCACCCCACGCGACTCCATCTCCTGGCAGATTCTTGTGACCGTTAAATTGATCTTCTCTGCTATCAAAGGTTCGAGACGGGTCAGAGAAGAATCCGATATAGGGGATGCCAGGAGACGTCGGCGTAAGGAATGGAATCTAGTATCTGTGGTAGAAAACACATTATGGGCAGCATTTGAGACGAGCTTGCGGTAGAAGTCTGTTTTGAGAAAGCGACTGTTCGTCCTGTGAATTTCTTTCACGGCATCGGCATCGCATATGTCGACTTGGTCTGGAGCAATTCGTACAATAGGACCTAAGATCCGTTAGCGTACCATCAATCCCCTTTTGGCCATATGCTCGTACCATATTTTCCGTGGAGTTGATGGACATATATTGGCATCGTTCCTTTCAGGTAGTAGTATGTATATACTGCACTTGTCCATTTTGATATCTCCGGACCAGGCAAATGAGACAAAGGAGTTGTAATTCTTCGATAGACAACGAACTACATTTCACAGTTCAGTGGAAGTGTTCAACTGAGGGGAAGCAAGTCACCTACGAGTAAAACGGCTCCAATAAAACACGTCAACCAATGATTGGCAAAAAAAGAACTGGAAAGTATCTGGCTGGGCAACTCCATTGTGTAAGGCAATAGATTGTGAATTTTGAGATCCTGTGAAGGGAAACAAACAGGCAGATACAGTCGATTTCTTATACTTGACATGTCGATGTAACCCCATCAGAAGTCCACAATCTTGTTCGGTCGGCGTACATCCCGACATCCGACATATTGGCGGCACTTCGCCTTAATAACTGTCGGTCGGTCATTGGTGAAAGAGCGAGGGGCAGTTGATCGACAACTAGTCTCGGGTTTTGGCGATCGTCACTCGGACTTTCCGGGGCAGCAAAGCCGTGCCGTGCATTGTATGTTGAGCTGGTGCAAACAAAGCCGTGTTTCCATTCCTTTCCAATCTTCTTGTGTTTTCGAATCATCATGGGTGAAGTCATTTCAAACAAAAGTACCCAAGTCTCGCTCGTGTGGGTGGCCTGATTTGCCGAGGGTTAAGTGACAGTCCAAGGATTGTTAGGCACCAGACATTGCAAATAGTGACTTGCATTACATGCTTCTCTACAGACCGCTCATGAAGCTGCTTATCATAATACTTAGCCTGTCAGCCACAGCTCTCTCCATTGAACGCTCTTTTAACACCCGTAGTGGAAGCTAACACCCAACCATGTCAATAGACTGCTCAGTGACATCCTCTGCCTTGGGGGAATGACTAACACTCCTTTCACCGATTATGATGCTGACCGACCTGACATGTAATATGCATCCTCAGATGAGGGGCGGAGGGGTACTACAAAAGCGGGAGAAGGTGACAGAGTTTTGGGCAGCAAGGAGTTCCCACTTGGAATCAATGCAGGCATGATTGACGAACTGGCTCGACACCCCCAAACAAAACATTCACTGCATTTTCACTTTCACACCCATGCATGGGGCATATACACTCTCTTCGCTGAATGAAGTTCCCTGACTGAGACCAGGACAGCCAGATTCTCTTTCTCGCCATCGAGGTAAAGCGCGACCGTCACACTGGTATCGAGCTATCCCAACACCGCTACCACCCATTTATTCCTTCCGACTTGACGTACAGCAACAATGACTGTGAGCCTGGAGAAAAGACGTGCAGACCTGTCGTCGCTGTGTCGAGTGGCCGCCTGTTTGATTAATGAACATTTGGTTCATGCTAATATCTCTGAGACATCGATTACACTCTCTCATCCGCAATCAGACAGCTCAATCATCGTCCGGTGCGTTGACTCTGGGATAGAAAACGGCGCAATTTATCCCAGTCAGTTGAGGGGTGTGGTCACGTCCGAGGGCACCCCCATTAAAGACGGAGCGAGCCTATTGTCACTGTACGGATCATGTGCGAAGCAGGACGTCTCCCTTCTCTGTGCGCAGCTGGAGAACTCTACCAACAACCTTGAAGCACTCTACAAGAAGTCTCGGACACCACTCGGGATTAACTCCTTTCCACTGGACTGGGAGCAGAGTATTATTGAAGGCGAGACACAGGATCCCTAGCACCGATGTACTTATCCGGCTGCATTGGACTTTTTTACTGTGAATATCCATTTAGTGGTTGTTCCTCGTGTGGACGTTACGATTGTGGGTGACTATGATACATGGATTAACCAGGTGATTCCTAAGGAAGTGGAAATTGACCGTGAGAAGCATGTGGTTATTCCAGTACACGAAGAACAGCTCCCTTGGGTCACCGGCGAGTTTAAAGATATACCTGTGTTACCGGATTCTATCGCAGGCCGACCGCAGAGTTCTCTACGAACGCTCTCATTTTCACTCACTAGTGAAATCTGCATTAAGATGCCACTGAGTGTCAAGATTCTCGGGCGCGTCCGCAATATATCTCCCCATGAAATTATGTTAGGATCTCGATTGGAACCCGTGTGGAGGATCGTGGAAGATGCTGCGACGTCAATGGGCGGCTCATTGATCATTGTTCGCGAATATGCAGCGGCAGCCACGCAAAGTGAGAATCTGGGATGTATCATCCGCCAGAGTATTGAGAGCATCGTCAAACAAAACAGGAGACGCTGTCATTGTATGCGCAGCCCTTATAGAGCATACCGATGCCATTTGGGGCGATATGGCCAATAAAGCGGTCGTGCTGCGAGATTACTGCCATCATTTGTTCCATGCCTTCTTACCATCCGTAATGCTCCATGGAGTGGCCCTGCAGGCTCATCCTCAGAATATCCTTGTCCGAGTGGACCGCGTGACCCGGATGGTCAAGGGATTTGTTTATCGCGACCTCACAAGTATGGCAGTCCATGTCCCAAAATTTCTCGAATCCACTTCCTTGGACATGGATATCGGTCCGTCGAAGTCATTAGAGCAGGTTTATGAGAATATTCTACGAATGGTGGTCCACGCCAGCACCGGTTCTATCATCCAAGCGTTCGGACTGGGGAATGAAGGATGGAAAATCGCCCGAGAGGAGCTAGAGAAGATGATCCCAGTAGACCACAAACTAGCTCGAAGCATTTTCTTTGTGAAGCCTACACGGCCGGCGCAGGCTTATCTCACGCGAAATATGGCCATCGAGGTTCGAATGACGACAAAGCTTAATATGTTGCATCATTGCCAGAAAACAGCATGAGCAGCAGGGTCATCCTAACGATAGATCTAAGCAACGGTCTCCATTCCAATACTATCGATCAACATAGTTATTGAACAATCTATGTACGATGTAATCGTGGCTGATAGGTTTGAAGAATGTCCTTCCAGCGGGGAGAATTCATAGCCATAAGATTTGGCAGCTCTCTTTCCACATACTAGACGCGCTCTGGTTAGTCAAACAGAACCACAGACATCGGATTGTATCACTCACATCACGGTACTTTCCCTCCATTCGCATCATCAAGAAGCACTTGAAGGGCATGGTATCTGCCACAAAGAAATCGTAGAGTTTCCGTCCCCGTGTGTTTTCATCGGGGTTGAGAACATTTGCCAGTTCCTCCCGCACAATCGTCCATCCTCCCTGCTGTTCGAGTCCCAAAGCACTCAATAAAAACCCGATATGATTTTGTAACATGGAGTGATGCACCTTGGACCACGCATTATGTAAACTATTGGTTAGAACAGCGCTACCCGAGGGAATTGCGTCCAGTCCCACCCCATATTCTTGGAGTGTCGGAACGTGTAATCGGATCCCACCAAAATCACGCACTGCAAATCCCTTGATGTCCCCAGTTTGGCGACAGATACGCACAACGAGGTTTTGGCCATGCGCTTCAAGGGCAATTCCATAGTCTAGCAAGGGTGGGATTGTAAGTTTGAACAAGCATGCGGTATACCTATATTAAAATATCAACATCCCTCCCGCAAGGTGTGTGGTTACTGCATGAACTACCTACTTTCGGAACCAATTCTTCTTTTTCTGGAGATTTTCCAAATTATACAAGATCTCAGCGTAAGAAGTATTAATTTCTGGGGGATGTTGTGCCAATACAGCAGCCAGGACCAGTGTTTCATCATTTGCTTGGGCTTTTCTTTCTAGATCATCACGGAGAATACAGGAAAGGTGCTTGGCTTGATTAAAATCCGGCTGATTGCCTGTGATGGAGCCAATCTCTCGGAATACCCACATGTCTGGAGGAAGGAATCGCTCGAGTAGTTCGCTGAACACTGGACCGCCCATCGTACTCCATGGGGTAATTGTCCGTAGTGCAGAGGTGATATTACAAGCCAACGAGAGCTTGAGGTGGTACGGGAACCCTAGCTCCGGTCGGATAGTCAAGGTACGCATGGATGTCTGCGCGTCTGCGCATTCCTCAATGGTTTTGACTACCACGGCGCTGGGAAAGTATGTTTGAATGGCCGGGAGTTGTTGAACGAGACAGGGAACAACCAATCGATCATCACTCAGGTTAGGTATGTCTAATGTCCTAAGAAGAGGGGCCAGGGTCTCTTCGAATAGACCAGAGGGATGCATGTCGATGCGAAGAACGGATACAAAGGCGATAGATGGTGTCAACATCCCAGGGAGATCGTTGGGACTGTGAGGTTTTAATGGAACCTGTGCGTAACAGAGGCGGTGATACTATAGAATACTTTTATTAATATTTGTACACAAGCCCTGGTTGTTATCGATTGTTTCTACCGGATGACTGGGATGGCCAAAGACCATGGCTCTCTCCCATTCTATCGAGGACGAATCGAAGTTGGCTCTTTCCATGCACTCACTAATTTCGAGCCATTTCTCTATTTAGGATTTGTTAGTGATGCATAATAATTAGTTAAGCGGGCTTATTAACCTTGGTTATCACTGGAATTTTTCAGCTCTCTCCCAATCTCCTGGAGCAGAGATTCATCTGCCACATTCAAGAGCCAGGGACGCATGTGCTCGAAGATTACCTCCGGTTCCAGCACTTCGGTTTCCATAGAAAACGTTCCGATACTTATCAACGGTTTCATGTTTCCCGGTCGTACGAGAGAGATCACTTGGCCGTCTCTGAGCTCATAGTGGGTATCCGGCAGCAGCCCAACCTTGACCCAGCGTTCAGGGTTCTCGAAGCTCTCTTGATGGCGAGTCAAGATGAGATATTCCTGGTGCATGTTCCCTGAAGTTTTTACCGTCGCGGCTGCCAGCCCCTCGTTCACAACTTGAGCCAGCAGGCGGCTAGTCGTCTCGAAACCAGCGCGGTTTTTCCTGGAAGTGGCAGTCATTTAGGGCGACGACTAGCTACACACTCACACTCATAAGCAAGGAGGCAAGAAAGGACAGAACACTTGAGGGGCTAGGTTTGGGCCATCTTGGCTCGACCACTCGTAATTAAAGGTTAAGCTTAATACCTTATCCTTCAGTGGCTTTGAGGCGGGGTAATGAGGTGTCGGATGTATTAGATGTACAAACAAATACAAACCAGATGTAGTTTATGTAAGAAGCAATACACGTCCAGCTGTCTTGCTCTGCTTTTTCTATGTCTCCAAATCAAATCTTCATCGTTTGTTGTGCGCATGCTACCACTGGAGTAAGAAGTGCTGATTTCGTGACTGAGTGAATAGCGATCATTTGCGGAACCAACAGCTTCTACACGTGTTCAACCATTGGCGTCAATCCTTCAAATTCTCCTCGACATACTAATACTACTTGGCCAATCGATTTTGGTTCGGCATGTGTCAGAACTTTCCCTGGACTCGTGAGAGCCCCAGGACATTGACAACGAATACTCTAGGCGGCAAAATCTCCTGTCTATCTCTTACAGCTGAACATCCATCCAAGCATCTAGCCCGGCAACAAGTACTGAGCCCTCGGCATCCCCGTGCCAGAAAAGAATCATAGGGTTCATCGTCTTTGGCATACTTCTTTACTCAAAAACCCCTCGCCTGGAAAGCTCTTCGAGGAAAACGAGGAGCATTTGAGCAATGCTGGCTCGGACTCCTCGACTACGCCCTCTTACCACATCTCTAGAGAAGAGCGCATACAACATGCACATCATCAAACTGTCACCACTGGAAGAGGGGCATTGTTAATGGGCGATCCACCCGAGTGGACGATCAGTGGTTCCCACATACGCGGAAAAGTGCTCAACTGGTTCATTGGCTTTGTAGCCAGTTACGGTCTCCTGATGTTCGGTTACGATCAAGCGTGCTCAGCGCACTCTTTCGTGACTTTGGACTCTTTTCAAATGTATCAAAGCCTCGTGACACCTCGAGGACAGGAAAATGATCTATGTGGGCTCGCTAATCCAACCAACACAGTTCCAGATCCTAATAACTGTACTGGTGATGCCAATACGCAGGCTGCCGGCGTTGGTATCTATCAAATTGGATGTTGGATGGGGTCTTCAGTGATCCTGTTCTATGGAGAGAACTATGGTCGCAAGTCCTCCACCTTTTTGCGCTCGTCCACTATGATCATTGGAACCATTGTGCAAGCTGCGTCTTTTGAGTACGGCCTCTTTGTTGGAGGGCCGTATTGTGAGTAGGGGTAGGAATGGGATAGTCACTGCAAGTATGTATCGAAACCTTTCTCTCTTTCATGGTGAATGCTAACGATGCATCTGAAAAGCTATCTCAATATGGCAAAGCGCGAGTGCTCGTGCCCATCAATGAGGTATTCTCATCATGCTATCTGGGGCATTGATCTCATGTCGTGTGATGATCATGTACTAGGTGGACTACAGGTCCTACTTCCTTCTAGATATGTTCGCTGGCGATTCCCTCTGATTTTTCAATCTTTCTTCGCTATCATTGTCATGGTCGGGCTGCGATTTCTTCCCGACTCTCCTCGGTGGCTCATCATGCAAGGCTAACACACAAAGGCTCAAGATATTACATCTCGGTTGCTTGAAATGGACGAAAACAGACCCGCGATGCGTGAAGATATGCGAAATATCAATGAAGCTTTCGAGGTTCAAAGCCGGGGTGGCGGATTCCAGATGAAAGAGCTTCTCACCAATGAACCTTCACAAAACCTCTGCCGTGCAGTACTCGCTGTGATCTCCCAGTCCTTTCAACAAATGTGTGGAATAAGCTTGGTTTCTTATTATGCCACGATCTTGTTTGAGAACTCCCTTTGCTTTCATGTCTGACGTGGCGCGTCTTTTGCCCGTGCAGCATAGCTTGAAGATGCCTCATCTTTCGGGCCAGAAGTTGATCGGGAGCTGCTGCAGTACTTTGGACCGACGGACACTAAGACACGGGAATGAGTTTGGGTGCTTCATATGAATAGCAAAGCTAGGCTTGTATTCGAGTATCCTCTCTTTCTTTGTCGATCGGGGATGCCTTGATACCCCATTGAAAGGACTGTCAACTTGCAATATTAGAACCTACATACTAGAACCATTTTCAATCAATCTTGATGTACGGAAACATTTAGCTGCGAGAATATTTGTTCTTATTCTGGTCGAGTTGCAAGTAAGAATTCGATCTTGGCACTTATGTCTTACTCATTAAAGATGTAGCAGCTGCTCCGTCTCTTTCTACGTGTACAACTACACATGGATCATTGGAAAATTTGAGAAAACAGAGTGTACATGGTCTAGCCGTGAAGTTTTATTAGTCTCGCAAGCCTGATATCATGACATAACACAAATTCCCATCAGCAAAAGCCAAGACCGAGACCCCATGCCCTAGACGCTCCGCTGCGCAAAGGAAAGTGGAATCAATCCACTGACTGAATCGCCGAACGCCAAAAAAAGAGATCAAATATTTGGAACATTGATGAAGAAAAACCAAAAGTACCGCGGCACACCACCTAATACCTCCGGCGGGTAGGCTCAGGGCTGGGGCTGCGGGAAGCGCTGCGCGGATCTCTGCCACGCTCCTTCAGCCACTTCTTGGTGCTGAGTCGCAACTCGCGGTCCAACTCGGCTGAGGGGTCTTTCCGGTGAATGAAGTTGCAGAATCCCCCTCGTACACACCCCTCGCCGCTATTCAGCCGACAACAGGCTTCTCGGAAATCCGTCACCGGTGATAATTCGCAGTATATGGGTCGCGCTGCATACCAGCGGGAGTTTAACGCGTCGCATGCTTGCTGCGCATCTTCTTCGTATTTGAATCGGCCGTACACGTTACCAATGAGATCTGTTACGAAGCTGAATGTTAGTAGACTGTCCGACAAGTCAAAGAGATCAGTAAACTTACGGTCATTGTTGTTGTCGCAAATAACCAGCTCTTCGAGCTCGCCGTACTTGCATAGCTCACACCATACGTCCTCGTAGAAGGCATCGAAATGGTTTTGCATCTGGCTCGGGTTCATCTTGTTCTTGGGGTCGTAGGCAGGGTTTTGATACATGTTCGGCATGAGGATGGTTTGCGAGTACGAGGGTTTGACGTGCTTGCGAGAGCAACGGTCGCCATGGCGGCATGCGCCAATCTTGTAGTAGAACGAGCAATTGACCTTGTCCTGCTCGGTACCGAAAATTGATGCGAGATAGTTGGCCATCTTTATGTCGTGATGCTCCTGCGGAGGCTGTTTCTCGAAAACGGTGAGAAGAAATATAGACGCAAGTCGTCGCAGGTGAAGGGATAGTAAGAGAGGAAAGAAGGAAAGAAGACAAGGAGTTGCTTTGAAAGCTGGATGATATCGGATGCCTGAAGTTTCTGGAGAGCTCGAGTGGCGCCGAATCGATGGATGACTAAACCTGGAGAGCTGATCTCGGATTATCTTTATTGCGAGGTGCCGGGTCCATACTGTACATTCTACAATGTATATCAAACTTCGAGTCAGTAATTACTACTTCACTTGTGTGGATCGATCTACATCTAAATTAAACGATTGATCATCTGGAAATGAACCAATGGATACTGTTTGCTTTGATCGCTCACATCATCTTCCAACCGCCATCGTGGCTTGGAGCTGGCCCCGTTCTACTGACAATTAATTTGCTTATATAACTTATATAAAATCGGAAGTTGATGCTTATTGATCACTTTAGAAACCCTTCGAACAGAGGTGTTTCTCGACAAACTATACATATTTGCAACATAAACTGGACTTTGAAATACTTGGTTTTCGGATAAGGAAATTATCACAACCAAGTGTAAAGCTCTAAGAACTGGTCTGTCTTGGTAAGTATTCAATGGTCAACAATCTATTCAAACTGTTCATTGCTTGAATCATATTCAAATGGAAAAATAGAAAGTGTATACAAGCACCGAGCATAGACTAGGCTTTATGTAAGTTGAGCTGTCCAATCACTTACTTCACGAAAGAAATAGGACTATAAAAAAGAACTAAACCATGATCATTTTTGAGGGTGTTGTTAAAGTGTTTACTCAGCATCTTTGGCCAATGAAACTGGAATTTTCCGGTCTGTCTAAATTTTGATATGCTCGAAAATATTTGCATTACACTTGTTCTCTTGATCAGGTTACCAATGCATAGTTTATGCTGAGAGCCGTTTGTGAGGACACAACCTTCACTGCGTAGCAGGTGCATCATTGTCAAACGAATAGACATTTTAAGAACTTATATTTATTTGATTCAAGTATCACATATGTGTTATCTCAGGAAGAAAGAATATGGATAGCGGAAAACCGGTCAACCCCCCACGAGATTAATAAGCCCCGCACAGGAATCGCGAAGCTTGGTCTCCTTCCCTGTCACTTTGGATATTCCTGTTGAAAACTAAATTTTCGCAATTGAATGATCAATCTAACTGTAAGTCAATTCCATCACAGAATCTCCTATTACTCTTTTTTTGTCTGGGATATCAGCTCTGCCAAGAACCGTCCAGTCAGTCTTTGCCTGATATCCGGCGATCTTGATGGATGACACCATTGACCTATTGTTTTGCATGATTTATACCTTGATCTAACCTTGATCTACCTTGCCCTGACAGTGCTGGCCTATTACTGTTATAATAAGCTGCTGACACCCAATACAGTCCAATATCATGGCAGCTAAGACAATCATCGTCACCGGAGCCTCAAGAGGTAACAATGACACGTACCAAGCTTCATTGATAGCTATATACTAACACCGTACCTAGGCATTGGTCTTGCTGTGACCAATTATCTGCTCACAGCACCTCAATCCCATAATGTGGTAGTGGTGGCCCGCAGTGTCGAGCCTCTTCAAAAGCTCAAGGAGCAATACAGCAAGCAGGTTGAAGTGGTGAATGGTGACCTGGCAGACTTTTCTCTAGCCCAGAAGGCCGTCGACACAGCTATCAATAAATTTGGCCAGCTCGACGGATTGGTCCTCAACCACGGCCTCCTGGGTCAAGTCGGTAAAATTTCCGAAGCTGATCCACAACAGTGGAAGGAAACCTTTGATGTCAATTTTATCAGTTTGGTTGCTTTTGTATGGAAGTCCAGTTATCGATTATGCATGCACTGCTAACATTATACAGGCCAAAGCGGCTCTACCGGCTCTGCGTAAATCCAAGGGCAAAATTATCTTCACGTCTTCTGGTGCTGCCGTCAACGCTTACCGAGGCTGGGCTCTTTACGCTGCCACCAAGGCCGCCATGAACAACTTTGCTATGAGCTTGGGTGCTGAAGAACCCGATGTCACTTCCGTGTCTATCAGGCCTGGTATGGTTGACACTGAAATGCAACGTGCACTTCGGGAAGATCATGCTACGGCTTTGGATGCCGAGATGCATTCCAAGTTCACTGGAGTCCACAAGGACGGCAAGCTCCTCAAGCCCGAGCAGCCCGGTCATGTCATGGCCAAGCTGGTCCTCGATGCGCCGAAGGAGATCAGCGGCCACTTCTACTCGTATGTTTTATTCCACAAATGCTACGCGAGATACTAATGTTTTGCAGATGGAACGACAAGGAACTGGAGAGTTTTCAGGCATAGAAATTTCATTATGAGCTATGTAGAATTTTTCATATCTGTGGTCTTATATAGCAAGTCAGCAATGATCGCCATAAAACAATGAGTGAATAATTCAAGACATTGATTATTTACAAGTCAGTCGAAAGATGAAAAGCAATACATTTTAGAAGCATTAGGTGCAGTGCACCTTCATGTTTAGCATGGAATGTAAAGGTATACATCATGTAATTGGAACTGAAGATATATCAAAATTCTGCGCGTACCTTTTATAAGAATACAGATGATATCAAGAATCCCAAATCCTCCGAAATTGTCCCGTGGATAGAGCTACTTTCAATGCAGTATCTGTAAGACTCTTCAATAAAGTTAGCAATGGCTTCAAGCAAATGAAGTGAGATGCAAAAATAGGCAGTATTGAATGTGTTCAGATAGTCCGTTTGGCTAGGACAGGTAACGTCACCATAGAATGTATGATAGGGGCGACAACAAGGTTCATCATGGTAAAAATTTAAGACAAAGTGAATTCAAGCAAGAACTTACCATTAGTTCAGAGCCTAGGAAAGAGTCAATCTCATTTGAAAGACTCTTTCCAAGGAAGGTTGAGAGAAAGAAGACTGATGAAGAAGAGAAGGATATGTAGAAAAAAATTCAGGCTATAAGTGGTCCAAGGCGGTGAGTCAACTTTTTCTGCCGGCAAGAAAATGTACTTAACTCCGTCGCGCGCCTACGATGGGCCTTGGAAACTTTTGAGCCCCACGCAAAAGACCAACGAAATTAAAGCTGAAACTGTCTCTCTTGAGCTTTTCCTTTGGGTTTCATTCTATTTCTTTATCTACACTCACAATAACTTAACCATGTCTGACCGTGAGTTCAACTGTAAGTGATCTCTGGAAAATTGGCCGCCTGCGCGCACCCTGCTGACCTATTTTGCATAGCAAACGATGACCTATCGCTGCCTAAAGGTATGTTTGGGATAAATTTGCTATGATTATTATGCGTGGTTGTGGGTGCAAATAGCTCTTTGCGCACTTACAGCTCTGCATCCGTATTAGGTCATTTGCTAACTTATCTTGCGACAGCGACGGTTCAAAAGATTATCACCGAGATTCTGCCCCCTAGCTCTGGTCAAACCTTCTCCAAAGATGCGCGCGATCTTTTGATGGAATGTTGTGTCGAATTCATTACTCTGATCTCCTCAGAAGCGAACGATATCAGCGAGAAGGAGGCTAAGAAGACTATTGCCTGTGAACATGTGGAGAAGGCACTCCGAGATCTCGGATTTAGTGATTACATTTCCGATGTACTTGCCGTTGCGGAGGAACACAAGCAGCAGTTGAAGGTATGTTTAGGTTTGTGTTGGATATGTTGCTGTGCAATTACTGATCTATGGTTATCTTAGTCACGAGAGAAGAAACAGAGCAAGATGGAACAGAGTGGTCTGACAGAAGAGGAGCTCCTTCGGCAACAACAGGAGCTGTTCCGGTCTGCGACTGACAAATACAATTCCGTCCCGGAATAGACACACTTGAGACTCATGCTGGTCATAGAGTGAAAAGGGTGGGCGTTACGTGTGTACCGGGTATATGGGTTTGGAGTTTCTCTTGTGTTGGTTCCTCGTATTTTCTGTTATTGCGTTGAGAATGGGCTGGCTGGGGTGGGATATATCTTTATGACGCGAAAGCGCATGCATTAGTGAATCGTTGAATTGCACTTTGAACATTTAATCTATCGACGTCATTTCTAAGTAGCTGCCCAGTTAGATGAAGGCTAGATGAGAGACCACTTTTATCTCATACCTTATAACTTATATTTGGTATAGGTACCTAGGTAGCTTTGGAGGTGCTTAGAGTGAGGAAATTTATATTTTATTAGTTTTACTATGAAAACGAACTATACATATACATATACAGCTTACTCCGTACATATATATGTATCCATGGGTCAATGAATTAATTTCAATTCCTCCCATTGTCCTCTATAGCGAAGTCAAGAATATTGTGAAAATACCGAGGATAAAATATTTATCCGACTTACAAGAAATATAGTTATTAGAAGTAGGAAATAAAACATGGAAATATGATGTTGGTGGCCTCAGGCTCCCACACCTCTTAGTTCTCCCCAAACATGCACGTGATCCCATTTTCCACGTGATCTCACACTAACCATCAACGCTAAACCAAAATGGGACGCAAGCGCAACTCTCGCAAACCGAGCCAACGCGCCCGGAAAGCTCCCGAGCGTTCAAGTCATCGCAAGAGTTCGCCGGAGCCGCAGCCGCAATCCCAGCTGCCATTCCCCCTTATCAGAACAGCCATGCCTCCATTCAAGGATGAGCATATCTTGGTACGTTCAATTGCTACTGCAATCCCAGCACCACTAATAAAATTACCAGTTGATTGCGCCCGGTTCGCAAATGACCCTGGCGCAACTTGGTCTGCCCGAAACATTCACGCCCGCGAAATTTAGATTCCCCACGCGCATGTTCCCCGCCGAAAAGAAGGGAGAATACGAACCTTACCGCGTCAAGGAGAAACGCCAGCAAATCAAGATTAACAATGGCACAGCTTCCCCAAAGGCCGATGTGGAGATGAAGGATGCTGAATCGACCGCTCCAGCCACTGAAACTGCTGCCAAGCCCGAAGGTGAAGGTGGAAATACTGATCACAACGAGGAGCCGACCAAGGCCGTCGAAGAGATTGTTTACGAGGAGGATGTGGCTTCCGATGAAGGTGCAATTTACCCAATTGAGAATGGGCGCGTTGTCGACTGGCCCTGCTTTTTTGCCTTGCTCACCCACATCTACAACACTCTGAGCCCACCTTTCCACACTCCCATCATGCTTATCGGTCAGCCTGTCTGGTCCGCGCGCGATCGCGAAGCAATTGCCCAATTCGTTTTTGAGAAGTTCAAGGCCCCCGCATTCAGCCTCATGGATTCTGCTCTCGCGGCTTGCTACGGCTATGGTACAGCTACCGCCACCGTTGTTGATGTTGGAAAGGGCAAGGTTGATGTTACTGCTGTCACCGATTTTGCGGTCAACGAACACGGTCGTGGAATTGCATTGGAGGGTTGTGGTGGAGACGCTATGACCGATCGTCTTGTTGAGCTTCTGGGTCCCAAGGGATTCAGCAGGGAGATGTGTGAGCAGCTCAAGAGAAGCAATATTACTGAGATTCTTCCTCCGGGTACGCCTCTTCCTGGAGCCGCCGCTACCGCACGACAGGGTGCCAACCCTGCGGCTACTGCTTCAACTGGTGGACCAGACGCAAACGATTCTGCTCCTCGTGGTCCTGGCGATGGCACTCAAACCGGATTGGAAGCCAATGATGGTGATGAGGAGGACGGTGTTCTCGATGTCGCTGCCATTGTCAGCGGCAATACCACTGAATATCTCGCCAATATTGAGAAGGAAAAGACATCTAATAAGAAGGGCGCAGCCGACCCCAAGGGAGTGCGTCTGCCCAACTCAAAGAAGGAGAAGGCATCATTCCAATTCGAGGAGTTTGTGCAGTTGGAAGGAGAGAAGGCAACAGCCAATGGTTCTAACCAGTATGCCCGTCACACTCGGGAGATCGAAGTCAGTGTTGAGCGTTTCCTTTTGACATCGCCTCGCTCAACAGTCGGAGACCGCCTGACTGGTGGAATCCTCGAGGATATTGCGACTCAAATTCATCACACTATCCTTGCTGTTCCGGATGCCACCAAGCGAAGCGAGCTTTGGGACTCTTTGATTATCGTCGGATGTGGAAGCAAGGTCAAGGGTGAGTTTTTAATATCTGCATACATCTTATGACATACATAACTAATTGAAATTACAACAAAATAGGCTTCACTCAGGCTTTGCTCGGCGTTATTACCCAAAAGTTCATTCTCTCTCCTTCCGGCACTATCTTCACCTCCGAAATTCCCTCCACCTTCAGCACTCCTCTTCCCACGGGCGGTACCAATACACCAGCCCCCATGGGCCAGCCGGGCCCAATGTATCACCCTGCCGCCCACGGCGTGAACCCTCTCCTCGTGGCCGCCACCCACAACAACCCCGGCATACCCGGTGCCATTCCCGGTACGCCCTCCATGGATCCCAACATGGCATCCCACTACCGCTCGACCGGTCATTCGCAGACCCCAACCTCTGCCAAGACCCTGAAGCTCCCTGAGTACTTCCCAGACTTCAAGGACCAGGGCAATAGCAACGCTCCCGGTGTCAGCACAGGCCATACTGGGGTAAATCCGAATGCTTCCCAAGGTGGCCATGGCATGGAGGAAGCTGTGTTCCTCGGTGCCCAGATGGCTGCCAAGGTCGTATTCGTTCTTGACCAGGGTCTCAGCAAGGGTTACATGAGCCGGGTTGACTACAATGAGAACGGACCGTCTGCTATTCACGAATACATTCTGTGATTGGCATGTCAATAATTTACGTTTCTTTTTGACTCACCTGTATGCAGCTTGGGTCATCTTATTTTATGTATGCTAGGATCCCTGAGAAGCCCAGGAAGCAGGCGTAGGATTTGGGGAGTTCGGTTTTCATAGTTCAATTCAAACATTCTTAGCCAATCAATTCTCGGTCATGTGACTTTATAATCGCATCCTTATCGGGGATTCGCCGCATCTTTCATCTCCAAGTCATCCTCTGCAACATTTCACCATTAATTTTTGCCTGCTCTTTCACTTATCTTTTGTTCTGTATACTACTCATAGTCACACAAAATGCCGCGCGCTGAGGCAGGTAGTACCAAGGCTATTGGAAATAGGATCAAGTCCAAGGGACTAGGAAGGTTGCGATGGTACTGCCAGGCCTGCGAGAGGTAAGTCTTGGAGCACTCCTTTGGTTTTGCGAAACTGATGGCTGACCCCTTGGTTCTTGATTACAGGCAGATGAGAGACGAAAATGGTAAGTCTACCAACCAGTCAGGTTATATCTGCAGGTTCATGGCATGGCTTAGCCTGTTATTGTCTTCAATATTGTTGCGCCAGTCGCTAACTCACAAAAGGATTCAAGTGCCACACTCAAACAGAAGCGCACGTTCGACAGATGATGCTCATCGGCGAAGATCCGCGCAAACATATAGCAACCTACAGCCGAGAATTCGAGAAGACATTCATAGGTGAGCTTTTCTTGCATCGAAATTGCGCACACACATATAACTAACGTTACAAATTATAGAGCTCCTTCGGACCACCCACGGAACCAAGTCAATTAATGCGAACCACTTCTATCAGCAAATCGTCTCCGATAAAGAACATATCCACATGAACAGTACGCAATGGAAGAGTTTGTCCCAGTTCGTCGCATACCTCGGAAAAGAAGGAAAATGCCGGGTAGAAGACACCGAAAAGGGCCTGTTCATTGCATGGATCGATAATAGCCCGGATACATTACGTCGTCGCGAAGCGGTCTTAAAGAAAGAACGCCAAGAAAAGGGCGACGAAGAACGAGAACAGCGTCAGATTCAGGATCAGATCAAGCGGGCTAGTGCGATGGCCAAGCCAGAAGAAGAAGACCCAGAGGCAAAACTTTTGCAACGAAAGGAAGGTGAGAAGATGAAGCTAGACTTTGGACTTGGTGCGAAGAAACCCACAGATCCCAAGCCGGATGCGAACCAAGCGAAGCCAGCTTCACCTTCAGATATGGCGTCTACGACTGCAGAGACACCTGTATCCGAGACAACAGATGCGCCGGTTGAAAACACCGATTCTACTGTAGCTGCTGCCCCAGCGCCAGTCAAGCTTTCAATGTCAATGGGTACCCAGAAACCGAAGAATGTGTTTGCTGCCGCTAAGAAGAACCCTTTGGCTGGGAAGAAGGGGTCTGTTTTTGCGGCTCCCAAGAAAATGACCGAACAAGAACGAATCATGAAGGCTGAGATGGAGGCCATGGAGCGGAAGCGATCTCGTCCGGATTTAGGGTTTATGAACAAGCGACCAAAGATGGCTTAAAACGTGTTCGTCCCAGTCAGCCCTGACTGGAGATCCCCATATCTCACATATCAATTAATACAACCATGTTAAAGCACATGGTTTCCACGTAGCTCAAAGTCCTATCATCCGTGGATTAAAGTGTGCGACAAAGTTGGATGATAACTCGGCATTATATCTGTAAAATACTATCCATGGATAGTATTTTTTCATATTGGCCGAGTGGTTATGCGTTTATACATTAATAATTAGTCTAGATTAACATGCAGTACTTTATGTGCAACCCAACATCCCAAAACATCCCTCACAACCACCCTCCAATGATAGGAACCTGGCTATACATCTCATTCCAACCCTTGGCCTCCCAACCAACTCCCTCACCAGCACGACCGACAATGCCAAGAGCACCAGCAAGCCAAAATGCTGCACCAGCAGCAGCAACTCCATTGACAACCCACCACATCTTGCGCTGTCTCTTCGATCGAGTATTGCTATCCGAGAAACCAAGCAACCCATCAAGCGAGGCCTTCTGACCACGCTCCTTGCGCGCAGTAGTTACTCGCCAACCCATCCATGTCGCCCACCCACCAACAAAGTGCCATACGCTAGCAGTCACAAAGAAGAAATAGAAAGCATTCCAAAACATGGGAATGCGAGCAAAGCCATGCGCAACATATGCCAGCCCCACACCGGAACTACCACCATCAACAATCAATGGTGTAGCGCGGTTGACTAGTACATGGAGACCGATCAACGGCACAATGAAATACCCAGATCGAGCCTGGAGGGACACCCGAGGCCAGAAGTATAGTGTGTTCCGCTGAGCACGGGTCTCGGCGCCATATAGACGTGCGCGGCGTGTGGCGCGGATGTTACGCAGTGTAATCCCGGAGATTATGTGTGCAAGAACGGGTATGGTTAAAACAAGGTGTTCAAGGCCTGGGGCTTGGTAGATGGGCCGCGTGAGCAGCAGGTAGGACTCGCTTGAGGGCACGGAGCGAGTTACGAGGGGAATCAGTGAAGTGTTGGTGAAGTGGAGGATCGTGAATACTGTCGGTGGGTAGGTAGAGTATTTTTGTATACGGGTCACTAGGAATGTTAGAAGTTGTTGAGCTGTTTGGATTGTACGACATACACCATGTGTCCCAGCGATGGCCGCTGAGCCCTATTTTAGGAAACCCGGCACCGTTTTGAGAGGTTGGTTCAATCCTAGGAAAATATTCGCCGGTCTCAAAGCCTGGAGTATCTTCAACTGGCGATGGGTCCAGCTCTTGCATAGAGATGATCGACTTGGTGTCGATATCCTCCGGTTTTTGGAGCTCGGGGGATGGCATTGTTGTGGTTTTTTGTAGTTCTTGATACTAGGAAATGGAAAAGAGAAAGAAACGAAATTCGCTAGGGAGTCATCAGTCATGCATCTATACAAGACGAACGTTGAAACAAATCAAGGAAAAAGTTGGGAATGACGATCTTGCTGAGTCCCGAAAACGCGGCGTCTGTGATAGGCCGCCCTCTCCTCCGCAACCTCACTACATTTCTTTGGCCTCAACGACATGGCTCCGGTATGCATTATTTCAACGAATTATGAAGCGCAGGCTAATACATTATAGCGAGGACTGACCAACCCCGCGCCAAAGGTATGCAATAAGCTATTCGACAACTAGCAAAGCTAACACCCCCAGACTGAGTCGGCGCGCTCTGCGCTGAGCGCATTCACTTGCACACTTTGCAACAAGTCCTACTCGCGCCACCCGGAGTACGAAGCCCACATTGGATCGTATGACCACCAACACAGAAAGCGCTTGCAGGACCTCAAGCAGCTATCGCGCGATCCAAACGCTGCGGAGAAAGCGCGCCGCGCTGAACGCAAAGCCGATGCTGAGGCCGGTTTGAAGGTTATCGAGACGCCTGACAATGCTTTATCGACTGGGGCCAATACTGGTGGAGGTTTCAAGAAAGGAGGATTTAAGAGCTCTTTTGCTGCTGTAAAGGGAGCAGTTGCTCCCTCGGCCCCGGTTAAGAGGAATGTCCTAGGAGACGAGGAAGATACACCAAAGCCGAGGGAAGAGGCCCCGGCTGCTCCCCAGTCTCAAAAAAGTGAGAATGGTGACAAAGAAAGTGATACCGATGGAGAATATGGTGAGGACCATGAGGCTTATTATGATCCTCGTCAGCCAACTGGCTGTTATGGTGGGTGTCCAGGTCAAAAAGTCCAAGCTGCTGCGTAGTGAACTTCATGGACCAGTCATGGTATACGACAAGGCGTTCAGGGCATGGACATAACGGACTTTGCATTTTCTAATTCTCTTTCTTATTATATTTTACATTACAGTCTTTATACCAGGAACGAGGCATTTCGCAACGTTTTGGTATTATTTATGATGTACTCCAAGTTCAAATATGAGCAAAAAAAAAATAAACTACCATCTAATTTGCTGGAGCACATTTACGCTGGTCTGGATCTGGATGTAATGTAATGGTACATGCTTTCCAAAAATCTGTCTAAAAGCGTTGGACGACAAAAGCAGGGTAAAACAGGGACATGAAATGGAACAGATGAAAGGGTACTAGGCACACGGCTATATTATTAGGGACTCCTCAAGCTTACACGCGCAGCAGCTTGGCGGCCTGGCTGACGATGGTGTCCTCCTGGGGGAAGGCCATGTTTTCGAGGCCAGCGGCGTAAGGAGTGGGAACCTCAGCACCGGTAACACGGACACCGGGAGCGGTCAGGTAGTCGAAGCCGTACTCCATAGCGAGGGCGAGAATCTCGGAGGAGACACCGAACATGGGGTAGCCGGACTCAACGACCATGATGCGGCCGGTCTTCTTGATGGAGGCAATGATAGTCTCGACATCGAGAGGCTTGACGGAGCGCAGATTGATGACCTCGGCGTCGACACCGAACTTCTGCTTAAGCTCGGCGGCGGCGGTCATGGACTGGCCGACACAGCGGGAGAGGGAGACAATGGTCAGGTCCTTTCCGGGACGCTCAATCTTGGCCTTGCCGAGGGGGAGGACGAAGTCGTTCTTCTGGGCGGCCTCGCTCATAGGGAAGGACTGACCGTACATAAGCCTATTCTCGTTAGTTTCCCGATTCGTCCAAAGTTATCGGAATAATACTCACTCGTTCTCGAGGAAGACGACGGGGTTGGGGTCACGGATAGCGGCCTTGAGCAGACCCTTGGCATCCTCGGAGCTCCAGGGCGAGACGACCTTGAGGCCGGGAATGCTGCCGTACCAGGCGGAGTAATCCTGGGAGTGCTGGGCAGCGACACCAGCGGCGAAACCGTTGGGACCACGGAAAGTGATGTTGCAAGGCTGGATACCACCGGACATGTAGTGGGTCTTAGCGGCGGAGTTGATGATCTGATCGATGGACTGCATGGCGAAGTTGAAGGTCATGAACTCGCACTAGGTGAATTGTCGAATATTAGCATATATCCTCTTAAGATAGTCATTTCCGGTGTTTGTGGCAACTCACAATAGGGTGCAGACCAGCAAGAGCAGCACCGACAGCCAGACCAGTGAAACCGGCCTCTGTGATGGGGGTATCGATGACCCGCTTGGGGCCGAAACGGTCCAAAAGACCCCTCGTCACCTTGTAACTAGGAGAAGTCAATAACCGTTTGATTGCGACTCGAATCCTCTTCTTTTCGACTCACGCTCCGTTGTACTGTGCGACCTCCTCACCGAGAATGAAGGTCTTCTGGTTGAGTTCCAACTCCTCCGCCAGGGCCTCGTTCAAGGCGTCACGGACAGTAACATCCTTGGTACCGGTCTCGGTAGCATATCCGCGACGAAGAATTGAGGGAGCGCAAGCAGACTGGCGCAGGTTGGAGCGCAAAGCGGTGGAAGCAAGGCGCGAAGAGAACAGACGAGCTGTTGGGCGGAAAAGTCGGGGAGCTGCCATTGCGAAAATGTGATCGATTTAATCGATTAAGAAGAAATAAAAAAACAGATGAACAAAGATTGCAGACCGGAACGGACCGCACAAGCAATTGAATTGGAGTGAAGGTAAATGATTCGGAAAACTTATCGCCGTAATAATCTTTGAGATGCAAATCCGAAGATGTTGGGCTACACGTGATCTCAAGGTTCGCAACTCACCGGTACCTGTATTACTGTATTTTAATTGTACTTGAGTATTATACACAGCTCTATCTACTATCTACTATCTACCTACTACGGAGTAAACCGAACTGAATGACTTACATCTAACAACGGAAGAATATTAGCAAGGTCCTCTCCCAAATAAATATTGGGAGTCCTTGTGAAAATATAACTTCCATTTCCACCATGACACTGATGCTCTCCTTACTCTGGCTACTTCCGTCGGTACTCGCCGCTCAACCCTCCGCACCCGACCCCATCTCCGCTCCGCTACGATCCCTTGATTTCGGGCAACTGAATTTCCTCCATACTACCGATACTCATGGCTGGCTGGCCGGTCATTTGCAGGAGTATGCTTGACCCTGCTAAGCTTCGAGCTTTACTAACTATAATAGACCTTCTTACTCCGCAGATTGGGGCGACTATGTATCGTTTGCGACTCGCATGCGGGAAAAGGCTGAAGCACAAGGACAAGATTTGCTGGTCATAGATACCGGTGACCGAGTGGAAGGAAATGGCCTATATGACTCGTCTAAGCCGAAAGGTGTTTATCTTTCGGATATACTACGACACCAAGAAATCGACTTGTTGACGTCGGGAAACCATGAACTATACACGCAAAATGCCTCGGAGGCTGAGCTTCTCATCACCGTTCCTAATTTCCGGGGAAATTATCTCGCTTCGAACATTGATATTATTCACCCAGTTACCCAAGAGCTTGTGCCTCTAGCTCCTCGGTACAAGAAGTTTACTACCAAGATACAGGGCATTCGTATAGTGGCATTTGGCTTCCTGTTTGATTTCACTGGGAATTGGAACAACACTGTCGTCCAGAAAGTGTCTTCCACTATCAAAGAGGACTGGTTCCAGGAAGCCATCCGGGACAAAGAGGTTGATCTGTTCCTTGTAATCGGTCATGTGCCTGTCCATTCACCGGAATACCGGGCGATCTTCAAAGAGATTCGAGGGATTCGTTGGGATACTCCCATTCAATTCTTCGGTGGTCATCAACACGTGCGCGATTATGCGCGGTATGATTCCAAGGCCTACGGGCTGGCGAGTGGTCGATTCATGGAGACAGTCGGTTTCATGTCCATTGATGGTCTAAACACTCCGAAGAGCAATCACCTCTCCAGCGCGGTAGCCTCACCTGTCTTCAGGCGGAGATATATTGACCAGAACTTGTATTCTTATTATCATCATACTGGTCTGAATGAAGAGACATTCCCTACTGAAAAAGGTCAAAATGTCTCTCGGCTGATCGCCAAAGCACGGACCGACCTTCAGCTAGACCAGATTCATGGTTGTGCTCCACAAGACCTGTGGATGTCTCGAGTCAAGTATCCGAGCCCCAACAGTCTCTACACATGGCTTGAGACCCAGGTGTTGACCGATTCGCTGAAAGACGAATCTCGCGCTGATATTCCTACGCTGGCCGTAGTGAATACCGGCGCCATGAGATTTGATATTTTCCAGGGTCCTTTCACCCAAGACTCACTCTTTATCTTGTCGCCATTTACTAGTGGCTTCCGCTATGTGAAAGACATCCCTTATGACAAAGCTCAACTTATCGTTGAGGTTCTGAACAAACAGCCTCAGATTTTGCAAATGTCGCAAGAGGGTGAATATTCCTCGACAACACTGGCTCCTCCTGAGCAGCTTTTCTTCCCGGAAGATGTGGTGGTAAATAACTGGGGTCACTCGGATCAAACACCCTTGTCCGGCAAGCTCGTGCCTGGATACACCACCCAAGACGACGCGGGCACAGACGGCGATGATACTGTCCATGCTCCCATCTCTAGATACCGTGTATCAAACGTTATCCGAACTTTGTTGCACAATACAACCGAGACACCGGAGAAGGTTGATTTCGTTTACATTGACTTCATTGAGAAGTATGTGGTCATGGCTGCTAAGTTTGCTGGTCTTGATGTCGATTTTGCAAAGGAGAGCGACGTGTACATGCCGCAAATGTCTTTGACGACATTGGTTTTGGATTGGGTAAAGAAGCACTGGAAGTGTTGATTATGTAGACCTAGCTCAGTCTCTCACAGTGTTTTAACTATACGAACGACTATATGTCAGATTTTAATTTCTTGATATGGTAACACTTGTCTTCACTCATCACCACCAGTAAAAGTAAAGACACCCTTCCCACTGCGGTAACCACCCAGAGTGCCCTGCACACTCTCTGCGAGCGCTGGGCCCTCAGTCTCCCAGTTCCATTCAACTCTATCCACGGGGATATCCTGGAATTTCCCAGAGCGAGTCAATTGAAGCACATCCTTAATGGTGTTCTCCTTCAAAGCAGGGTTCTTGTCTCCCCATTTGCTCACCCAAAATCCGTCAAACGAAAGATTCTTGAAGATCAACAAGCCCGAAGGCAGCGCCACAGGCTGCTTCGACATAGCGCCATAAGTCACCATGTGCGAATCAGGAGCGAGAGTCTTCGCCAAAGCAGTAGCGTTCTTTCCACCAACACAGTTCAAAGCAAGGCGAATAGGTTCCCGACCCTGACGCGTGTGCTCATGAACCATATCCCGGAAGTTACCAGTGAGCATCTCCTCCTCAGTGATAACGACGGTCGCACCAAGCTCCTTGAGCTCCTTCTTCAAAGCCTCGGTCTCCTCGGCCGTCTTTCGCTGCCGAACGACATTCAGCGTCTTGATCCCCCACTCACGGCCGAATTGGATAGCCGCACGTCCAACGCCACTATTCGCACCGTTCTGGATCATCCATTCTTCGCCCGCGCGCATCCAGTCCCATTCACAGAAATCCCGCATCATGCGGTACGCCGTGACCGGGTTAACGCTGACAGTGCCGACCTGCAGCGGCGTCAGACCATCCTTGTTCTCGATCTTGATGAGCTGGGATTCATCAAGCTGGGCGTGTGTCCGCCAGGTTCCTTGCCCGGTTTGCTTCATGATGACCCAGTCGCCTTTGCTGAGGTTCTTGACGCCCGCGCCGGTGGACAGAACCTCGAAGGCACCTTCGTTACCACCTACGGCGGCCGGCTCCACATTTCCGAGCGCCGTTTGGAAGGGCGGCTTGCTGGGGTAGACGCCTTGAATTTGGTTCACGTCTGCTGGGTTCATGGGCGCTGCTAGCATGCGCAGGTTGACTTGGGTTGCGTGTGGTGCGGAGATTGAGTGCTTGTGAAGGCTGGAACTTATTAGTTTCAATTTGGTATTTGGGGGGGGTAGGTTCATACCGGAGAACGTCTTTCGGTTCGCCATATTTGGAGTAAATGAGTGCCTTTGCTTGCGTATAGCCGTAGACTGAAATGTATCTCCGACCGACCAATGGAGCTTGAGTGAGCTGCCCAGCTCTAGCCGGACGAATGCCTCGAGTGGCTTGCAAAACACTACGTGAAAACATTGCGAGGGGGAATATGTGAAGAAAAAGAAAAGTAGTCCGCGGATGACGTTTAAGTCGGCGAGCTCGGGCCGAAGGAAGTAGTTCCTGTGAAGTCATATATCAATTGACTTGCTCTGTCTGCATTCCACTGATGACATCTGAGCTATATTTATATCTCTAGCACCTATTTGTGTTCTTTTCATGATTACAATTGAAATATTATCAAGACCGTTAAACTATATAAAAGCTCCCTCATTACCTAGTACATGAGTAGTAAAAATTACATGCAACACGATAAACCGGATTCTTTTTTCTTTTAGTCAATTCTTGAATTCTTCTAGTTCTTGCCTACATAGACTAGTACATAACTACAATATTATATTGTACATTGAACCATACTCACCATACAAATGTTGTACATGTACATAGTTACGTAGTAGGACTCGAAAGTAAACGGAGAACCGATAAACCAGCACGGGCCAACCGGGAAACTCGCATTCCTCCTCTACACACACTCTCTTCTTCTCCTAAATGTCCTTATTGCGCGAAGCTGAGAGGTGTGTCGCTAATCAATATACACACAATTTCAATGCCTTCATAACCCCGCTGGCACGCGCGGGGCAATGGCTCGACCGCGTGAAAGAAGCAGATGAGCGCAAGGAACAAGGTACCACCAAGACACAGGCGCACACTGTCTACTTGAAAGCTAATGACATGAAAGGGAAGCCCAAATCCGCCGTCGATGGCCGTCTGATCTCCATCAAAGACAATATTTGCACACGCGACCTCCCGACGACTTGCGCTTCCGGGATTTTGGACAAATTCACCAGTCCCTTCAATGCCACCGTCGTCGATCAGCTAGAGGCTGTTGGGGCTATCATAGCCGGGAAGACGAATTTGGATGAGTTTGGCATGGGCTCGAACTCGATTAATTCACACTTTGGTCCGGTCAAAAATCCAAGGCGCGATGCTAGCGGGGAAGATCTCTCTGCTGGCGGTAGCTCCGGTGGAAGCGCTGCTTCAGTTGCGGCCGATCAATGCTATGCGTGAGTCGCTGTCGCTGTCGCCATCCGGTAGATGGTATTAGATGGTAATTGCTAACTGGCACAGTTCGCTGGGGACAGATACCGGAGGCTCGGTCAGACTGCCAGCCGCATACACGGGGACCGTAGGCTTCAAGCCATCTTACGGATTGATCTCACGATGGGGCGTGGTGGCATATGCGAATTCACTGGATACAGTCGGCATACTGGGGAAAACAACCGCCAACGTCCGGGATATATTTGGTAAGATTATTCGCCAAGTCTCGATCCATGGCTAACACATCGTTATTCAGACATCCTCAACAAACATGACCACCGCGATCCTACCAGTCTATCTATCTTCTCTCGCGACCGAATTCAACACTCCCTTCATAACCCACAGCTCACAGCCCGACTGAAATCCACTTCTCTCCGAATTGGCGTGCCAATCGAATATAACGTTTCCGAGCTGACGTCGTCTGTCAGACGTGCTTGGGCGCTTTCACTGGCACACTTGAAGAAACAGGGCCATACCATCCACTCGATTTCTCTGCCTGATACAAAGCATGCTTTGTCAACTTATTACGTTGTCGGTCCGGCTGAGGCATCTTCGAACCTGGCTAAATATGATGGAGTTCGGTACGGCACTCGAGCTGAGGGCCCAGATGGAGATGGGAAGCCAGATGGTTATTTGTATGCCAATACGCGCGGAGAAGGGTTCGGCCAGGAAGTCAAGAGACGGATTGTTCTGGGGACATTCTCTTTGAGTGCTGATGCTATGGACAACTATTTCATTCAGGCTCAGCGGGTGCGTCGTCTTGTCCAGAAAGATTTCGATGCTGTTTTTACGGCCAAGCACCCACTTGCTGCTCATGGGACTGGGATTAAAAAGGAGAATGATGTCGATGTCATTATTTGTCCTACTGCTCCTTCGTCTGCGCCGCGCTTGTCAGATCTGATGGACAAAACTAAGCCCAAATCACCATTGGAAGGCTATGTCACCGATGTGTACACCGTTCCGGCCAGTTTGGCTGGCTTGCCAGCAATCTCGGTTCCGGTGACTGTGTCTGGTGAGCAAGAAGCCGAGCTGGCTGGTATCCAGGTCATTGGTCAATATGGAGATGATCAGCTTGTTATGAAAGTTGGCGAGATGTTAGAAGGGAAACACTTGGAAGCATGATCCAAGGGTCTACTGTACGATTACATATAGATGTTGTATATCATGTCGAGCAAATCAGCTATCCATGGAGAAATTGGTATCAATAATATTGTGAACCCCAACGCCGGTATCGCTTTTTCATGTAACCCTGATCTGGGGCATTAAGTCATCTCAACATCGCCATCACCATCGCCCTGCACTTCGACATTAGGCGTGCCAGCCGTTCCAATGCTCGTCGTATCTTGAACAGGCTGGTTGCCGACATCGCCTGCAGCCGGTGTCTCGCGATTGCTATTCGCCGCAGAATCAGACGCTCCAGCCGTGCCGGGGGTATTAGCAGCGAGCGCATAGTCAAGCGCCGCACCAACGCCACCCTTCAGAACCTCTGCTCCGCCTACAGCTCCGGTTCCATCTAGCTCCGTGTTATTGTTAATCACATCGCCGTCAATGCCGCCCCATGTGAACATCGCTTCGACCTCGTCCACAATGTCGGCCACCACGTCTTCGACGATTTGATCGTTGAAACGCTCGCCCATGGGACGGACGGGCGCTCCGGTCTCAGTGTGCTCGGGTGGACCAACCCACCACGGTCCTTCGAAACGGCATTCAACGGCGCCGCCGCCATAGCAACTTACTGCGGGGTAGTAACCAATCATACCATCGTCGGCGTTTTCTCGCTCGCCGATACCAAGGTTGTTGGTGCCATTGGCGAGACGACTGGCGGGTGGCAAGAAAGCGTAGAGTTCTTTGAAGGGGGTACCCATTTGAACGCCATTCTTCAAAATGGTGATACTGGACCCTGGCAGTGTGCGAAGGGTGGCATCTTCGCTGTTTAGAGGAGACGGGGGGCCAAAGGTTGGTGTTTCTTTGAGGTTGAATGCGTAGTCGCGGAGATGTTTAGTTGAGAAAACATTGGATTGCTGCCAGCAAAAGTCGGATTTGTAATGGAAGGGAATCCGATCACGAATGATATTGGCTGCACTAGGAGGTTGGGATGAGCCGTCTCCATCAGCCACCGGATCGTAAGATCCTTCAACAATTTTCTTGTGCAGTGACAGAGGTGGAAGAGTAATGAGCATGCCAATGACATCGCCTTCATTGATAGCCTCGCCCTTGGGGAAGAAGAATTCGCATCGCATGCGGTTGACCACTTCGCCGTTGACGTCCCGAATCCCGTACCCGTAGCAGTCCACTCCGACATTCACATCAAGGTCGGCCTCGCGTCGGGCGAATCCAATGCGAACATGGCCGCGAGGCGAGGTTTTCGGTCTACCGTTAGGGGCCGCTGCTGGATCGTTCACAATGCCACTGATCACACGAGCTTCGTAGTAGTAGGTGCCCTCCCGAGCACATACGTTAGCGCGAGCAGTGTGCCATGCATCACTAGTGGTCACCGCAGTGGCACTCTCCGAAAATGAAATGGCAGCTGGCGAATCCTCAAAACTAAACCGGGCATGGTATGGGCGAACATCTGTCTGGCGATATTTGATATGAGGGAAGCCCGGGTCTGAGATGGCATAGCTGTAGCGAAATCCATTTTTATTGGTGAGTTTGTCGACAACCTCATAGAAATCCCAGCTCTGACCGAGAACGTCGGAAGACTTTCTGCTCACTAGATTCAGTTGGCGAGGCTGTGGAGGGAAACGATCTGAGTCGTGTGGCTCGGCGAGGAGCAATGGACGGAGAATGCGCAGCTTGGAGCTGGGAAGAGCTGTGTTTGCCGCTGCTGTGGCGCGTTTCTTCGGTGGAGGTGGTGCACTTTCAGTGTCTAGGCCCTTAGCCTCACGCTTCTTGCGACTGTCTCGCTTGTTGCGCTTTGCTCGACCATCACCTTGAGCGGAGGGAGCCGGAGAAGATCGCGCGTTCAGATCGGTGAATTGCGCATTGAGCAGAGGTCCGCCATTGGGTGGCAGAATCGGGGAGTTGACATTGGACGATGGAGCGGATGAACCTGGAGCTTGCGATGCCATAGTGGAGGTATGGTGGTAACGGCTATCTAGGGCAATCAATGAGCAAGCTGCATAGCTAGCTTGTGACCGTTACTTACATTGAATGCGTTTGAGGTTTGGAGCTGTTTCAGCTCATGCAAGCAGTGGAGACCCCCAATTCCCAAATTTCAAGGACAGAATATCTTGGAGAATCACAACTGCAGCAGTAAGGATTTCTCTCTAATAAATAAAACGCCGTCAACCAGCACCTTGTCCTTGTGAATATAGGCGGTCAATGATATTAAGGCAGAAAAGTGATTGAAGCCGTTTAGGGCGGTGTGGGGTATAGGCGGTGGGTTGATTGGGGGGCACCGCCGGGCAGAAAAAAAAATACGACCACACAATTTGATTGCCGTGCACTTCGATAAGCCAAAACCGTTGGATTTATTTTTGAGGGTTTCCAGATATAATATCCGTCAAAATGCCCAAGGCATCGAGTTCCCGCGCTGCCGCCATGGCCCGTAGACACAACCCTCTCGCAGAAGATATCACTTCCGCGGGGCACCTTCGGACACAGAGCAGCAAAAAGGGCAAAGGCAAGGCCGAAGATGGCGAGGAGGGCGAAAATGGACAGCGCTACGTCGATGCGAAGATGTCGCGGAATATCCTCCAGCTTGGACAGGAATTAGCCGACGAGGATGCCGAGAGAGAAGCCAAAGATGCTACACAGCCCAAATCAAACGGCGCATTCGACTTCGACACTCGGTTCGACGAGGAGGAGGCTTTTTCTGACGATGAGGGAAAATTTGAGGCCGATGATTGGGTTGACGATGAGGTCGAGCAAGTTGTAAGGCTACCTTATTTAAAATATGAAATTCTTTGCTAACATTGAGGCAGGAGGTCGACCCCAATGATCTAGATATGTTCAACAAGTTCATGCCCCACGAGGAAGACCCTATTTTCCACCCCAAAGACCCTAGCTCCGCTGGTCCCACCAACCTTGCCGATTTGATCCTTGAGAAGATCGCCGAACACGAAGCCAAGCAATCTGGCGATGGCACATATGCCCCATACATCCAAGGTGGTGGAATTCCCGAGGACGCAGTACAGATCCCCGCCAAGGCCGTGGAAGTATACGAGAAGTAAGTGAAATCCCTTCGATTCATAGAAATCCCTACTAACCAGTTGTAGGGTTGGTATGATCCTCTCTCGCTACAAGTCTGGCCCGCTCCCCAAGCCCGTCAAGATTCTTCCCTCTGTACCGAACTGGCAGACCCTCCTCGACATCACTCGTCCCGAGTCATGGACCGGCAATGCCGTCTACGCAGTCACCCGTATTTTCATTTCGTCCAAGCCCCACGTTGCGCAGGAATTCATCAACATTGTCCTCTTGGAGCGAGTGCGCGAGGAAATCCACGCAACCAAGAAGTTGAACGTCCATACTTATAACGCTCTCCGCAAGGCTCTCTACAAGCCCGCATGCTTTTTCAAGGGACTTCTCTTCCCGCTCGTTTCTGCCGGCACCTGTACCCTGCGCGAAGCTCACATTGTCTCGTCTGTCATCGCCCGTGTCTCCGTCCCAGTGCTGCACTCCGCTGCTGCCCTGTTGCGCATGTGTGATCTGTCCGCCGAACAGTCCGTCACTGATGTCGAGAGCACTGGTGCGGTGAACATGTTCATTCGCGTCTTCCTGGAGAAGAAGTACGCCCTTCCATTCAAGGTCGTTGATGCTCTGGTCTTTCACTTCCTGCGCTTCCGTGCCGTTGACCCCGATGAGATGACCGATGGTAACGGGCTAGGAGCCAAGAACTACAAGCTGCCCGTTCTCTGGCACCAGTCCTTGTTGGTCTTTGCTCAGCGGTACCGTAACGATATCACCGAAGACCAGCGTGAGGCTCTTCTCGATCTGCTGCTCGTTCGTGGTCACAAGGATATTGGCCCCGAGGTTCGCCGTGAATTGCTCGCTGGTCGAGGACGTGGTGTGGTAGTTCCCGACCCCGAGGCACAGAACGCTATGGATGCTGGCGATGATACGATGGATGTGACCATCTAGATCCACGCGAGTTATTTGCCCCGCATTGTTTTCCGCTTACGATTTTGTCATGAGCACGTTTTGGGACGGCGTTTCCTCTTATTGTTTTGTCGATATATTTCCGGTCTGCATATAATCTGGTGTCAGGTTTTCCAAAATGGGATGAACTAGTTTTTACTAAAGTAGACTTGTTACAGATTCAATGGTTCCAATATACTGTTTTTAGTATAATATTGTATGATATTGTGTCAATAGGAGTAACTCCTATACATTATTAAACTTAAATAGTCCACCGTTTCAGCTCCCCCGGGTCTAGCGTAAGTTCGGCCGTGTTCCAAATGCTTCGGTAGTATCAGTACTCCGTACAATACATTGCATGAGGATTTGCGTCAGATTTCCCGCCAATGCGAATGGCCCCCTTGGTTAATCACGGACATTCCCAAACTCAGGGGCACGGAGAAATAGCGGGGCACACAGCCTTGGACACTGCACCAGATTCACATTGATTGGCGTTTTAATGGAGCATTCTCTCCGGGCAATGTTTGGACTTGGCTCATATTCAGGGAGGTACATATCGAATTGATCCACATGAGTCGAGACTGCAGTGTATCCATCTACTACACAATGTGATAGCGAGGTTGTATTCTTCTAGTGAAGGCATCATAGCGGGAGATAATTATGTTAATTTAAATAACTCAATATTTAGGCAATCTGTAGTCCATATAATTTGATTTAAATATTATACAGTCTACAATATAATATGTAAGTGAGACAAAATATTAGAATAGCAATGCATAATTATGTACACTTCGTGATAGTGATTTGCCCCCCTGTGAACGAGAATAGAAACTCGGACGCCTGGTAGAACGAGGCCTTCCTAGGTACCTAGGTAAGTAGCTCAGACTGACCAATCATAATTATTCCCCCGAGCTGAACCATGGGTATGCAGGGGCGCAGGGGCGGAAATGAGACGTGATTTACCGTACTTTGTGTATTTTACAGTATTTTACATGTCTCACACAACTAATCACCGACTCAGCCCCTTAGATGGTACTTACCACACCATAATATATATTATGAGCCACAAGGTAACTACGTCCGTAGGTTACTTACATAGGTCCATTACGTGTGTGTGCTTACGGCCCCCTTTGTCTTCCCCCGTATCCCTTTCAGACCACGCTGGCCTCTACTTAAACCTCACACATCTCCCGCTTGCAGTTTGAACAACTGTCCTTTCCCATTCTTTCTCTTCGCTGACTCATTCTCTGACTCAAAGTGGAGTCTTGGTCTCCGGTGCCGATCGTGATGATAACGTGGTCTTGATCTTTTGACTTCCCTTTCTATCAACACTACATACTCTCCAACTTGTTATATTCACGTCCGGCACCGGTTGTCCATTTGAGACCCTTGTCAACCATGGCCGATACTATGAACCCGTTGGATACTCTCCCAACATCCCCGGACCGGGAGATATACACAGTTTCTCCCGCAGATACATCATTAGAAACACCAGACCCTGAAGATGATATGATCAAAGAGGAAGATGACGAAGAAATTCTGGAAAATGAAAAGAAGCCTGCCAAGAAGAGAAAGTCTTGGGGACAGGAACTCCCTACCCCCAAAACAAATCTCCCTCCTCGGTATGTTGATGATGCAAATAACCCAAATGCGTTAACTTCCGCTAACGCAACTTCAGCAAACGCGCCAAGACAGATGATGAAAAGGAACAGCGTCGGATAGAACGGGTTCTCCGTAACCGTGCTGCCGCTCAAACATCGCGTGAGCGCAAGAGACTGGAAATGGAGAAGCTCGAGACCGAGAAGATCCGCATGGAGCAACAAAATCAGTTCCTGCTCCAGCGTCTATCGCAAATGGAGACAGAGAATAATCGTCTGAGCCAACAAGTGGCTCAGCTCTCCGCCGAGGTCCGTGGATCTCGCAGCGTGACTCCCAAAGCCAGCTCGCCAGCCATCGAATCCCCCACCCTCACACCCACCCTCTTCAAACAAGAAGGCGATGAACTCCCCATGGAGCGGATTCCCTTCCCGACCCCTTCCGTAACCGATTACTCTCCCACCCTCAAGCCCTCAACTCTGGCTGAGGCCTCAGACGTGACACAACATCCTGCAGCGGTGTTGTGCGACCTGCAGTGTCCGTCTCTGGCCTCGAAGGAACAGGCGCCCTCCCACTCTTCGATCTTTCCGACGAGCCTCAAACTGCAAATGACGTTGCAGCTCCTCTTTCTGACGATGACTTCCGTCGCCTGTTCAACGGTGATTCACCCGCTGAGCCAAATCCTTCTTTCCCTGAAGACGGGTTTGCCTTTGACGTTCTCGACGGCGGAGATCTATCAGCATTTCCCTTTGATTCTATGGTTGATTTCGACCCCGAGTCTGTCGTCCTCGAAGGCGTCCCCGGTCTTTCGGATGAGACTTCTCACCAGACTACTAGCTTGCAGCCCAGCCTTGGCGCGTCCACTTCGCGATGCGACGGGCAGAGCATTGCAGCTAGCGGTTAGTGAGGCTTTCTCTCCGGAACGGTCGGCTGGCGCCCCAGAGGCTCGACCGAGTTGGGAGTTGTTATTGACCATGGCCTGGGCAATCGATAGTCTCAGTCTGTCTCAACGACACCAGCGGGGGAATATTAAATCTGGTCGGCGACGCAGTAACGGAAAGATGCATCGAGGTACACGGAGTTTCCGGAGTTCCAGCGCGAGCAAGGCCCTGCTAGGGAAGCACCGCTGAGGGTTCTTTTGTATAATTAGCTTCTACTATACGCAAAATTGACTGGCTCATCTTGCAATCAACTTCTTTAAGTCGTAAATAGTAAGAACACTGAGTAGTACATAGTAAATTAATCGAAAAATCATACGAGCATCTCACTACTCCGTGACAAAGATAAAGATAGAGAGTAAACGGCAGTTCTGTTGCCTAAAATAGTAAACTCGGCTTTACCCACTGAATGCGGTCAGTGACGTTGCCACGCGCCTCAAATCTCCAAACACTCTTCCTATTCCACTCCCATTCTTATCTTGTACCCTATACACAACTAGATCAACATGGTTCGCAAAGACCCCATTTTCGAAGCTCGCACAAATGTCAAAGTGAGTTACAGCTATCTACGCCTCTACACACCCCCGCATCTTCTCTTGCATGCATCCCCCGCCTACTCAACTTACATATGCACCTACAAAAGAGATCCAAACAAGTACTAAACTCAACAGCTCCACTCCAACCGACTAAAGAAAGAAGCTGTTCGCGCCGAAGCGACCTTCAAGTCTGAAAAAGCCAAAGCCGACAAGGCGATGAAAAACCGCGAATTCCAAATCGCCCGCATCCACGCCGCCTCCGCAGTCCGCGAAAAACGCCGCCAGGTCACCCTCAAATCCGAAGCCGCCCGTGCAGATGTTATCATCAATGAATTGAAAGCCGCCCAATCCACCCGCGACACATCCCGCACACTGGCCATGGCCTCGCGCGGACTAGATGCTGCCTCAAGAAGCGTGAATCTCGAGCATCTCGTGTCACATGCGAATAACTTCCTCGCTCGCTCGGAGGACTTCAAGATTGCTAGTTCGGCTATTGAGGACGTTGCGCAGGGTATCTCTATGCAGGAGTATGGGGCTGAAGGGGAGACGGAGGTTGATCGGCTTATGGAGCAGTTGGCTGATGATGCGGGTGTTGACATGAGACTGAATCTGGAGGCTGATGCTGCGCCTAAGGAGGAGGTTAAGCAGCCTGAACAACAAAATGCTGAGGTTGAGGATGGACTTGGAGCTCGGCTGAGGGCTTTGAGGGCTGCTAATTGATTTGGGTCCCTTTACTCATATCTACGAAGTTACGGTATTCTGCTCTTTTACAAATGATTACAATACGTTTTTGGACAATTTTTTTCCTTCTAAGGGTTTTTTTTAATTTTACTCTTTGTCAATTCTACCTAACTCACTTCACTCACCTCGTTCACCTAGTTCTATCCTTAGAAGTGGCGGGTTTTGAGACTAGTTCTGATTAGGCTTATCGCCGGCACACTCATTGTTTTGGACTCTCTTTTCTTCTTCTCTCTTTCTCTGTCTCCCCTCTTTTTTTTCTTGTCTCTTTCTGGGTTCTTTGTTTGTGTCTTCTTTTATCGTTGACACTGACATTACTATTTGCCTAGGTATAGAATCCATCGACTTTCAACATAAACCAATTCTATTTATCGACCTTCGCTTCGCTCGAGGCAAACCAACTAGCGTGCGGCTAGATCGTAAACAGACAGTGCTCTCCACTTGACAGTGAAAATCGAGAGACATCACCAATCACATCCTCGCATCAGCCTACTCTAATGCGGGCAATTTCCACCGAAGTATGGCTTTTTCAAAATCGCCCCCAAAAGCCGCAAAATCAGGGTCTTTCAGGGTTTGAGGCGCTATCTAATTTTTTTATAAAACCATGCCGGACGCCTCGTTCCTAGCTGTGTGCGCAAAATCCCAGGGCCGTTGAAGATGGCACCTTTACACTCGTTTATTTGTTTTCTGTCTCTCGTTTTGAGCGTCCATGCAGCACCTTGGATCGTAACCGATGACTATGAACAAGAGATCTACACCGACGTCTATGGATCAAAAACAGTCAAAATCAACAAGATCAGCCCAACGGCAGTACTCCCCACTGAGGCTCTGTCCACTATAGTTTCAACTGCCACTGATACTTACGATGACTACACCATTGTTGAGAAATTATATCCAACCGGCTATGGCATTCATCGTGGTTACAATTATGATGGCTATTACAGCATGGCTAGCGATGGAAACTACCACACCACAATCTATAAGGTCAACGTGACCTACTCGGCCCCAACAGGCTGCTCAACTACATGGGCAGCAATCACCACTGCCGTGCCTGTGACTCCCCCAAATGAAATCCGCAACCTTCTCCCCAAAGAAACGGTCGGCAGCTCTACCTCCGTCGACAACTCACAGCCTTTTCAACCGACAACTTATGTGTACGAAATCATCTTCGTCGATCCAACCCAAGTCCCAAGCTTAGACTTGAGCTCCGCAAGCTACTGGAACAGACCAACTGCGAGCTACACCGGCCTCGGATGTCAGTATGGCGTCCCTTATGGCCCTATGGTCAGCGACCCCTACGGCGCCTCGCCCTACAGCGGTGGCAGTGGGTATAACAACGGTGAAACGTACGGTTACAACGACTACTATGATTACGACTGGTTCACCAGTAAATATGGATTGGGCATCGGGATGTCCGGCCTGGCACTGATTCTTATCTGTATTCTCGGCTGGGCGGGTCTCTTCTTCTTCCTGGGCATGATCGAAGCCTGGGTGAGATTCCGTCGTCTGATGACTGGTTGGCAGACTCGTCGTGGATTCCCTCTTTTCTGGGCCTTTTCTTGTTTTCCCATCTCGCTTCTCTTCCTGTTCTGTTTCCGGAGAGGATTCCGTACGCGCAGTAGGGAGGATGCGGAGATTTTGCAGAAAAGGTGGGATGCAATGAGTTTTGGGACCAAGTTGAAGCTGTACTTCATTTGGGGTTTCCGATTCAAGTATCCTACTGTGCTTGGACCCGCACCTGCGAGGGTGAAGGGTAGTAAGAGGCCGAGTGAGTCTGGGCCGCGGTTGTTAGAGGCGACCCCACCTGTTACTGCTGCTCCTTCGAGGGCTGGGTCTGAAAGGGCTGTGTCTGGTGAGATGCAGCAGGCTTCTCCCCAGACTTCTGGTGTTGTGTCGGGGAACAGGGATCCGGAAATTGGTCAGGCTCATTGATTGATGTTGGATTGACTGTGGGGTTGGATGTGTCTGTGCCGTGTTGGAGGGTGAGTCAATGATCTCTATGTCTATTACTTTTTAATCTTAATATGATACCACTCCCTTTTCTCTCTCTTCTCTTCCTCTCTCGTTTCGATGGTGATTGATCTTATGTCCTTTTGAATAGGATATACATCTCTAAATTTGAAGTCCTGTTAGTTTTGCTCGTACCGTTATTAGACATGTGACGAAGGCGTACCTGGGCAGTACTCTCTCTCTATGTATATATCGTTACATATATAGCCACAATCCATCCAAGGATCTAACTTTTCATTCTAACGATTTAAGAAAAAAACCACACAAAAACCAGCTACTTTCACGCTGTAGTCCATATCCACGTGTTTGTCACCCAACCCAACAACAACCCAGGTAAAAAGAAAGCTCACTTTAAATCTACTTATTACTCACATAGTAATAGCAAAAAGTTGAACAAAAATAAAAAGCAAAAAAGAAATCTTAAAGACCTTTTGGTTTTTAGGAAGAGCCGAACGCGGGGGTCGAACCCGCAGCCTTAAGATTAAGAGTCTTACGCTCTACCGATTGAGCTAGCCCGGCCTGGGCTGTTGAAGGAGGCACCCAAAATATGCTACATAAGCCAAATACATTTTACTTCCTCATCACCCCAAGTTCCCCCTCCATGGTCAGACACGCGCACTCATGGAGGTCGAGTCAGGGTCCGTCTCCGGACATAAACAAGCTGCATGTCTGACTTGCAGGCGGAGTAAGATCCGTTGTAATCGCTTGGCAGGCGAGACCCAGTGCGAAAAATGCAAGCAATCCAATACAGAGTGCATAGTGCCCAATCATCACCTCGGTAGACAAAAGGGTGTCAAGAAGTGAGTTGACTCAAACCGTTATGAGAAGAACCCAGGGCTGATAAATGTGCAGCAAACGTAAGGGCTTGGAGAAAGCCATCCATCAAATTGAGCAGGCCATCAAGAGGCCCAAGGTCGATGCATCCGAAAGCGAGGATGCCCAAAGGGCCATTTCTGGTTTGCAGGAACTACTCAATCAGGTTCAAGGCCAGCTGCAGAATGACCATGGTCTTTCCGAGACAGAGAACCTGCATGATTTGCCTTCTCCACATGCTGCGCATGAGAGCTTGACTCTGGATGATGCCGAGAATCCATTGCAGTTGCTTGCGAGGGCTTCTGATCTTCAACTTTCTCCTACTGGGGTGCGACACGTGCCTAAATCTCCGATGCCTTTACCGGAGGCTTCGTTACTGTTTCAGAGTACTCTCCTCCTCCGAACCAAGCGCCAAGTCGTTCTTCGTTCCGGCACGAGCGAACTTGGACGTTGGTCCTGATAATGATCCCGTTGATCTGGGGCTCGTCACATTTGATGAGTCAGAGTCTTTGTTTTCTTTGTAAGTATGATACAAATCTTTTAATGTACGTAGACTGACCTGCAGCTTCTATCAAAATCTGGCACATACTCGATGGGGCCTCGATCCTTTGGTACACACCCCGTCATTCGTGCGCTCTCAATCGTCCTTTCTTTTTACCTCGATCATGGCCGGTGCGGCTTTGTTTCTTTCTTCCGCTGCGGCCTTGTCAAAGAGACTCTCCCGGCATTGCAAATGGCTTGCGAAGCGAGTGATTACCAACCGCCACAGATCTGTAGAGATTGTTCTGGCTTTCATGGTGAACGTTCCATGGATGTCCCCGGGCGATAGCCTGGGGGACGATGATACTTGCTCCTATATTGCGATGGCCCTTACCGTTGCTTTGGATTTATCCTTGAACAAGATTGTTTCGCCGTCTTCAAGCTTTGACCAAGGACTCTTGAACCGCCTGGCCCGGGCGGATTGTATAGACGCTAAGCGGGCCTTGCATATGGATGGGTTTGATGATGTTGATCCTTCCTCGGAATGGGGGCTTCGCTTGCTGCGAAGACGCGAAAGAGCATGGATTGCATTATACGTTGTTGAGAGGGGGTGAGTGGACTCTCTATACCACCTGGTTGATATCGGCTAATTCCCACAGTGTATGCCTTGCACGCGGTCGAAGCTATACCGTTCCATCAACAGCGCTTATCAAAAACTGTGACCACTGGCATCTGTCAAATGTGGCAGATCGTCGTGATGGATCTATGAATTCCATGGCAGTTCTTCGAAGAGACCTTGTAGGTGCTTCCCGTAGAATGTTGGATCCAACTAATCTGACATGTTCAGGATGGACTTTTCCAAAAAGTCAAATCAAGTTGTGATAGCCACCGGATAGTTGATACTGGCTCTGAATTTGCGCAATCGTATGATAACTCCTGGGGTCTCAACCTTTTGTGACACTATTGACCAATCCAGAATCAAGAAAACCATCGAAACTTTTTACGAACGATGGTATTCGACATGGGCCTTGGCGATTGGGGAAGGGGAAAGTAAGTATATATATACCAGTGAATATGTTCTCGACCACAAACTAACACCTACAGCCCGTTCCCTACCTCCATATGTTGAAATTTTAGTCACGCACACACAGTTATCTACCTACGGCGGCGTTATCAATCACCCAACAGCCCCAATTGAAGTCAAACGATTCTTCCGAGCAGCTGGCTTGTCCTCCGCCCTGAATGTTCTCCGAGCCGCCACTCAAGGCGAGTCGCGACTGAAATCAATGCCGAACAACACAGTGATAATGATCTCCTTCGCCGCATGCTCCGCTCTCAGCCTCAGCGTCACACCCGGCGATAGCAGATCTAGCTTAGCACCAAGCGTGCGCAATCTCATTGAAGAGACAGCTGGCGTGCTAGAGAGAATTGGGGCAACCCCGAGCCACAGAAGTGGTGCCTCTGTTCTTTACGGAAGATTCTTGCGGGAACTAATCAGACGGGCACCGGTCTTGACTTCTCAACGTCGATCACATCCTAGAGTCGATCCACCCGACATTGCTCTTCCTGGTTTGGAACAAATCCCGTCCCGGGTTCTACCCCAGGATATTTGGTCTGAGCCAATGCATTTCTCGGCCATGTCTGATCATCAAATTGTCGATGCGGTTAATCGAGCTGGTACCGCGTTTGGTGAATCGATTCCTGATGTGCCTCTTGATGATATGCTCAATTGGGATTGGCTTGATTTTGCCAATACTGATTTCAATTTTTGATACGAACCCAGATCAACAATATACATAGTACAAGTAATATATTCTTGTTATTTCTAATCCGTCTTTCTCGTGCACCGATGGGAGAAGCGTGCATCAGCATTATAAATATCGCCTTGGTGGAGTGTGTGTCATTGTGCTGCTGGAAATTATCCTTATCACATGGATTCGAAATTCTGAAGTTTTATACAAAGCACTTACAATACTTTGATGAGTCGAACGGCGAACCGCTCGGCAGAAGAGGTTCTGAACCGAATGATGATACTTTGCTAGATGAAGGATGGAAATTGTCCGTAACAGGTCTAAGAGGGCTAGATGAGAGATCTCCCGGTACTTCGGGAGAGTCTGACGGCGTTGAAGGCAATAACCAATATTCTGGTCATCGGAATGATGAATGGGCACAGGGAAACGTCGTGAAGCCGTTGAACCATCACTGCTCCCATAACCTCTCTTCGACTGAGCACCGAATTACACTCTACCCATCTCCTCTGTACCGAAGCTCTGAAAGTCTGATGGAAGGCTTGGACTAAGTGGCTGCTTGATTGATGACTTTAGTCCACGTTCTTCATGAGTTCGTGGCATTGAACCATTTCACGTAGAGATGCGCACGGTCCACAGAATATGGGAGTTTGGTGCTTTATTTTTTTTTTTATGATGATGATGATATGCTTGATGTTTGATTCGACCAAAGGTCGGCTTGATAACTACCCTGGTGTGATGTTTACTTGTTTTATGTATCTATATCTCATACATATGTATATGTACCCTTCAAGGATAGCCCTCATTAATGCTTGCTTTAAAACGATTCCGCCTCATTACTCACGTCTCCCGTATTAAGAGGAGACTTTATTGAAGGAGTACACGGGGATATGTACTCCGTACAGTGACTCGCAAGGCTTCATTGATTTTCTTTGTTAGCACAGGTCCGCACAATACCTTTGATTGGTTTGACGAAAGGAACTTTGAGAGTGAATTCTTCATGCCCATTGTTCACACTATGTTTAGCTGTTTGCAATGACCTGCTGCATGATCTGAAATATGGTTGACTCTGAAAATATAAAGGCCTAAGTTCTTTCGAGTTCGAGTCTCCTCATCACATTCATCATAACTCATTTCATTACAACCCATCATATTAATTACTACTTACCGACACAATGGAAAACAAAACTTCTAAAGGCAGAGAGTGTTCTTATCATGAGAAGTGGTACATACTTGAAAGCTCCATTAAGCAATTTATCGAAGAGCTTTTCTCACGTCTCCCATCCGAGGCTTCTTCTGAAGGCCGCGGAGTCGCAGCAAATCACCTAGCTCAGGTATGTCGAATCCTGGGCAACGTCAAATTTGACGCGTCTGATTTGGCTTTGAAGTTCCCACAATGCACCACAATTTGCAACAAGCCCCCTGGCTACTTTGACGGTGACTATCAGATGATGTGCGAATTTATGAGGGATACACTGAATCAGGCAGTGGTCGATGTTCAATATCCCCAGCATGACTCGAGGGTCCGGGAGTCATTGAACAAGCTGTACTCTCACATTTTGCAGTACAATGAGCGCTAATAAGTCTATAGTTCTATTGATCTTGGTTTGATCGCTTGACTATATATCTCTTGGCGGGCTGAAAAAGAAAAAAAGAGACAAAGACAACAGACGCTTACTTGAAACATATCGACTCGAAGAATTAAAGACAATCCGGGAACTTATCAGTGTCAATCAACATTCCAAGTTCGTATAATTCATAAGGTCCAATGTAGTTTGTAATACAGAGTGAATCAATCGTAGTTTGATATTAAGCTTTTCTAGTAGTGGTCGCTTTATCCAGCGTGGGCTAAACAGTATTGATGGCGTTGAGATTGATGCAGGATCCACGGACTAAACTCGTGGAAGGTGGCGTCAACTAGATATGAATCTATTGCCATATTAATTCCTGTTTCTGCTTTCTTACTATGTAAATTCGCTCTGATGGGGTCAAAGTGATCTGCCACGAAAGTTGCTTGGGTTACCACTTCGCCACTTATGAATTAGCAGGACTGTGAGTATATGTATACTCGCACACATGCATACATATGTACATATGAAGAAAGATACATATATATATCTTTAGAGCAACAGAAGGGCTAATTGAAACACGTGATAAGAGCGATTTGACCCCGCACGTTTCTGGCTTCACTTTCCTGTTCAACTCCTTTAGTCTCTGTGAGATGTTGAAATTTGATTGATTCAATTGATACCTTTCTGTCAACTCATAGCAAATCAAAATGACGATCACCCATATCGTTCTCTTCCAATTCAAGTCCGACGTGACTCCTGAAACAATCAACGATGTACGCTTTACTACAAACGTACATTATTTCATCAATGCTGGAATACTGACTTCACAAGATAACCGAACGCATGCTCTCTCTCAAGGAGTGCTGTGTTCACCCAAAGACCCAGAAGCAATATATCAAAGCATCGTCCGGTGGAATAGATAATTCTCCGGAAGGACTTCAGGTGCGTTGATCTGCATTGACGAAGAGAATGAACTGTTCAGATCATGGCTGATATATACTATGTGGGCAACAGAATGGTATTACACACGCATTTGTTGTCGAATTTGATAGCGCTGCAGACCGAGATTACTACGTTAACGATGACCCTAAGCATCGGGAATTTGTTCAGAGGGTCGGAAAATCTCTGGAGAAGGCGCAAGTCATTGATTTTACAGATGGAGTGTTTCAGTGACATAGCATGGAAGGACTTCAGAAGCGGTGTTGGAGGTTAGGATCCGTACATGTACATGTATGTAGAAGCAACATCGTCTGTTTGCAACTTGAGCTGCATCGAATCCACAAAGCCTGGTTTCTTTTCTCTCTCTCTCTCTCTCTCTCCTGAGTTAGCCTCAACTTCAAATTTGTTTCGATTTTCATGATCAGCAGATTGCGCCCTTGGGATCAAAATCACCCCACTGCCCACGTACACAGCCCTCAAAGGTATCTTTTGAGATTCTGACCATCGTTATTATGCCAATGCTATCATGTTCGTTGACAGCAATTTAACAAACGCCATCTATGTCAGGGCTGCAGCCTCAACGCTTCCGGTGATGGTCAATCCGTCGTACCTTTTGACTACAGAGGCTCCAACAGAAATGGATAGTATTGTTTGAGCATCTCTGATGCTATTCGCACTCTGAGCCTGCAAAATTGGCAACGTTATCTGAGCATTGTTTGGGGAGTGGCCGTGTATGAGTATATCGGGGGGTGCTTCTCTTGTATTGTCATTGCCATGGAGCTTTACTACCTAGCGCCAAGTGCTGTTATGAGTTTACTCGGTTTATTTGTACAACATTTATGCAAACGAAGTCTATCTCGAAGAAATCTTCTTGTATAGAAGAAGCATCTGGCTTTGTTTACTGCACAATTTCTTGACAGATCAGCCTCTCCAAATTTCCTATGAAGATAACCAGATGGACCCCACAGTGTGTTTCGCCACTTGACGATCTGGGGCCAAAATCCATGAGGCAGTGAACTACTCTGCACTTGAGAACGGTTTACTAGATTGGGGGCCATCTTGGCGAACGTCATCAGGATCGTCCACATATAGGCGACCCATTGTCTTTTGACAGTTAAGATTTCAAAGGAAAGCAAACTAGTCCATCTTTCAGAACACATTAGATATATAAGAGCAAAAAAACAACCATGCCTCTCGATTGGAGCGCACTAGCCCCTGGTCCAATGGGAACGGCCATGCTCGGCGAGAGCGGGATCGAAGCTGCTGCTCGACGCGGACGTGAGCGTATACGACGTGAACAAGAAGAACAAAAAGCACGAGGAAACCAACAATACTCCGATCCAGACACAATTCACACGCAATCAAATGAATTTCAGTCGGAAAGGATTCGAGACGATGTCACGCCCACAGTGACTTCCGATCCGAGCAACTTGGTGGATCAGGGCATTGTAGATAGTCGCAAAAACCGCAAAAACCGCAATGTTTGCAAGCAAAGTGGAGGGACCAGAAGGAAGTTGAGTCAGTTTAAGAAGCACTTGACGGGGTGAGACAAATTCTGCGTTTGATGTCATGTACTGTTTTTTTCGTTCAAAGAGAGACAACGCACATATTCTTTCTCTTTCTGTGCTACAATATTGTATAATATCATACATTATCCCATGTCAAAACAAGAATCAAATTCAATCGGCAAAAGACCCGAGAAATAGAAAAAGAACCGAATTCAACTTGTATTCTCGGAGTCAACCGGTTCTATCGGCCTCGGCGCCCAAAAGTAGCTCCGACTAGCCGACGTCAACGCTTTAATTGCGAACATGATCTCATTTCTTCTTGGATTTTTTATTCATATTGACATTATACTGTGAAATGGCAGCTTTACGAATTTCAGCGACATTGTCGCGTAAAGCACTCATTACTTGTCGCCCGCGAATCTTCATTGGAGTTCGCGGCGTGCGCCCGTCCCAGCCATTCAGCAAAACAACCAGCACACAATATTCCACAACCGCACCATTACTGTCTCTAGCCCCTAAGGTCGAGCATGGGGGCTCTAAGCTATTCAAAGATGCTGACGCCGCTGTCGCTGATATCAAGAGTGGATCCACAATTCTCAGCTCGGGCTTTGGTCTCTGCGGAGTAGCAGGTATGTGTACGAGTTAGTAGCGCAGAACCGTACAACTGATACATGCTTAGAAACCCTCATTAATGCTATGCACCGCCGAGGCGTTGATAGATTACATTCTTTAACGGCCGTTTCGAACAATGCCGGCGCCGCCGGTAAGGGTGGGCTTTCGACACTCTCGCAGAACGGCCAAATCAACCGCTTGATCCTCTCATACCTCGGAAATAACAAAGCATTGGAGAAGAAGTATTTGACGGGAAATATTGCCATTGAGCTTTGCCCGCAAGGCACTTTGGCCGAGCGCCTTCGGGCTGCGGGTGCTGGAATCCCGGCATTCTTCACGCCGACAGGTGTCCGTATGTATAGATCTTTTTTAGGCGTTGTTCATATACTGACGGTATAGACACTTTTATTCAGGAGGGAAAGATTCCCGTTAGGATGGACGAGTCTGGTAAGGTGTTGGAGTCTGGAAAGCCGCGCGAGACTCGCGTGTTCAATGGAAAGACTTATCTCATGGAAGAGGCTTTGCCTGGTGATGTGGCTATTCTGCGGGCATGGAAGGCTGATGAAGCTGGCAACTGTGTTTTCCGGTGAGGAATAGTTCTCCTTCTCTTTGCGTTATTCGGTTTATTGATCTGAATCAGGTACACCACCAAAGCATTTGGTCCTATCATGGCCAAGGCTGCAACACTTACCATTGTGGAGGCTGAAAATATCGTCCCGCTTGGATCCATTGATCCTAATGATGTAGATCTTCCTGGAATCTTTGTGGATCGAATTGTTCCGGCGACAGATGACAAGCACATCGAAATTAAGAAGTTGCGCTCTGACGAGGTTAGCGCTACTGGGTCGGCGAAGGATGCTGCTCAGATCCAAAGAGAGCTCATTGGTCGCCGGGCTGCGAAGGAGCTTAAGCCAGGATACTATGTTAACCTGGGAGTTGGTACGTGTTTTCAGTCTAGACGTGAACATATTGGCTAACTTTAGTTTCTAGGTATTCCTACATTGGCACCTTCTTTCTTGCCTAAGGATGTCAAGGTCTGGATCCAGTCAGAGAACGGAATCTTGGGAATGGTAAGTTGTTCTTTGCTTCTGGCAATCGATCCCTCTAACATAATCTAGGGTGATTATCCCACAGAGCAACAACTAGATGCGTATGTCTTCCCGGTCCCAGATATGGAGGATTCACTAACATGACCAGTGATATCATCAATGCCGGCAAAGAGACTGTGACTCTAGTCCCCGGAGCTTCCACATTTGACAGCACCGAGTCCTTCGGCATGATCCGCGGAGGTCATGTCGACGTGTCTATTCTTGGAGCCCTACAAGTGAGCGCCAACGGCGATTTGGCCAACTACATGATCCCCGGCAAGGTGTTCAAGGGCATGGGAGGAGCAATGGACTTGATCTCCAACCCCGACAAGACGAAGATTGTGGTAGCCACCAGCCACGTCGCCAAGGATGGATCGCCAAAGATTGTGCAAAAGTGCAGTTTGCCTCTGACGGGAGCCAATGTTGTCAGCACCATCATTACGGATTTGGTAAGTCCACCAGCTGCCATAAACAGAGCTAGAGCTAATCAGATCATAGTGTGTCTTCCAGGTAGACCGGGCAACAGGAGAGCTTACGCTGACGGAGCTTGCTCCGGGTGTTGAGGTTGAGGAGGTACAGAGCAAGACGGACGCGAAGTTCACTATTGCTGATACTCTTGAGATTATGGAGTAGATAGTTATAAAAAAGTAGAAAAATCGACTTACATTACATACATTTACGATTGAAATGGAGATATGAACAGGAAAACCCTAACAATATCAATGAAGACCCGAGCGGAATAAGATTGATGGAAAGACGCATAGCAATTGGATAGAAAGCTGCCCGCAAAGTAGTATTTAAGAGGGTATCAAGAGGGTATCAAGAGGGTATCAAGAGGGTATCAAGAGGGTATCAAGAGGGTATCAAGAGGGTATCAAGAGGGTATCAAGAGGGTATCAAGAGGGTATCAAGAGGGTATCAAGAGGGTATCAAGAGGGTATCAAGAGGGTATCAAGAGGGTATCAAGAGGGTATCAAGAGGGTTTAGACAAGGATTTACGTACCACCAGATTACTTGGGATATAATGTCCAGGTATACTGGTTGGATATATTCTTTTGCAGTCCCTTCTGCACCGATGAGATCAGTATAATGTAGCGCCACTCATTTACATAATATAAATTTACAGCTTCGCTCGCACAGGAGCAAAGTTCGATCCCTGACCCTGACCGATAGCCTCAACAATAGAATCAACACTTTCCAAGATCCAAGTATTTCCCTCATCACTTGCCAACCAACGTGCCCCTTCCTCGCCCTCGGCATCACCAACCCAAGACCCATCCTCAAGCGCTTTTCGCAATCCAAAGACATGCGAAGTAACCTGGGGACCCACCCCGGACTGTGCCCTCAAACACGCAATGGCCACGATCGAAGTCAGGATCCGACCCGCTGACGCACTGGTGCTACGTTCCGGATCGGAAAGCAAAGCGCCATAATTCGCATGCAAGATATGCACCGGCAAGTCAGGATGCGACTCGGCAAGTTTGTTAAATAGTTTCTTCTCGAAAGGGCGGTAGATAGAATCCCAGAGTGCATGGCCGCGCTCACTGATTCCGGAAATATTCTCTGGTGTGGGTGCGCGGGTTGGCGTGCGCGAGAGCTTGTCAGTGACCGAGTCCGGAAGGCTGGATTTGAAAGCACCCAGACAGTTAATTGTGCGGGGAATGCCATTGAAACTGATGCATTTCAGTCCGACTTCGCGGATTAACTCTGCGGTTTCAACTTGCTTGTCCGTGCTGGCGACCTCGTACAGGGCTGTAAGGGATTCCGGGGAGTTCATGGTCATTGTTGCTGCAGTCTATATAGGTGAGTCGGTGTTCCTTGTATGTGAAGCGATGCAACTCACCGATAGGGCGACCCATGATGGCTGCGAGATCTGTTTCGATTGCGCGGTTTGTTGGATCTTCTGGTAAACCGAGGTTATATTTGCTGGGGCCGGTACGGTGAAAGGGCGGGCGGCAGGGGCATTAATTAACGCCTTTAGGCTACTGGAAAGCTTCGACATGTTTGGTGAGTCCTTGGAGGAAGGGAATCTTGCCATTAAGAATGATTTGGAGCTTTTGTTTGCCGAAAAACGAAACGAGGTCGGAGATCAAAAGTGAAGGCCGAGCGATACCGGAAAGATTATGGTAATAATACATCAAACCCACAACAAATACAGTAATATTACCATCACCAAATCCGGGGTCAACACCTGAATTGCGGGGGAAGAAGCTTTTTTTTTGGTCCATATGTAAGCTTGGGCTCTGTTGGTGTTACTTTTGATGAGAACACGGTTAGTAACTTACCTTTTACTTTACTTACTCATGTGTTCGGGTCTAGAAATGGTGGCCGAGGAATCTACAAGACCTTAATTTTTGTTTGTTTATTTTCCCTGACTCTCTTCCTTCTCTCCTAGGTCCAGTTTTCTTTTTTTCTTCTGTACGTTCCACATGAGATCGCCTAGAAAAGATTAAAAAAACAAGAGCACCCCTGCATTGCCAAGACTTAATTTATCATGGGCTCGCAAAAATCAAAGGTAAATGAGATCGAAGAAACAAACTCATCTCCCCTCGATCGACATGGAGACGAGGCGCATCAGCAGAAATTGACCCGAAGGATCTTGTTCAAACTGGATACACGGTAAGTGAGATACACAGACAGGCACACAGAACGCGGGGCTAATCTCTTTTTTGTACATACAGAATCCTCCCTATGCTCGCTTTGCTCTTTCTCTGCTCATTCCTAGATCGAACGAATGTTGGGAATGCGAAGATCATCGGGCTAGAAGAAGATTTGTCTATTACAGATCATCAGTACGATGTCGGATTGGCGGTCTTCTATCTTACTTATATTTGCAGGTGTGTCTAATCTGTCTAAATCCCAACTGGTACTAATTCACAGCTAATTTATTGTCAAGCGAACTGCCAAGTAATTTGGTCCTCAAAAAGGCTTCCCCGAAACTTTGGCTGCCATTCCTGACAGCTGTCTGGGGAATTATCACCATGTGTTTGGGATTTGTTCAAAATTTTGCTGGGTTTGTAGCCGTGCGGGCCTTATTGGGTATCGCAGAGGGAGGTTTACTCCCTGGAATGGTATGTTTGTTCGATCTAGTTGAAAAATTTGGAGCTGAAAAGAAAATAAGGTCCTCTATCTGTCTACATTCTACCAACGAGGCGATTTGGCTCTGCGGATTGGTTTGTTCTATACAGCTGCTTCCCTGTCCGGTGCTTTTGGAGGTATGCATACATGGACCATGATTATACATAATCTTTATCTGCTAGTGTGATAGGTACTAACCAAATTAGGTCTTCTCGCTCGTGGACTCGCTGAAATCGGACCGCGAGGCGGCATCGAAGGATGGCGCTGGATCTTGATTATCGAGGGACTTTTGGTAGGCGATAGTTTTATTCTTTTTACAAGGCTCATCTAATCATTATAGACATTCATATGTGGAGTTTTGAGCTTCTTTGTCCTCCCAAATACCCTGGAGTCTGCGTCTTTCTTAACTACTGAAGAAAAGGAATTCGGCCGGGAAAGATTGATGCTTGATAACCCCAGGTCAATGGAAGGGTAAGCTTTCTTCTTTGAATTCTTTGCTTCGAGTTAGCTAACAAATACAGTATCTTGACCCCTGAAGCAGAATCATTTAAATGGTCCGAGGTCCGCCGAGGTGTTCTAGATCTACAGGTGTGGCTATCGGCCTCGGCATACTTTGCCATTTTGTCCGGACTGTATTCTTTCGGATTGTTTGTATGAAGCCTATTCCTCTGCTCCATGAACCCGATTTAACAAGGATAGCTTCCAACGATCATCAAAAGTCTTGGTTTCGCTAAAGACGCCAATGAGGTGCAGCTGTGGTCTGTTATACCTTATGCTGTTGCAGCCGTAGTTACAGGTTCGTCCGCTTCCTGATTGTTTCTCTCTGAAGGCTCATAAATCTCTGATTCGTTTCTAGTTATGGTGGCTATTATATCCGATCGCCTCCGCCTTCGAGGTGTGGTGATGCTCTTCACTCTCCCGATCGCCATCATTGGCTACGCAGTTATCGCTAACATCAACTCCCCTCGCGTGCAATATGGCATGACCTTCCTCATGGCAACTGGTCAATATGCCAGCGTACCGTGCATCTTGGTGTGGTTGTCGAATAATTCGGCGGGGCATTATAAGCGTGCCACCACATCGGCCATGCAGTTGGCAATTGCAAATGCCGGAGGATTTGTAGCGAGTATGTCGCCATCATTATATACTTTGATCAAATATTGACATTCTCTCAGCCTTCAATTACCCAACTCGAGATGGACCACTGTTCCATCGTGGACACACCATTATCCTGGGATTGTTGGTGTTCGCTTGGTTCATGTAAGTATACTACATTCTTTTGCTCGACGGCTTTACTGATAAGACAGGATTCTTCTCAATGTGCTCTATTGTGCCAAGATCAATCGCGATAAGAAGAATGGTAAGTATGATCAATACGCAGGATCTAATGATGACCGTAACCCTGAATTTATGATGGTTCTTTGAAATGTTCTTTTGATCTCCAATTACTGAAAATTACTACGAATATAAGATCAAGAAATATACCAGGAAGAGATTTATAATCGCTTTGATTCATAGTGTATGCTGTAAAGAGAACAACTAACTACCACTTCCACCAGTGGTGAGATGTCCAATCTTGTCTCGCTGTACCCCGCAGATCATCCGTATTGATCACATCCACGCCTTCTTGCACAAGCATATTCCAAACATAATTTCGCAGCCCCACTGGCCATGTGGGGTTACCCCAGTATCGCACCTTCAGACCGAGGTCGTGGGCTGCACGCACCTGTCTTCGAAGGGTAGATAGTTGATCATCCGACAGGCGACTGAGAGGGAGAGTCCCGATTGACTTGCGGAAGTCTGCCGATGCATAGTAACTGTTGGATGGGTTGTATGTGGGGCCCATGGGAGAAGCAGGAAGCGTCAAGTTGTCCAAAGGTGCATCGTAGAAGATATCACGATAGGTCGAGCTCTTTGTAATCAGATTAAAAGGTGCGTCTCCATTAGCAACGACCGTAACGGGGCGATAGATGATATCAGTGCCATTGAAGTAAGTGAGATAGCCCTTGTCCCGAAATGATTGCAACCGTTCAGTAAGAAGAGGCCAAATTTGATCCCCGTCAGTTTTGAAATCGACTAACAGCGTCAGAGTCTGCATCGGGTCGTTGGCAAAGACTCCAGCTATCCCATGGGTTTTGACTCTAGGCCACGTCCGCGAAGGTGCATTGTGGTCGTCGAGTATCTTCAACAATGGATCAAGGTAGAGACTGTGCAATGTTCCTGGCAACACCGTGTAGCGGGAATGACCAACAAGAAGCTCATCACCCCATGACCAGACATCAGCCTCCACACTGATACATCCTGCGGCCAGTGCCGATTGTAGTGGAATACGGCGCCAGTAGTCGTTATGAGAGTGGCAGCGGACGGGTGTCACGAAGTGGGTTGACCAGTTAGAGAACATGGAGGGACGTTCACCGGGGAAAACAAATAATTCGATATCGTTCACGAGTAAGTAGAGGAGACATTGCCATGCGACTGTAAGGAGATTGAGAACACCGCTGGGTTTGAGTCAATTAGACACGTTCAGAATGTCAACTTGACGATCAGAGCGAGCAACCGTACAGAATGAGGATCAGTATCCACAGTGGCCTCTGCACTAGACGACAGAAGATCGCGCCTTTCGAGTAAGGGTATGCGGTACAGTCCGGATGAGAACATCTCCATACCGAGGACAAGAAGAATAATTGGTTCAGTTTCAGTTTAGCAAGGTTCAGAGTCATGGCGTCCGACTCGGCGATCAAAATGATAGCTTCATGCTCTGGGATGGGCTTCAGGGCTGAAAACGCCATGGGTGAAAAACCGGCGACGTGAAGCCTGAATCTTTTTGAAACCATCAGACATACACCATAAACACCTTAGGACAAAAAGTTTCTGCCTAAGTTAATGGGGTTCCACAAATTGCCTGCTAAATACAACTCTTTTTATAAATACATATATACATACATATGGATGGATGGAGTTCAATACCTGAACACTTTCGAGAATCCTAGGAAAATCTCTCAAATGTATTGGAGATTTTAGCAAAATATGATAACAGTACAATATGTAGAAAAACACATAAACAGAATCTCTAGGCCAGTAGCCCTGCAGGAATAGAGCCATAGGAATAGAACAATAGGGGAATGGACCAATAGAATGAAGGTATCGATAGGGAGAGATCATTATGTATGTAGAACATAGAGAACAATGGAGCAAATAGACCAATAGCATGCGAGGATCAACGGGGAACCAACCAATAGAATGAGAGTATCGACAGAATAAAGAAAAAGACTCTTCCCGATTAAACCACCCACGGGTGTAAATACTTCCTGCCTATCCCTCCCCAACTCTCCTTTCTTTTTCCCCAAGGACGGTGCCGGGTGGTGGAATACGGTGTAGACACGAAGCATATCGGCATGTCACTGAATCAGTGTGGGGTGACCCCTCGACTTGCCCACCGATCCTGCGCCTGAGAGTATCCTCAGGGCACCAACACTTCGAAGTACACCGCTGGCTCTGGATAGCGCCTTCGGATCCCGAATCACAATGCTGGTTGTGGCTCCACTGCCTGGATAGAGATTCTGCTTTCGAGGATATCAAGTAGTGCTGGATCCACTGAAGGGGATGCTGTCTTTTGACGAACATGACTGCGTGTACTGTTTTTTATGCCTGTATGAGGAAGACTCTGAGGGCATTCTGGAAAAATTGTTTAGCTTTAATAGTCTTGGAATAGTCTTTCAATCAAACCAGTGTTTTTGTAACCTCTATTGTTATACTCTAAACTGGCTCAAGATAATTAAAATTTGGGTAACGATATTATTAAAATTCTAGTGTATGCTATTGAGATTCAATATATCGTCGTTGCAAAAAGACCTAGGGTGACTAAGCCAAGCAATCTAACTTGTCTCTTCGTCCACTTCTTGTGCTGTTTGCTTGCGACGGGCAGCCTCGTTGCCAGCGAAGCTGAAGAGCATGCCGAGATCATACACCACCTTCAAGCATCCAGCAATAATGAAAGAGACACCGAAATGGCCATTGCGAGACAAGATACCGGTAAGTAAAGGTCCCATGCTCTGAGAGGTAGTCTTAACAACGTTGACCGCTCCCATAATAGCAGTGCGCTTGTCAGCCGGTAGAGCGGCGGCGAGGAATGCGGATCGAGGTGCCACATCCATGTTCTGAGAACAAGCGCGCAAGACCAAAAACGTGAGTGCCAAGGGAAGGGTAGATGGGACTGAGATCAGTGCCAGGCAGATGGCCGAGGGCAAGTGTGTGAACACCATAGTCTATATTGAGAATTAGATGTTGTAATTACATGAGCGGAATATTTTTACCTTAACGTTGCCAATGCGCTTGGCGAGAGACGAGGCGATCAACATAGATGCTGCAGAGATCAGGTTGGTGGTAAAGAAGATAGTGCCGAGTTGACCCTCCGGTAGGTTGAACTTGCCCTTAAAGAAGTATGTCATCCAGGACCTAGAAGGAATTAGTATGTTTTTAAACGTCAAGCGTTAGGAAATACTCACAGAGAGGCCAATCCGGAGGCAAATGAATCCACACCGAACAAGATGAAGAGACGAATAACGAGCGACCACAGATCCTTCTCGATCGATGGGAATATGCTCTTCTTCGTCGGAGCGGGCTCGCCCTCCTGTGCAGTGGGGTCTGCCAGCAGTGGCCGAGTTTCCGAGCTCTGCTCCTGCTGCTGCTCCTGCTCCTCCTGAACCTCCACCTTGCTGCTCAGACCCAATGTGAAGAGAAGTTTGACGACGCCGACGCCAGCATAGACGAAGAAAATGATGCGACACGCAGGAATGAACGGCCATCCGTGAATTGACTCCAAGGAGTTGATGATCCACCCGCAAACTAGCATACCCAGAGCCGAGCCAGCAGTTCCAATCAAGGAATACCAGGCAAAGACATCACTTAACAATTCATGCGAGGTGAGGTGAGCGAGAGTGGATTCTTCCACGGCGCGGAATGGACCGATCTCATTTCCACTAGAAAGAATCAGATAAGATCATGGCAAAAAACAGCATCGCTCTCAAACATACCTGGGACTAATAACACCAAAGACAGCCGCAGCCAACAAAACCCAGTAATTTTCAAAAAAGGCGAAAATCACTCCGCTACCGGCCATCATGATAGATCCGAGCGATAACACCGCTTTGCGGCCCATCCTATCAGCAAACAGAGTTAGGAAGAAGCTGATTACCACGTCTCCGACCAATGTCAGAGTCATGAATAAACCGATGCGATCGTCAGAAATCCCCATGGCCGACAGGTAAGAAGCTAGAATCAGGGTCGACCCCCCATATGCGAAAAGTCGCACGAAGCGCTGGGCGCAGAGAAGCTTCACGTCCAATGAGGACTGCCACATGGTAATTAAACCCAGTTCTTCAAGAACATGGCCAATATAACGTGCCGGTCGTGATTGTTCTGACATGTTTGGGGAGTTGGAACGGAGAAAAGTTGAAAAAGTAACGCACTTCCGAGCTCGGGGGGTTCTTTGCTAAGCTTTGTTGCCTAGGTACTTTTCGGATCATCGTAAGGCTGAATACATCGTCTTAAGGCTGAACACATTTTTTTTCTTCACTCTCTCTTTTGCTTCAATTAAGTTATATACACAAGGAATCTTCTTCTTCTTCTTTTTCTTCTTCTTCTTCTTCTCCTTTTCTTCTCACAATTGTGCTCTCTCTTCAACAAATTCAGTTTTAGGAGGCCACTTCACGCGTCTCTCCGCCCGCACATAGAAATTAGTCGGACGGATCAATTGAAACATAGGATCATAATCGACAGGTCCATCATTCTCCTTGGTGAATTTATACCGGAACAACAATTTGGGCAAGAAAACCTTGACCTCTTGTAATGCGAAGTTGAACCCAATGCACATACGCGGACCAGCAGCGAAAGGCATATACGCGTTCTTGTGTCGATTCTTGACTTCTGCCGTGTCCCAACGATCCGGGTCAAATCGTGCTGGGTTACTCCATACTGCCGGGTTGTTGTGGACATGATGAAGGGCTGGAATGACGATTGAGTCTTCCGGGAGCTTGTATCCACCTGGTAGGATCATGTCAACCTTGGCTGTGCGGGCGGGCTGGTAGGAGGGGTTGTGTCGACGTTGGGTCTCTTTGATAAATTTATCGAGGAAGGTGAGGCGGTCGGTAAGGTCGGCGGTTAGAGGGGTGTCGGCAGTGATGTCGTTGTCAATGAGCTCTTGAAGGAGTCTCTCCTGCATACCGGGATAGTTGACCATCGAGTATAGAAGCCATGATAGCAATGAGCTAGTGGTGGTGAATCCGGCTCCGGTGGCTACTACTAATGCCTGCATCAAACTTGTCTTGGGTAGCTTCTCGCCTTTGTTATCGGTGGCACGAATGATATAGTCTAATGATGGGTTAGCTCAAGCTTTCTTGTTTAAATCCCAATCTGGATTTGAACTAGAACTGGTCCACTTACCAATCATATTAGAGGCCTGCAAGGCGGCATCCTGCAGGGGAAGGTCTTCAACACCACCACGAGAAGCATTCTCAATGGATTCATTAACCATCTCGATAATACGGTAGCGAGCATCCCGCAAACGCTTTGGGTCACCAAAGGGCAATTTGGCATACCAATCACCGCGAGCAGTCACCTTCTTGTTCAACTCCAATGACTCGGCGATCCGGTAAACAAGTTCATGAGGCGGCGCATCAATGGCAGAGAAGTGCTTGAAATCCATACCAAGAACCAGTTTACCTACGGCCTGTGCACCAAGCTTGAGCATGTACTGGTACACATTCCAAGCCTCACCACGCTCGTCTAGCTCATCGAAGACACTGAATGAATCCTCGACGGTCTCTTGCATTGTGGATGCATAGTGGCGTACGGCTTTGGGTCCAAACGCAGGAGGCAGGAACTTATGTGCTGCGCGCCATTCGGGGGTGTCGGTGTCACCCAAGAACACACCGGCCTCTTGGTTCTTAATTGGGTGCAGGGGATGGCCCTCGCTGATGCGCTTGGTAAAAAAGTCAGACTCGGCGAAGACAATGGCCGATAGCTCGGGGTCATTCGTTTGATACACTGTCCGACCCATATTGGTGGTTTGAATGATAGGACCATATTGATCAAACAGACGCTGGTGGTTTCCAAGGTGATCAGGGTAGACCTCGAAGAAGTTTCCCACAAATGGCAATCCCTTGGGACCGGGGATTTCCCGTACTGCCTTTCCGTCTATCGAGATAGCGATGGGGTCTTCATTGGCGAGAACCTCCGAGGTAGTGGAAAATGTTGCATTCTCTGACTGGAAGCCAATTCCTGATGAACTATGTGAGTAACTATCCACAGAGTACATATATCAACAACTTACCATTCGGCTCAACAATGGCAAATTGACCAGCAAGTAAAAGCTGAAGTCCTGAATAGTCGACTGTGGACTCGATATCAATGGTTCGAGCTGAGGTGATAGCTTCACCCAGCAAATAGAATTGTTTAGCAACCATTTTGTAAGAGAACTCTGATGGTTCCTTTTTCTTTTATTATTTTTTCTTCTTTTTCCTCTATGTTGAAGGGCCCGCTGTATATTTATAACAGGACCAAGTACAATTATTGTATAGTAAAACAATAATGGTATGAGCCATTTGAAACTGCATATTCCACTCCACTTCCTTCATTATCCAAGTACAAAGTGCGTAATTGCTCATAAGTTAGCAATAGTACTGAGTATGCATAGTATATCTTTTTGCCTCGGTACTTTCGATGTTTTGGACTCGGGTTCCACTATATAAAAAAACTAATCTCTCTCTAACAGGATAAGATCGTCAAGACCCCCAGTTGCCCTTGTATCGGAACAATTTGATTTGTGTATAACAATCAAGCCCCCCAAAAAAGTACAACTGCACGGCAAAATCGGGAAGACGTTCTATCGGACTCACACCGTATGTGGCATTTCGGCATCGGTCCAGATGTGCCGGCTCTCAGATATCGGCCCCACGGCCAATTTAGTCAATTTTAGCTTCTTCTTGTTCTTGTTGTTGTTCTTGTTCTTCTTCTTTTTTTGCTTCGATGCCGAGGTAAAACCGTAAGTGTACTCCGTACCTTGCGGTATTATGAATCCTTAGTTGCTTGTAGGTTGGCTGTTGTGGGTTTTTGTTTTATGTACATATATTCATATATTTAATATCAGATATCTCTCTATTCTATTAAATTCAACACGCCGTCCTTTTTATTTTTATTTTTATAAAGTCAACGTTTTCTTCTAAACATAATGTCTATCCCAGAAACAAAAGAGCTGAAGGCCGAGTGGAAGGTCGAGACTGTGTTGCCAGAGTATACATTGAAGGATGTTGCAAGACATAACACCAAGGGTGACACTTGGATGGTGATCCATGGACAAGGTATGACTAACAAGCAGAAAACAAAAGAAGAACCACAAAGCTAACCTTGCAACAGTCTTCGATCTCACAGAATACCTCCAAGATCACCCTGGAGGTGCAGAGGCTCTCGTCGAAGTGGCTGGCACTGATGCCACAGTAGCCTACGAGGATGTTGGCCACTCAGAAGATGCCCGTGAGATCATGCAACCATTCCTGGTGGGGACGTTGAAAGATGCCCAGCAGTTTGTGCGACCCAAGGCGGTGCGTGTCGTTTCGCAAAAGGCCCCTGAAGAGGCTGGCTCCTCTTTCGCCATCAAAACCGTCGCCTGTGCTCTGGGTGGCTTGATCCCCGTCTTCTACATCTTCAACCGTACCAATTACCTCACAAATGGCTTGGGAGCTGTCTCCCAATTGATCCCTTCTCAATTGAAGAGCCTAAGGTTGCCTCATGGGGGCTTCATCAACGGCTTCCTGGCCGCCTCTGCCATCTCCACAGTCGTTGGAGTAATGGTAGCTCGCCAGGCAGGGAAATTCACCAAGATCGACTCTGGATTTATACGCTATCCCCCCCATATGAAAGCCAAGAAGATCATTCGTGTTGATCCCCATCTGGCTCGAGGCTTCCTCGAGCCCCAACAATATCAACGTCTACCCCTAGTCGAAAAGACCGAATTAGCAACCAACGTTTTCCGCTTCGTCTTCGCCCTGCCCACCGCGACAGGTGTATTGGGTCTCCCCATTGGCCAACATGTCGCTATCAGAGCTGAGATTGATGGAACAATTGTCACTCGCTCTTACACCCCTACCTCCAACAACATCGACCGCGGCCGCATCGAGCTCGTTATCAAATGCTACCCAGACGGTCTCCTCAGCGGTAAGTACCTCGCTGGCCTAGCTGTGGGCGACGAGGTCGAATTCCGCGGACCCAAGGGCTCCATGCGTTATACCAAGGGCCTTTGCCGTAAAATCGGAATGGTGGCCGGCGGTACAGGTATCACACCCATGTACCAACTGATCCGGGCAATCTGCGAGAATGATACCGATACCACTGAAGTTAGTCTGATCTATGCGAACCGTAGCGAGTCGGACATTCTCTTGCGCAACGAGCTTGAACGTTTCGCACGTCAATACCCCAAGAACTTCAAGCTCTGGTATTTGCTGGACTCTGCACCAGAGGGCTGGATCTATGGATCAGGATATGTGGATCGCGAGGTTTTGATGGCCAAGCTTCCTGGGCCTTCGCCGGATACCAAGATAATGCTGTGTGGGCCACCAGGGATGGTGAATGCCACTAAGAAGAATCTGGTCGCGATGGGCTTTGAGAAGCCAGGGGTTGTTTCGAGAATGACGGATCAAATCTTTTGCTTCTAGCCTAATATAGTAAAAGCCGAGGTTGATTCTTCTTTTATTCATATTTTGTTGGGATAAGTTAGTGGTTAGTACGGAGTAGTCAGTTCATAGTGGGTACGGAGTAGACGCGGCCCCTTAATCCTCCTCAACGGGGGTTTGGAGAAAAAGGTCTCGGGTTCATTCCGAATAGTTTGATTCCCGAGTGTTTGATTGGCTGTGTTGAACCGAGGTAAAGATCTTGTATATAGAACAATCATCTGTTTCCTCCAAACAAGTGGCCCCACAGACCTTCGGGATCGTCTAATTCCAAGACAAGCTCTTACAGCTATTGACATCACCGGCAGCTCACCGTGGCATTCACACCATACGTATACCTCACTGTGGTGTTCTCACCCAGCGTACACCCAGCCGTGGCATCTACAATGCGCGCCAGCGAATACCACCTGCAATAAGGCCTTGCTACACAAACTAATTGTTCTATTGACCTATTTCTCCACTACCAGCCATAAAGAAGATCACACAGATCGAGGACTCCATCCCAGTGCTGGACAAGCCAGTTGACTGGAAGCACTGGAAGTGCCGCTTTCAGGTTGCCCTCAGGGCCATTGACACTGAATATAGCGGTATTATTCTCGGGCACCACCCCCGAACCAATGCCTTCTTCTGTTTAACCTGGCCCTCACCCCTCTATCGACGGCCTCAAGGAAACCTAGCAAAGATTTTGAAAAAACACCATTTTTTGAAAACTCCAGTGCCACTCTCGCCCTTTCCGATTTCGTGCTTGATCCTAAGATGCGCAATTTTGTCGGAATTGTGAAATCCTTATTGGGGTGCACCCCTGGTTCCCAGCGTCTAAACAGGGCTGATGACTTGTCCGTGGCAAAGCTCTCAACGAGGTGCATTTTTCATCGTCTCATCTAACAATTTTTAGATCGAAGGCTCGGAAAGCGGTCCAGTTGCCACCAGCCAACCACCAAGTTCTCCACAGGCTGCTCTAAACACAGCTTTAGCCGGCGCGAGAGTGAACCCGGCTCGTGTGATATCACGTGAAGGGGACTAAGGACACCTTCCAACCTGTCATTAGCAATAACCACTGTTAACTATCACTTCCTTCCTATCGAAGACTCTCTTTCCCGATACTGTCCGTTTTTCAATCACCCTCGGTTTACTATATTGCTTAATATCCAATACTAAGTCTCTTTTGCAGTCAAGGAACGAAACAGCCCCAAAATATTATCTTGAACGTTTCCCTCCTGTTGAGCACAGTCATAATGTCATCGAGTCAAAAAGGGCCTCCGTTCTCGCCATCCGCTGCTTCTTGTACTGCACCCAAGCTATTTAAGAGCAACTTTTGGCATCGGTATTTGACACTTGGAGCGATCCAAATCCTCAAGCGTATCCGACCTCGAGAAGGGAACGTTCTCATGTTAACGGACGGAATATGCGTCAAGTATGGGCGCCGTGTTCATTTATCTGAAGCATCAGCACTGCGGTTCATATCGCAGCATACATCTATCCCGGTACCAAAAGTTTTATGTGCATTTTATTCGATCCGGGTGGACGTACATCGTGATGGAAAGGATTCGGGGAGATATCATTGGCAGAGGCTGGGTTAATCGAAATGAGGATTCAAAGACGATACTTCTTTCGCATTTAGCTGAGAAAATCCGCGAGACGCGGGAACTTCAGCCGTCAGAAAGCAATACAGTTGCTTTTGTTGATGGCGGATCACTTTTTGACTGTCGTTTTCCGGGCCCTTCCTTGCGCTTCGGCCCCTTTAATAGCATCCAGGACTTCCATCGGCATTTACGCATGGGCATAGAATTTGATTCAAGGATTGGCCCTGAGATCCAGGAACTTATCAAACAGCAAAGCAAGACTTGGCGTTTGGTATTTACACATGGCGACCTTAGCAGTCTCAATATTCTTGTTCGTGGAGATGATATTGTTGGTATCATTGATTGGGAAACTGCTGGTTGGTATCCATCATATTGGGAATACACTTCTGCGCACCAAGTCAACCCACAAAAATCTTTTTGGGTCAATGAGATTGACAGATTCCTACAACCAATGTCTGAAGAGCTGGCGATGGAACAGGTCCGTCAAAAATATTTTGGAGATGTTTAAATATAGGTTCAGTTCGGAGCGAGGAGCATACACTGGGTCACCACCATTTTGAGCTCCGCATCGCACTTGGGAATCTCAGGATAAGTAGTATATTGCTAATTTGTGCAGTACCAATGCGCGCTACTTATGCGTCTGGTGGGTGTTCCGTGAAACAGAGCGGTGCGGATGTGGGTATACGCTGCGGCGGTAGGAAGATTCGACCGAACATGTTGTCTCCCCGCTGTCGTTCTCAGAGGTCAACATGGGTGTTTTGAAGTGCTGATTTATGCGCAGCTTGGGCGCCGATCTAGGTCCGTAAAACTCGAACGTATCCCATTTTCAGAAGATATCAACTAAAGGTACATATGTATGTACATGATCAATTACGTATATATTGTAGGTAGTCTGCTACAACAATACGAGGGCATACATCTAGCCCGCTACTTATTCACGATTGAGATGGGAGTAGGAAGAGACTTTGAGAAATCTTAATATTGAAAGATGATAGTGAAGTCTTACTGAAACTTGTCGCCAGACTTTCTATACGGAATGTATATGGCGGTCTCCCTTGTATCATTATTGCTTTGGTCGTCAAATACCCATCTCAACTCTTTACTCTCTCCAATGGCCGAATGATGAAAGGCATCGGGTTTCCCTTTTGCTTTCTCTTATATCAATTGTAGTCTTCGAGGTCATGTCGGTGGTGAACTTGACAACGGGAGAGAAGCCCTGTCGATGATGTCGCTTCGGATCTTTCGGATCTTTCGGTTCTTTGGGAGGCTCGGGTGCTATAGTCACTGTCTTCTTCTTCTTTGGGCGCTTCGGTACTTCCCCCTCCGGTGTATCTGTAGGCTCTTGGGGTGGTTCTGGTGGTGCCATCTTAACAAATTGGCGTCGACGATGATGTGTGAATCGGGTTCGTGGAGGACGTTGACACCAACAATACAACAGTAACAACAGAAATGCGGTACCCAAAATTGAACCGGCGATCGCACCCTTGGCCCCGCTCGATAGCCCGCCGCTTGTACCTGCAGAATAGCTCCACGCTGGAGTGTCTGCTGTATCAGACGCGACAGCTGTCGCAGAAGGGTCCACCTCAACCCCCGTGAGTGTTACAAAGTTGGATGTTGGCCAGGCTTTGAAATTCCCCAGCGTCACGATGGTCACGTAAGTAGTGTACTGTTCAGTGACTGTCTGGGTTACCTCACGTAAAGCAGGTGCCATTGCCCCGCGACAACTCGAAATAACATGCTGGGGTCGATTTTAAGAAGACCGAACGATTGAAGCGGCGAGGACAGTGGTCATAGTTTGCTCGGTCCCTATGGTATGCATGAACCACGTCAAGTGCCATAGACGGTACGATTGCATCTTCTGACTTGATTATGCAGCTTACGCTGCGAAGTCACCTCGGGTCTAGCACGCCCTGAAAATTTCAAGCTCACAATTGGTGGAATGAGTTGCTCACTTCATCTTGGCGGACGTGTTGGCATCCCCGCATGGATTCAATTGGCAATCAAATCAGTAGTTCGACATGGGACTCCAATTGAATTCCTGCCTAATGAATGACAATCACATTGGGCCACAAAGGAACTTCTAGCTAGTTTCTAGAAATTGCTATAAATGATTCATTTTCTGAGACTATACAAGAAAGAAGGAACGTTGTATATACTCGAAGAAAGAAGAGCTCGAGCTTTGATCGTCGCCAAGGAGTAGGTTAAGAAGTGAAGCTTCAAAGGTTGTAGTACTAGGTACATATATGTACATATATTCATGCATACGTATGTATGCATTAAAATGTACACATGTGTATATATCTACAAAACCTCTCTGATACCGAGATTACCATAATCAGCAATATTACAGTAATCAATACAGATGGTCCGTGCATTGAATCTTTTTCTCGCATTTCAAACTTCAACATCTCTAGTCTCTCTTTGCGACAAGCTCTCAGGCTTTTTTTTCATGAACTCATTGTTATTTTTGAGTAGAGCAATAAGATGCCCTAAAAAAGACTACAACTTCAACCTCCTCCAGCAATTTCCTTTCTCCCCATCCACAATTCATCCTTCGCGATTCATTTCCACCAACACCATGGTAAATCCCACTTCCGACACCCCGCCCAACCTGGTGGAATACAAGGGAGCACAATACCACGTTGTTAAAGAAGGACTAGCGAATATTCTTAATCCTCCTACACAAGAGGCCGCCTCCAAGGGAACCAAGAAAGATCTTAAAGCCGACGATCAAGCTCAGTCCGTGTTCTACAACCCAATCCAACAATTTAATCGTGACCTGAGTGTTTTGGCCATTCGCGCATATGGCGAGCATATCCTCGATTATAAAAAAAAGCAGAAAGCAGATCAAAAATTGAAGAAACAGACTGGCAATGGAGAAAATAAACGGAAGCGCGAGGACGACGAGACCGAAACCCCGAGGCCTGCTCCGAAGGCAAACAACAAGGAAATCCCAGAAACCAATGAGACAACTCCTCTCTATGAGCAGCCTGCCACAACCGTGCAACCATCTACCCATGGCCAACCACCCGCGCCACAATTCACCGTTCTCGATGCTCTGTCTGCAACTGGACTGCGTGCTTTGCGCTATGCCTCGGAGCTACCATTCGTCACAAAGGTCGTAGGAAATGATTTGTCTGAGACGGCCATCAAGTCCATGAAACAAAATATCGAATTCAACAACCTCAAAACTATTCAACCCAATTTGGGAGATGCTCGAGCTTACATGTATGAGAATCCCACCAAGTTCGATGTGATCGATTTGGATCCATACGGGACCGCATCTCCATTCCTGGATGCCGCAGTGCAAGGAGCTAAAGACGGTGGTCTGTTGTGTGTTACTTGCACCGATGCTGGCGTCTGGGCCTCAACTGGCTACTCCGAGAAGGCATTCTCTCTATACGGTGGCATCCCCCTGAAAGGCTTGCACTCTCATGAAAGTGGTCTGCGATTGATTCTGAATTCTCTTGTCATGTCTGCGTCTAAATATGGAATCGCCATTGAACCTTTGCTGTCTCTGTCCATTGATTTCTACGCTCGTGTCTTTGTTCGGGTTCATAGATCCCCTGCGCAGGTCAAGTTCAATTCTGGTAAGACTATGCTTGTCTATAGCTGTGACGCTGGCTGTGGTGCTTGGTCAACACAGTTCATCGGTGCCACCAAAAGCAAATTGGACAAGAAAGGAAACCCGATATTCCACCACGGCATTAACAAGGGACCCTCGGCCAGTCCGCAATGCGAGCACTGTGGCTCCAAGACACATCTTGCAGGCCCCATGTGGGGTGGTCCGCTGCACAACCCTCATTTCATTCAGAAAATCTTGGATATGCTCCCAGGAGCTGATCCTGAAGTATATCAGACCTGCGCTCGTATCGAGGGCATGTTGACAACTGCCCTTGAAGAAGATTTGGACTTGACCTCCGCATCGGAGGCTTCTAACCCCAAACAAACTTCAAAAACAAAGGACACATCCGCAGAGTCCGCGAATGCACCCGCAGAGACAGAAAACCTACAAAATGCCGAATACCCAGCCATAATCCCTCGAATGGACGTCGCCACTCGTGAAAAATACCCATTCTATTTCACTCTCAGCGCTCTCGCAAAAGTCCTCCACACCACCACCATCCCAATCGACGAATTCCGCGGCGCTCTCAGCCATCTCGGATATCGTTCAACCCGCAGCCACACTAAACCAAACACAGTACGCACCGATGCCCCTTGGGCGGTGATTTGGGAGATCATCCGCGAATGGGTCCGTCAAAAGTCCCCCATTAAGGAGTCCTCTCTGAAGCCCGGATCCGCTGGCGCTGTAATCATGGCTAACAGCCGTGATAACCTGCGCAAGCTAGACCACCAAGACCAGAGGCTCTCCCTCCTCAAACAGGATCTGCTGTCCGCCGTCGAGGCCGGTAAAGATATCACCGACTTGGTTACGAAGGTTGAGGCTGCCCTCTATCGCTCTGGATCGCAAGGCTCGGTGCAGCGCATCGCTTCTGCTCAAACTCTTCCCGACGTTGCTCATTCTGAGCCGGTGGATCAGTCGGCGAAGGAGCCTGCTACTTCCCAGGCTTCGAAGCCACCTCATCCCAGTACCCTTGAAGTGGTCTTTGATGGTGATCTTGGTCGTGAGGTTTCTGCCACGCATACTAAAAAGCGACTTGTGCGATACCAGCTTAATCCTCGTGCTAACTGGGGTCCTCTCAGCCGTGCGGGTCGTTAATCTTGGTATTTTCAATTGTACATAATAATTTCTTGATCTACTAGTTCAAATGCATTAGAGCTAGGTGAAGTTGCATAGAACCAATCATCGTCAATTGCAAATAGTCACCTTTTCCCCTTGGTCAATCACATTTAATTCATGATTTCCATGGATAAACTAGTTTCTACACTCCGGATACATTGTTGAGTTGTAGGCAGAGAGTTGACTTGAGTGAGAAAAACGGTATTGAATTGAAAAAAATGAAATAGAATGTCATTACTCCCATTATAAACACAACGAGCCAGGAGACGAAGCCGGCTCGGAATCTAAAACCATAAATCACAATCATTACGTCTCAACTCAAGACAGGATGTTGCCTCGAGGATCTATATGCGAACAGGAAAAGAGAGAAAAAAGGACAAGAACACGACACGACACATGAGGCTTAGAACTGCGACACAGCAACGGCAACAGCTTGCGAGTCGCTGTGGCTGATGCTGACGCTGACCTGCTTGACGCCGGCATCTTTAGCGGCGGTAGCGGCCGCACCATGGAGCTAAGAAATATGTCAGTTTTGCTGAACATTGAATGTCAGGATGAATAAGATTGTGCTTACTTTTACAGTGGGAGCGCCGTTGGCATCAACTCCAATTTCAATATCCTTCAAAGCGGCACCGGCACCCTTGCTGCTGACGCCGAGAGACTTGAAGACAGCCTCCTTGGCGCTCCATCGGCCTGCGAACGAGGACTGGGGGGAGGGAGCCTTGCGACAGTAGTCCTGTTCACTCTGAGTGAAGTTGCGCTCGACAAAAGTCTCGTTCTCAATGTTGACGGAATCGATGTGCTCGACGTCAACACCGATTTTGGAGTTCTCGGCGGCGTTGGCCTTGGCGAGGGACTCAACGGTCTGACGAGTGGCCTCGGACTTCTTAGTTTCGGGGGAAGCGGAGGAGTACTTGAGCTCAGAGGTCTTCTTGTCGAGAGCCACACGGTAGTCGGGGTTCAGGAAGATCTTGCTCTGGAGGTCATCCTCGTAAGGAGCCTTGTTCTTGGCAACGAAGATGCTGTTGTTGATCAGGCCGTTGTGGAAGTAACGGTAGGCCTTCTTCTGGCGAGCTTCGACCTTGGTTTTGTAGGCCTGGTATTGAGCCTGGTCAAGAGTGGCGTACAGGTACTTGGGGTGGATACCAATGACCTGAGCACCCTTCTGACCGAAACCGAAGGACGTGACGGAGAATGCCTTGACACCATCGGTCTGGATGCTGCGGCTGGGGTAGACGATGTAGTCGAACTTCTCCATAACCTTGTCAACGTTGTCGGCGTTACGGTTGCCTGGAACGAGACCACTGTCCAAGACCTGCAAGCAGCCGTTGAACATCCAAGCACCGGCAGCACCCTTGGGGTGACCAGTGAGGTACTTCTGGAAAATTCCCATCAATGCGTTACCCTTGGTACGTCCAAGGTGCTTCATCTGCTGGCAAATGACATCGGACTCGTTCTTGTCGTTGGCGACAGTCGAGGTACCGTGGAAAGAAGCAACATCGATGTCATCGACAGTAAGACCCCAAGTGGCCAGAGCACCACGGAGGGGAGCAATGCGAGAGTCCTGCTTCCAGAAGTTGTTGCCCAGGCTATACTGAGCATCTTTCTCCTGGCGGATGGCCTCACGCTCGATGTGTTGAGCACGCTCCTGCAAGTACTCGGCCTCGTTGAAGGTCTCATCGCTCTGAGCCTTCATGGCGTCGGCCTCCTCCTGGAGGTAGAGCAGTTCGGATTCTTGCCACTCTTTGATCTGCTTCTTACGAAGATCCAATTGACGGCGGCGGTACTTGATATCCAGAAGAGGGGATGGGAACTTGCCGGGATTCTCACGGGCGGTGGTCAGGACACCTTGGCCGGGAGCAGGAACGGAGCGTCCGATCTTGTCAGTGGCGGTGGTGGTCAGGGCAATGATACCGTGGATGGGGACACCCATGTCGAGAGCAAGCTGAGCAGTCATGATCAGTTGCATACCGCAACCCTGGGACTCCATGAAGCCAGCACGGGTGGTAGTAGTGGGGCGAGACATCTCCTGAGGGGTACGACCGTGGGCGAACTCATCTTCAGCATTGCTGGTGGCCTTCATGTTGGCGAACTCGTAAGAGCCCTCCTCCTGGAAGTCATCGAAACCACCGACAAAGCAAACACGGGCCTTGCCCTCGACAATGGTCTCGTAACCGATGTCAACAGACTCGACAGCTGTGGCACAAGCACCGACGGGGGTCTTGATAGGACCAGTGGAAGAAAGGAGCAACATGTTGACCCAAGCACTCATGGTGTTGATGAAAGACTCCTGCAAGATATCCTTCTGCAGGGGCTTATCTAAGAAGCGGTCCTTGTACATGCCACGCAGAGCGTGGGTACCACCAATACCGGAACCTATACAGTTACCAACCTCGGAAAGGTGGACATACTTGTAGAACTCGTAGGGGTCGGTGATACCAGCGGATAGCATAGCCTCAGCAGTGCAGACCAAAACAAAGAGAGTGACAGGATCGACCTGCTCGATGATATCATCGGGGATACCATAGCGGCTAGCGTCCCAGCCAGTGGGGACCTGACCAGCGACAAGGCGATCGAATTGAAGCGCCTTGGGGATGAGCATAGTGGCGCCCTTGCGAAGGCGAACGGTATACTCGCCAGACTCGGGGATCTCGAAGATCTCGACCTTGTCTCCGTGCTCACGCTTGAATTCCTCGGCAGTCTCCTTGGAAGACTCGAAGGGCTCGAGGTCCTCCTGGATGACGATCTCCTGGAGAAGCTGCTTCTTCTTGGGGTCATAACCCTTGAAGAGCTCGGGCTCGATGAGACGAATACCAGTGTGTTCCAGGATGTGCTTCTCATATTTGGGCTTGACATCCTTATCGTCGACAGGATCGCCAGTCTTGGCATCAACCCAGCCGGAGTAGGCCTTGCCCTTGAGGGGACCGTTGTGGTGCTTGATTAGACCCATGATCCAGGCCATCTCGACGCAGCCCTCCAGGGAGAACTTGCCCTTGGACTCCATCTCCCAGCGGGTGCGAGAGTTACCCCAAGGACCCACCTCAGAGAAACCGGTGACAACCACAACCTTGTCCAGGTTAACCATGCCCTTGAGAGACTCGTTGAGAGGCTTGACTTCCTTCTCCCAGTCAGGTAGGTTGGGGAACTCGAACTTAATGTTGGCACGGGGCTCTGCGACGACCTTCTTGTACAACACACCGCTGTCCTCGCCGTTGACAACCTTGTGCTCGATGGCAGTCTCCTTGATGACAGCCTGGCGGACATCGCTGGTTTCCATGATGTCGGTGCGAAGCTTGGTCATCAAGCCCTTGAGATCGGGGATGAATTGAAGACCACCGTTGAGATCGGCGAAGACGGGATCGAGCTGACAAAGGTTGACAATGGCAGGAGACATCAGACCAAGAAGGTTGAAAGCCATCTCCTGCTGGGAGAAGGTGCGGACACCCAGCTTCTCGACACCTTCGGCAACCATGTTATTGCCACCCATGAGACCAGTGCCACGGGTCCAGCCAATGACGGCACCACAGATAGTGAGGTAGTGGCTCCAATTCTCGGAGTACCAGCGGTTGAAGAGAGTCTCCAGAGCAAGCTTGGACTCGGAGTACAAGCCGTCATTACCGAAAGTACCGTGGTTAGGGGACAAGGGCAGGATGACCTGAGCGGGGCGGGTCTCGAAGCCATGGGCCTGCTTGTGGGTCTTGATAGAACCCAGAAGACGGAGCAGGTTGGTCAGCATGATACGGTGAGCCAGTTCCGACTTGGAGTCAATAGAGTCGATCTCCCGGCCGTTCTCGGGAATGGCGGCAAAAGGAACGACAAAGTCTAGATCCCAGCCAAGACCCTTCTTGGCGTCGTAGATGTATTCAATCAAAGCCTCAACATCCTGCTTGCTACCCTGGTTGAAGGGCACGACAACCAGCTGGGAGCCACGAGCACCGTAGCGGGCGTACATGGCCTGGTAGTATTCGGTGACCTCACGCGAGAAGCGACTGGTAGTGACAATTACCTTGGCACCACCACTGATCAGGCCCTGCAAGACCTCGGCACCAATGGAGCCGGCACCTGCGCCAGTCATGAGAACGTTCTTGCCCTGGAAGCTGAGACCGTTCTTGGCGGCGGACTCCATTACATTCAAATAGATGCCAGTGAGCTTCTTGTTGTAGTCCCAGCCGTGGTCGGTCTTCTTCTTCAAGTGAAGGAAGGGAATAGTCTCAACCTTGCCGGGGCGAGCGGGAGTGTGCTTGGGGCCGTTACGGCCACCCTTCTTGGCGTGGCCGTTCTCCTGGGGTAAAATCTGGCTCTCATTCATGCCAAGGGCGTGCACAACATCCTTGTACAAAGTATCAAACTGGATCTGCGACGATTTGGAGAGGCGATGCTGCTTGCGGATAAGCTTGTACACATTCTTGAGGTCGTTCTGGACCTTGGTTCGGTTGCTGTACTCGGAAATAGGGCCTCCATCGGCCATGTGCTTGACGTAGTGCTCGAGCTTGCGGGCGCTGGTCCGAGGAGTCTCCTTGTAGCTAATGTTGCCACGGGCATCAATGGTGGTTTGAGGACCAGTGGGGACAGCAACGTCTTTGTAAACAGGGGCAACTTCGAGAACTTCACGGCAGTTCTCAATGAGCTGCTGGCCGAGTTCCTTAGCCAGCTGGTAGGTCTCGCCACGGTCAGCGGGGCAGTTGTCGATGTGGTACTGCATGAAATCGAGAAGGAGGGGGTTGGAGCGGTTCATGATGCGGATACACTGGCTGACAATTTCGCGGTCCACAACCTGGAGGCGGCCAAAGATAATATCGTAGTACATGCTCAAGGCATCTTGACGAGCCCAGTTCCACGAGGAGTCGTAAACACGGGCCTTCAGCTGGTCGAATGAGGGCTCAATGCCCGAGGCGTAGAAGTCACCGTGCTCTACCTGCCATAAGTCCAGCTGAGCCTGCAGCGCCTTTTGAGTCTCCTGGGAGGTGACATAGGCCTTCTCGCCACCACGAAGATCCATCTTGAGGTAGCGGGCAATAATCTCGAGCTGCTGCTTGAACAGAGCGCGTTGATCCTTGGTCAGGGCATCGATGGCAGCAGGGTCCATCACCATACCACCGCCGCCACCGCCGCTATCACCACCAGCAACGGGAGCCGAAAGGTTGACTCCGGCGCTGGCAGCATACTTGTTGGCAACGTCGTCAAGGTAAACCTTGGCATCGGCTTCCGCTCCCAGACGGGCAGCCGGTTCCATAGTGAGGGCAAGGAGGAGCACACCGTCCTGGCGGCCAGATCCCAAACCCCACCGAGTTTCCAAATATTTTCTAACAGAGGTGATGTTGAAGCCACCAGGCATCTTAGAAGAGACCATTCTGGCGATGAGGGAAGAGGACTGCTTTCCCAATTGGCCGTTGAAAGTGGCCTGCATGGAGGCACCAAGCTCGTCAAGCGGGACATCCTCGGGTTTCTCTGGCGTGGAGCCGAACTCCTTACCCAGATCACCAAGGATTTCATTCTGTAATGTGGACTTGCCTGTTTTTTTTTTGGTGATCAGCAATGTATTTTTTACCAATAGCATAAATAACCTACCTCCAACAAGATCCTTAATGGCTTTTGACAATGGCACATCTGCGAGGCCTTTCTTTAACTTTTGGGCAACCAGTGTACGCAGTATATCGACTGCTGTGACGGGAGCATCTTCCACTGCGGCAGCGGGGCCTGCACTCGGAGGTGGGGGGGAGGGGCTCCAGCTGCAGGGGCAGCAGCCGGTGCTGATGCAGGGGAGGAAGTGACCTCCGGGGTGGGCTCGGGCTCGTCCTCCACGGGGTCAACATCGTAGTAGATTTCCTTGGCGTCCTTATTATAGCAGAGAATCTGGCGCTGAACTGAAGTAGCGGCATCATAAGCCTCATACTTGGAGGCTAGTGTCCGTCGTGCCATTCCTCCAAGAGTATCTGCAGGACCGATTTCAACAATGCGCTCGGTGCGCTGTTCGGCGAGGATCACATCCTGGGTTTCGATCCATCGAACGGGAGAGGCGAACTGGTAGGCAAGTAGCTCCACCAACAAAGTGTGGGCGAGCTCTTGTTCAACTTCCGGACGCATGGTGAGAAAGATATGGGTATCAATTGATTAAACAGAAAGACGGAATTAGGGACACACGTCCTGGACGGAATTCGTCGAATGGCCAGGCGAGGAAGAGTGGTAAAAAAGAATATGTAGAGGAATATTGAGGGGGAAAAAGAGAAGATTAGAATAGGAGGTCAATCCTATGAGCAATTGTCAGTGTAAGTCCCTAAGGCAATTCCCAAAGAAAGAGAGAAGGGAAAAAAAGGTGGGAAGGATAAGAGATGCGGTATCCAATAATACCGGATGGTAATTTTCCCACAGCTTTTGATACCAATTCAATACCGAAGCACCAGGAAAAGAAAAAGACAAAAACAAAAAGGTACCACTCACCCCAGATTTAAATTGTGAATGAAATCAAAAGAAAAATGAAGAGGGGAAAAAAGGGAAGTCCAAGAATAATAGGTATCTCTTAGGTAGAATAGAATTGACCAGCGAGATTCGGAGGAATGGGATGAGAAATGAATTTGGTGAGGGTTGTTGGGGTGGTTCCAGGCAGATCTACTAAATAAGTAAGTACGTAGTAGTATGCGGCAATGCGCGGATCGTTTGACAGCTTAATTATACTTGAGATCCTATAGGATATGAATAAATTAGAGATCCCAACATAAAGTCACCACCTTAGAAATCAGATGATAATAAGTATAGTTCGTATAGTTTGAAGAATAATTTTAATATTATATAATATATATAGACAGATAGATTGTATAGATATATGTAACTAGTTCTGAAAATGCAGTAAAAAAAATACCTGTATGTATGTAAAATGGATGTAATTCTCAATCCTCAACGGGTTCAACCCAAGTCACAACCCATTGGGGCGGGTCTGATGTCGCGCTAAGCTACTTTGAGCTACTTGCAGTTCAACAGCGGATCTTTTTTTTTTCCTTTCCTTATTGCTTCACTCCCTAAGTCTTCCAATTGCTTTGGATCTTCTACCCTTTCTATTTTTTATTTGTATATCTGTTCAAATTTGTGTTTGGCCTTTTCTTTTCTTTATTCCCTTGATAATACCCCCCAACCTGTCTCCCCGGACCCTCAGGACTTAAGAAAATCACAAGAGGTTTAAAATCAGTCAGTACAAAATCCCTCCACCAAAACGCTACTCTCAATTGACAACAACTTTCAGGAAAACCCCCCTCTCTTAATTTAGGGTCCTGATCTCTCTTCTTCTCTCCCTTTTTTACATACATTCACGAACATAAAGAGAGACCAATCATGTACGGCACATCAACCGGTCCCCAGACCGGGATCAACACCCCTCGATCCTCTCAATCTCTCCGCCCTCTTATCCTCTCGCATGGCTCCCTCGAGTTCTCTTTCCTCGTTCCTACTTCGCTTCATTTCCATGCATCTCAGTTGAAAGATAGCTTCACCGCCTCTTTACCCGAGCCTACAGACGAATTGGCCCAAGATGATGAGCCTTCATCAGTGACCGAGCTGGTTGCCCGCTACATTGGTCATGTGGCCCACGAGCTGGATGATGAAGATGATGCACAAGGCAACTATTTGGATGTCCTGAAGCTCGTCATGAATGAATTTGAGCGTGCCTTTATGCGCGGTAACGACGTTCACGCCGTGGCAGCTGCGCTCCCCGGAATCGTTGCTAAGAAGAACCAAGTCGTCGAGGCATACTACGCTGGGCGAGCTGCTGCGGGCCGGCCCACCAAGCCCTACGACTCGGCCCTGTTCCGGGCGGCATCTGACGAGGCCGCAGGGATCTACTCCGTGTTCGGTGGTCAGGGCAACATCGAGGAATACTTTGATGAATTGCGCGACATTTACACCACCTACCCTTCTTTCGTCGAGGAGCTGATCACGGACTCCGCTGAGTTGCTTAAATCCCTCTCCCACGAGCCCGAAGCTAGCAAGCTCTACCCCAAGGGCTTGGATATAATGCAGTGGTTGCAGGATCGGGACGCACAGCCCGACATCGATTATCTGGTCTCCGCTCCCGTCAGTCTGCCGTTGATCGGTTTGGTTCAATTGGCCCACTACACAGTCACCTGCAAAGTCCTGGGTCGCCAACCCGGTGATATTTTGGAGCGATTCCTGGGTACAACGGGTCACTCCCAGGGTGTGGTGACCGCTGCAGCTATTGCTACTGCCACCAGCTGGGACTCCTTCCGCAAAGCCGCCCGGAACGCTTTGACTATGCTGTTCTGGATTGGTCTGCGCAGTCAACAGGCTTATCCCCGCACCTCTATCGCCCCGTCTGTTCTCCAGGACTCGATTGAGAACGGCGAGGGTACCCCTACCCCTATGCTGTCCATCCGCGATCTCTCTCTCACCGCCGTTCAGGAACACATTGATGCTACCAACCAACATTTGCCTGAGGACCGACACATCTCCGTCTCCCTGGTCAACAGCGCTCGTAACTTTGTCGTGACTGGTCCCCCTATCTCGCTTTACGGTCTGAACCTCCGCCTGCGCAAGGTCAAGGCCGCTACCGGACTCGATCAGAACAGGGTGCCTTTCACTCAGCGAAAGGTCCGCTTCGTCAACCGTTTCCTCCCTATCACTGCTCCTTTCCACAGCCAGTACCTCTCATCGGCCTATGATCGTATTATCGAAGATCTGGAGGATGTTGATATGCCCGCCAAGTCTCTGGTGATCCCTGTCTTCCACACCAAGACCGGAGAGGACCTGCGTCAGCTCGGTGACGAGAATGTTGTTCCCTCGTTGGTTCGCATGATCACTCATGATGCGGTCAACTGGGAGCAGGCTACCGTTTTCCCCGGTGCTACCCACATCCTTGACTTTGGACCCGGCGGTATCTCCGGTCTTGGTGTGTTGACCAACAGAAACAAGGACGGTACTGGTGTCCGTGTCATTCTCGCTGGTGAAATGGATGGAACCAACGCTGAAGTTGGCTACAAGCCCGAGCTCTTTGACCGTGATGAACATTCGGTCAAATTTGCCGTGGATTGGGTCAAGGAACATGGTCCTCGCCTTACCCAGACCTCTACAGGTCAAACTTATGTTGACACCAAGATGAGTCGTCTGTTGGGTATTCCTCCAGTGATGGTCGCTGGTATGACCCCCACGACCGTCGCTTGGGACTTTGTGGCTGCTACTATGAATGCTGGTTACCACATTGAGCTGGCTGGTGGTGGCTACTACAACGCCAAGACTATGACCGAGGCTATCACTAAAATCGAGAAGGCCATCCCTCCTGGACGTGGTATCACCATCAATTTGATCTATGTGAACCCTCGCGCCATGGCCTGGCAAATCCCTCTCATTGGTCGGTTGCGCGCCGAGGGCGTTCCCATCGAGGGTCTGACCATCGGTGCCGGTGTGCCCTCCATTGAAGTCGCCAACGAGTACATTGAGACTCTGGGTATCAAGCACATCGCCTTCAAGCCCGGTTCCGTCGACGCTATCCAGCAAGTCATCAATGTTGCCAAGGCCAACCCCAAGTTCCCCATCATCCTTCAGTGGACCGGTGGCCGTGGTGGTGGCCACCACTCCTTCGAGGACTTCCACCAGCCCGTGCTCCAGATGTACAGTCGTATCCGCAAGCAGGACAACATCGTGCTTGTTGCTGGCAGTGGTTTCGGTGGCTCTGAGGATACTTACCCCTACCTCTCTGGTAGTTGGTCCGCTAAGTTCGGTTACCCTCCCATGCCCTTCGACGGTTGTCTCTTCGGTAGTCGCATGATGATCGCCAAGGAGGCCCACACTTCGTACAACGCCAAAAAGGCGATCGCCGAGGCCCCTGGTGTGGCCGATGAGGAATGGGAGAAGACTTACCAGAAGCCCACTGGTGGTGTGATCACTGTTCTGTCTGAGATGGGTGAGCCCATCCATAAGCTCGCCACTCGTGGTGTTCTGTTCTGGCAGGAAATGGACCAGAAGATCTTCAAGCTCGACAAGGCCAAGCGTGTCCCCGAACTGAAGAAGCAGCGGAACTACATCATCAAGAAGCTCAATGATGACTTCCACAAGGTTTGGTTCGGTCGCAACACTGCTGGCGAGGCTGTCGATCTGGAGGACATGACTTACACCGAGGTCGTTCACCGCATGGTCGACCTCATGTACATCAAGCACGAGTCTCGCTGGATCGATCCCTCGCTCAAGCGGTTGGCTGGCGACTTCCTCCGCCGTGTTGAGGAGCGCTTCACCACTGCCGAGGGCCAAGCATCGCTGCTCCAGAGCTACTCTGACCTCGATACACCCTATCCTGCTGTTGACAACATTCTTGCTGCCTATCCCGCAGCTGCTGATCAGTTGATCAACGCCCAGGATGTGCAGCACTTCCTGCTTCTTTGCCAGCGTCGCGGTCAGAAGCCCGTGCCCTTTGTTCCCGTTCTTGATGAGAACTTTGAGTTCTTCTTCAAGAAGGATTCTCTTTGGCAGAGTGAGGATCTTGAGGCTGTTGTTGATCAGGATGTCGGCCGTACCTGTATTCTTCAGGGTCCGATGGCTGCTCACTTCTCCAACATCATTGATGAGCCTGTCCAGGATATTCTTGACGGTGTTCACCAGGGCCACATCCAAGGCCTTCTGCGTGATGTCTACGGTGGTGACAAGTCAAAGATTCCTGTCATTGAGTACTTCGGTGGACAGCTTCTGAACACAGAGACCGAGCCAGAAATCGATGGTCTCACCATCTCTGAGGAGTCAAACAAGATCAGCTTCCGCCTGTCTTCTTCTCCCTCTGCGGTCCTGCCAGACCTTGACCGCTGGCTGGGTCTTCTTGCCGGCAGCGTCTACTCCTGGAGACACGCTCTTTTCTTGGCTGATGTCTACGTTCAGGGTCACCGCTTCCAGACCAACCCTATGAAGCGCATCATGGCTCCTACGACGGGCATGCTCGTTGAGATCTCCAATCCCAACGACCCTGCCAAGACTGTTATCAGCGTGCGCGAGCCCTACCAGTCTGGCAAGCTTGTCAAGACTGTTGAGGCCAAGGTCACCGAGAACGGACAGATCAGCCTCACTCTCTTCGAGGGCCGCACCGCCGAGAACGGTGTTGTTCCTCTGAACTTCCTGTTCACTTACCACCCCGAGACAGGATACGCTCCTATCCGTGAAGTTATGGGTGATCGCAACGACCGCATCAAGGAGTTCTATTACCGTATCTGGTTTGGCAACAAGGACGTGCCCTTCGACACACCCACCACTGCCACATTCAACGGTGGCCGTGAGACCATCACTTCTCAGGCTGTTGCCGACTTTGTTCACGCCGTTGGCAACACCGGTGAGGCCTTCGTTGATCGTCCTGGCAAGGAGGTCTTTGCCCCCATGGACTTTGCTATCGTTGCAGGCTGGAAGGCTATCACCAAGCCCATATTCCCTCGCACCATTGATGGAGATCTGCTAAAGCTGGTCCACCTGTCTAACGGCTTCAAGATGGTTCCTGGCGCCCAACCCCTCAAGGTCGGTGATGTCCTGGACACTACTGCCCAGATCAATGCCGTCATCAACCAGGAGTCTGGTAAGATGGTCGAGGTTTGCGGCACCATCAAGCGTGAGGGCAAGGCTATCATGCATGTGACCAGTCAGTTCCTCTACCGGGGTGCCTACACCGATTTCGAGAACACGTTCCAGCGCAAGGATGAGGTCCCCATGCAAGTCCACCTTGCCACCAGCCGCGATGTTGCCATCCTCCGCTCGAAGGAGTGGTTCCGCATGGACGACTCTGACACCGAGCTCCTCGGTCAGACCCTGACTTTCCGTCTGCAGAGCTTGATTCGTTTCAAGAACGCCACCGTCTTCAGCAACGTCCAGACCATTGGCCAGGCTCTCCTTGAGCTGCCTACCAAGGAGGTCATTCAGGTTGCGTCCGTTGAATATGAGGCCGGTGACTCTCATGGTAACCCTGTCATTGACTACCTCCAGCGTAACGGAACCTCCATTGAGCAACCGGTGTACTTCGAAAATCCCATCCCTCTCAGTGGCAAGACCGCTCTGGAGCTGCGCGCCCCCGCCTCCAACGAGACCTATGCTCGTGTCTCCGGTGATTATAACCCCATTCACGTGTCGCGTGTCTTCTCTAGCTACGCCAACCTTCCTGGAACTATCACCCACGGCATGTACAGCAGTGCCGCTGTTCGCAGCCTTGTCGAGACCTGGGCTGCCGAGAACAACATTGGCCGTGTTCGTGGCTTCCAGGTATCGCTGGTTGGCATGGTTCTGCCCAACGACATGATTACCGTGAAGCTTCAACACGTTGGTATGATTGCTGGTCGCAAGATCATCAAAGTCGAGGCCCTCAACAAGGAGACCGAGGACAAGGTTCTTCAGGGCGAGGCAGAGGTCGAGCAGCCAGTCACCTCCTATGTCTTCACCGGTCAGGGTTCACAAGAACAGGGCATGGGTATGGAGCTCTATGGAAGCAGCCCGGTTGCTCAGGAGGTTTGGGATCGCGCTGATCGCCACTTCATGGAGAACTACGGTCTGTCCATCATCGACATTGTCAAGAACAACCCCAAGGAACTCACTGTGTATTTCGGTGGTCCTCGTGGTAAGGCGATCCGCCAGAACTACATGGCGATGACCTTCGAGTCGGTGAATGCGGACGGATCTATCAAGTCTGAGAAGATCTTCAAAGAGGTCGATGAGAACACCGCTTCCTACACTTACCGCTCTCCAACCGGTCTGCTCTCCGCCACTCAGTTTACTCAGCCTGCTTTGACTCTGATGGAGAAGGCCAGCTTCGAAGACATGCGTTCCAAGGGCTTGGTCCAGCGTGACAGCAGCTTCGCTGGTCACTCTCTCGGTGAATACTCTGCCTTAGCCGCTCTGGCCGATGTCATGCCCATTGAGAGCTTGGTGTCTGTTGTGTTCTACCGCGGTCTTACCATGCAAGTTGCCGTCGAGCGTGATGAGCAAGGTCGCTCCAACTACTCCATGTGCGCTGTCAACCCCAGCCGTATCTCCAAGACCTTCAATGAGCAGGCCCTGCAGTACGTTGTCGAGGTCATTGCTGAGACAACCGGCTGGTTGTTGGAGATTGTCAACTACAACGTCGCCAACATGCAATACGTTGCTGCTGGCGACCTCCGTGCTCTTGACTGTCTCACCAACCTGCTGAACTTCCTGAAGGCGCAGAACATTGACATCCCTGCCCTCATGGAGAGCATGTCTCTGGAGGATGTCAAGGAGCACTTGGTCAGCATCATCCAGGAATGTGTCAAGCAGACCGAGGCCAAGCCCCGTCCTATCCAGTTGGAGCGTGGTTTCGCCACAATCCCCCTCAAGGGTATCGATGTGCCCTTCCACAGTACCTTCTTGCGCTCTGGTGTCAAGCCTTTCCGTTCTTTCTTGCTGAAGAAGATCAACAAGACCACCATTGACCCCAGCAAGCTGATCGGAAAGTACATCCCCAACGTGACGGCCCGTCCCTTCGAGATCACCAAGGAGTACTTCGAAGATGTCTACAAGCTCACCAACTCCCCCCGCATTGCTTCTATCCTGGCCAACTGGGAGAAGTACGAGGAGGGTAACACCAATGTTGAAAAATGATTTATTCATCTTTGTTGATTCCCCCTCTATAATGTTCTTGATAGACCTTGTTTTTTTCATTGGGTCATTATGTGATATGTCTCAAAGCATTGGAGTTTTATGTGCATGTAAATGAATTATTTTAGTTTCCCAGTTTTAATATTATGTTATCTTCTGAATAAGTGACATTCCTTATACTCTACCCCCGAATTGGAAATAGATGCAAAGACGTTAGAAGTATTGTTACTAAAAGCTATTTGCCATGCTCAATTTCCATTTCCCTTCAATGTGCCTGGGCGCAGCATTCGATCTTCCTTGCCGTAAACACTAACACCCCTGACAATTGCGATGAACTTCCGATGATTCTCCTTAGATTCGCCAATGCGAGGACGGAATATCTTCAAGAGATCACCACTAAGAATGCCGGTTGCTGGAATCGCCGCGTGGATTTCTCCAGAAGTTGGGAAAGTCTGATTGCCGGAACTCGGAGTCGACACACCACCCTGGTGTTTCAGACCTTCGGGGCTGCTGGCACGACTTCCAGGTACTCGGCCACCTGCCATGGGACTAGCAGCCCGGGAGCCTTGCGGGGTGCCAGAACGAGAACCTGTGGGAGGGTTGAGTTTCAACTTCTTGATCTTGCCACTTTCAGTCATTTCTGCTCCAGATCCGGCACCAGTGTCGACATCACTGCCAGATCCAGCGCCACCAGGAGGAATGTTTCGAACACGTTTCTTGCCAGTCTAGCATGGTTAGTTTATATGAACGATATGGGCCACTTGAAAACATTTTACACATACTTGCATGACCGATGGTGAAATTGGACGCGATGGAGGCTGGGATGTAGCGGAGTGCATGTTTTTGGCCTTCTTTCGAGAGGTATCGGTACCGCTGGCATCGGAGGCGTTCGGCGACCCAAGTCTCTTCCGAGATCCAGCCGCTTTCTTCAGGGCATCTGTGTGTTTGGGTCGACCGGAGGGCGTATTGGTGCCCTTGGTGGAGGTTCCAGACTCTTTCTGATTCTTTTCCTCTTCTGCCTTCTTCCGCTCTTCTTCCTTGGCACGCTCTGTCTCGCTGTCATCGGAGCTCTGCACACAGTTAGATCAAATCAATATAATGTGATGATGTTCACGACCCACCTCCTCGTCCGAGTATGGATTGACATCCGAGCCACTGCTGTAATCGTAGTTTCTTTCTCTCTTCTTCAGCGCCTTACGCACGCCCTTACCCAGCACACGTCGAGCCTCACGCTCTCGCTTCTCTCGAACTTCTTCTGCGTCGTACTCCTTCTCATCCTTCAGATTGAACACGTTCGCTTTGAGCTGGTCTTCTTTGATTCTCTTTTCGGCCTCTTTTGCATCCTCGTCTTCGTTGAAGAGGTCATCATGCTCCTCATCGTCTGCGAATCGATCCTCTTCAAAGTCCATTTCGCCAGCCTCCAGTCCCTCGCCTTTGCCCGCCTGTATGCCTTGCTTTCCGGCGTAGACTTTCCGCTGCTTGCCCCAGGTTTCCATTTCTTTCTCTTGTTCCAATTGCTGCTGCTTTTCCATGAACCAACGCGGGTCTTTCACTCTCTTGGCCATGAATTTCTCGGCTTCCTCAATCGTCAACGCCTTGAAGTTGCTCTTGGCACTGAATTTGTACCACTTCTCGGCCGGAACCATTCGCATCTTGCCATTGTCCAAAATGAACACTGCGTGTGTTTCGGACAAAGCAGCTTCGTAGTTTCCTACCCAGGTGTGCTGGTTATCAAAATCTTCCAAGTGCCATGGCAAAGCCTCTTCGTACTTGATTCTGGCTCTGGCGATCTCCTCGGGTGTCATGTCTGACTTGAAAACTTGCTGTGTCTTCTGTTTGGGGGCGTTTGGTCGTTTCGAAGTTGATCCAAGCGCAGGAGCAATCTGAGCTAGGTTCTGAGCGCGCTCTTTCTCGCGTGCATCTTTCCTGGCATCATATGCTTCACGTTCGGCTGCATCCATCGGCTCGCCATCCACCTCGGTTCTGCCCGAATTCGAATCTTGTGTTCGCGAACGCGGGTCCCGGCGGTGAAGTCGAACTGGTCGTGTAAACTGAGATTCATCGCGTGGGTCCACGCTTTTCTTCGAGGCAAATCGTGCAACATGGTGCTTCATTCCCTCCAGTAGAGCTCGCTTTGTTGTCACAACCGGATAGTCAAAGTATTTGTCGCTGAGTAGAGGTCCACTGAATCCGTTTGCCGACATATTATTGTTTGAAAGCTCTATCATAGGTCTGTCTGACTGGAAAACGTTGGCAGACTCCGATGGGCGCGAGGGCAACGTCTTGGTAGCTGTCCTGTAGCCACCCACGGCAGCTGTGGCTGCTTTGGGGAGAGGCCTTCTTTTGGGTCGAACCAATGGATCTGCTGCTTTTGGGCGGCGCATTCTCATCGGTGCGCCATTTGGTCCCGTTGGGGTTCGAGCGTTTGAGGGATTCGTTGGAGTGGACATGATGCCGACACGCGAAAGGGATCTGGATGCGGAATAATTCGGCCTGTCAGAGAGGGAAGGTGAATAAAAAGAACTTCAGGGCTCTCTTCGCGACAAGGCGACGACCGATGGAGGGATGGAAGTGAAAGAAAGAAAGAGGCGTGATGATCGACGTATGAAGTGATTAGGTAAGCTGTTTAGCCGCCAGCACTCTCCGCCGTAAGGCGACCTGCGACTTCGAGTTGACATCCAAGTACTATATCTACATATATAACTCTCACTGTTCTCAAGTAGGTTGATCAAAAACATAATATGTATAGTCTTAAAATGTAAATCAAGGTGCAACTATCAATAAAAAGGTTCAAAAAGATATATCCAGCACTCAGAACATATTTCGCGCGAGCACCTTGAAGTATATAATTTGTAGAATAATCAATAAGATGCATATATTCATGAGCCCAAGAGAATTAAAACTGAACAATACCGCAACTGTCGCGAGAATTTCCTATCCAAAGATGTGGCTAGCTCTTTTGCTCCAAATCATCTTACCGAGCTGATCGCAAGAATCCTACCACTCCGCGACAGTATCCCACCAATTCAGCCAAGCGTTTACCCTCTTGCTCCTGCTCATGAGCCCAAGCCGCGAGAGTTTCTTGCAGCAAGCGATACTCGGGCTCATCACGATCAGAGCTGAGACTAATAGTGTCGGCATGAATCTTCAGGAAGACTGCCATCCACGCATTGACCATTTCAAAGTCTCTCTTGGACTTCAGGCGATAAGTCAAAGCAGTGACGAAACCAGACAGCTCAGAATGCCCATCACGCACTCGAGGATCTAATGAACGGATCTCAAGGTCTGCCTTAGCTGGAGATAAGGACTTGAGATGATCAATAAATGAATCGAAGTTGCCGGACTGGTGGCCGGATGCCAATGACCGAGTGAAAATAGACTGGGGGGAACTGGAATTCTCGCCATTTTGCAACTTGGCAATCCGCAACCTTTCGGCTTCAGCGCTCTTTGCTAGCAATCCAGGATCGGCGTCCTTGCCGGCGTTTTCGCTAGCTGACTCGGGCCCACTAGAATTGAGCAGGGAGGGAAGGAAAAAGGGTGCCTTCTCAGGTGCCTTAGGGGCTTCCTTGGGCCGGTTGCGTTCCTGTGGAAATGTTAGCTAGAAAATTGGACGATTGTAGAGATAAATCCTACCCGAATAGTATCCAAATGGATCAGTGCCTGCCACCTGCTCTTGGGGACGAGACTGAGGGTCATCATATCATGCCGTAGCTGGTCTGTTGCCAACACTGGGCCATCTTCCTCATCTTCCTCAGGAGTCTCAACAAATGCTGCTTCGATAAGACCAGCACCGCCTTCTCCTGACGTTGCCGGGATCCCAACGTTTTCAATGACGCTCTCGTCCAAATTTTTGGTTGAGATAGGCATGAATAGACTACGATTGCTCCAAAGACTGACGCCGATGCCACCGGCGTGTGCAGTGGCAAGGAATTCACCAGTTGATGACATGGCCAAGGCAACACAGGTACTCGACACTCGGAAGATATCAATGAGATGTCCAGTAGGTAAATCCCATACTCGGACCACCGAGTCCATCGAGGCCGCAACGATCCATCGTCCATCATTGGAAAAGATGAAATCGTTGACTTGGCCCACACATCCCCAGAATTCACGCACCAGCTTTCTGGTCTCAAGATCAATCACGCGGATTGAAAGATCGTCGCAGCTGAAAGCGACTAGCTCACTCGCCTTGTTGTAGCGAAGTCCGGTAATGGCAGCCATTGGATTCCAATCTAGCTCATCAATGAATTTTCCGGAGAGAAGATCCCAAAACTGCGAACAATCAAACACGTCAGTCATCTGAGGAGATGTTAAAGGACATTGGTGGGTATTACCTTTACTTTACCGTCCAAGCCACAGCTAACGACAGTCCGGTTCAAGCTGTCAATCATCAAGCCAGTCACTGCCTTGGTGTGCTTTGAGGCTTCAGCTGTTGAGGCAAAAACATTGGCCTTGCGTGAAGCTGGGAGTCGAGCCGGGAAACTTTGTCGGTGCTGACCCGATTGCATGTTAAACATGTCAATGGATCCTCCTGCTGACCCAATAACAGCAAAAGTGCCACAGTGTGAGACCGCGACGCTCTGTAAGTAAATTGAATTAGCAAGGATTCAAGAGTTGCTTCCATGTTCAAGTTGTTGCTTACCTTGACCTCTGTTCCATCGCTGGTCGCAAAGGCCCATCGACCTGCCTTCTTTTTGCCCCAGAACCAGGTACGTGCGAACTTGTCACCTCGGTGACCAGTGACCACGCTTTCCCAGCCAGTTGTATTAGAAGCATCGGCGTTTGTTACCTTCGGGTTCGACCAGATCGGGCCAGATGTGGTGATGCCCATTCCGCCATCACGGTTGAGACTGCAGGCGATGCATGTGACTTCAGGGGCTTTAAGATCCTCTGATGACATGGTTTGTGAGTTGGCCGACGGGCCGGCCTTCTTGGCCTTGCGCTCCAAGCTACCCTGTGAAATCTCGGTGTGCTGGCTGTCTTTGCGCAAACTGAGGCCCCAGAGGCTGCAGTCCTTGCTTGCACTCAGAAGCCACTTACCGCCTGAGTCAGACCCGTCCGAGGAGCCCGGCAGGAAATCAAGAGCGCTGACGGCAGCTGAGTGTCCGTTTCTTGTGTGAAGTGGCCTGGGGATGGGTGAGAAGGGAGTTTCGTCGAATATCCATGTCTTGAGAGAATTGTCGTCGCCCGAGGACACGATTACTGGCTGGCCATCAAGGAACTCAGCACGGTTGGCACCCATAGCCTTTTCACCACTTGAGACACGATGGGCTCCACGAAGGATACCCGCAATACGACCTCCGTTGTTCAAGTCCCAGAGCGTGATGTCACCGCTGCCATTCGATACCGTGGCCATGACACCGGAGCTGCGACCATCATGGCCAGCGCCTAATCCGTCGCTTCGGAACGTTATAGATGTCACAGGAAGACCCCGCGAAGATGCGTTTTTCAAATTCAAGACAAGCTGGCCTGAGTTGACGTTCTGAATTGATAATGCTCCGCTCTTGTACGCAACGGCAACGAGCGATAGAGCAGGCGTGGGCTGGATCGCTGTCACGGGACCGACGTCTGGCGAAGAAGGGGGCAGTGTGTGAATCAGTTTCCCACTGCGGAGGTTCCAGATATCGACAGCACCGTCCGATCGACCCACAAAGATCTTGTTGAGATAAGTCGGCATATTACACATGACACCAGTGTAGATTTGCTCCCGGGAGGAGCCTTGAATAGACTGAGGTCTCATGCTAGCATAATGCTCGTATGTGCCGGTTTTCCAAACTTCAAGGCCCCCAGCCCAGCAGCCGATTACCCATGAGCCAAATACAACCAGTCGTTCGAGGGGCCCTTTCAGATCTGCGGGGCTTTGGAGGGCTGCAACCTTTTTACCACGCTTGAAAACCCAGATCCCGCCAGGGGACTGCGGCCGAAGATGGCCCCAAGCTGCGAAGACCTTATCTTGCCATGCACATGTCGCCGTGATGATCTCCGGTGTTCGGGGTCGACTCAGGAAGATGAGGTTCAGTCCTTTGCGCAAATCATAGGTCTGCAACGAATGTCCAACAGAGGTCGTGATTTGATAGGTTGATTTACCCAGACGCACTGAGGTGAAAGGCACGGGTGTAGGTGACACCAATCCTAATGTCTTTATGGGAATACGGTCAGCCTAAAGAAAGGAATCAATTATACCTCGACTTACACGAAAAGGAGCGAAGATTTTTGAACCCCGTTGTCCAACATTATTGCCCTTGGAAACCCGCTTTTGCCGCTTCGCCAGAGGCAGATCGAAATTATCGTTTGGCAAAGAAGGCATGGTGAAAGTGTGGTATTGTAAACAAAACGATGGGAATATCTGAGTCGTTACGATAACACCAATTGCCTATAGCCAACCGTCAAACAACTGAATCGCAAGTTGGTCAGCTTAAGCTTGATGGATATCCATATCTTTTTTTTGCTGTTTTTTTTTCTGCCCCGCCTAGCCTACATTTAGACCGCCTTCCTTTTCAGACAATTTACTTAGTACTTTGCACACAAGTTATATACGAGGCAAGATTGTATTGAAGGTAATATATAACATCATATGGATCAAATCACTTTATATAATACTCATTGCAACACAAGAGATACTGGATATAGAAAAATACACATGTACATACGTCTGTGAACGTAAATTGTGCTAGTTGAATAACTGTATTAGCTAACTAGACATAGTTAGGTAGTTACTGAATTAGTTATGAGTATCCATATGTTGTACTTAAAGGTCTAACTATTCCAGTGCAATAATACTTCATGTAGTATTTAGGTCCAAAAATATCCATATATAATATACAATGAAATACCGAGGAAAAAGAAAAGAAATTGACCATATACATGAGCCAAGAATTGGAGATGAAACCCTTCTCCGCCTGCAAAATCCGGGACCCCATTATTTGATAAAGGAGCTGTTCCTCCTGGAGAATGACTACCGCTGTTTCCCCAGATTCCACCTTAATGCCTATGGCTGAATTGAATACCTGATATTTCCTTCAAAATATCCCGGGCATAACTTTTCTTGAACTCCCCGCCTTTTTTGCCCCTCCTGCCTCCTGCCCGTTCGGCCTACTCTGTCTCCAATGGAAAGGACCGAGCACAGCAACGGCTCTTCTGCCGGGCTGGACTCCTCGCAACCTCCCACAGAGCCCAGTTCAACAGCAGGTCCCCCATCGTCCGACCTGGACTCCGATTACAATGATCAAACACCTACAGGCCTCGTTCCCGAACCTACCACTCTGGTCTCGGTCAAGTCCACCCAACATACAAAATCGTCACAAAGCCAATCCGCAAAAGTTGAATCGGGATCCGATCCTCGCTCTACCAGCATACTTGGACAGTCTGCGCGGTCCTCTAGCCGTGCACCTAGAAGGTTTAGTGGAAGCACAGCTCCTAGCACGGCTGGCAGCTCCATCAGTGAAGTTGAATCCAGCTCTCTCAAACCATGGAGAATTGGTGTCTGTGCCTTGGATGTGAAAGCCCGCAGCAAACCTAGCCAGAACATCTTGACTCGTCTCCAATCGAGAGGCGATTTCGAAGTAATAGTGTTTGGAGACAAGGTGATTCTCGATGAAGCAGTGGAAAATTGGCCAGTGTGTGACTTCTTATTGGCTTTCTTTTCGGACGGATTCCCTTTGGACAAAGCCATTGCGTACGCTAAACTCCGAAAACCCCTTTGTGTCAATGACCTGCCGATGCAAAAGGTTTTGTGGGATAGGCGACTTTGCCTGATGATTTTGGATCATATGGGTGTTCCTACTCCCAAGCGACTGGAGGTCAATCGTGATGGCGGTCCGATGCTAGAATCACCCGAACTGGGCCAACACATCTACCAATTGACTGGCGTGAAGCTCCCAGGCCCTGAAAATGGAATCGGTGGCGGTGTCCCTCGAACCCAGCATGTTTCAATGTCCGAAGACGGTGAGGCTTTAATCGTTGACGGGAAAGTTTTCAAAAAGCCCTTTGTCGAAAAACCTGTCAATGGTGAGGATCACAACATTCACATCTACTTCCCGAATGATCAGCAGTACGGCGGCGGCGGAAGGCGACTGTTTCGAAAGGTGGGCAATAAAAGCTCTGAATATGATCCCACCCTCTCTGTTCCAAGGTCTGTTACGGAAAAGGATGCAAGTTATTTGTATGAACAATTCCTCAGGGTCGACAATGCCGAAGACGTGAAAGCATATACAGTTGGGCCAGACTTTTGCCACGCTGAGACACGCAAATCTCCCGTGGTTGACGGTCTTGTCCGTCGCAATACCCATGGAAAAGAAATACGATATATCACAAAACTTGGCAAAGAAGAGGCAGTAATCGCTTCAAAGATCTCTAACGGATTTGGTCAGAGAATCTGTGGATTTGACATGCTCCGTGTTGGAGATAAGAGCTATGTTATTGATGTTAATGGCTGGAGTTTTGTCAAGGACAACAACGACTACTACGACAAATGCGCCAACATTCTTCGGGATATTTTCTTGAATGAGCGACGCAAATGCGAAGGAGTGACCGAATCATCCGAGCCACCATCTCCAGACATGGGTTCATCCAGAAGAAGCACAGTAGGATCTCATCGTCAGGCTTTGAAGACACTCTTAAAGTCCCCTAGCACTTCCAGACTCTACGGCAATCAATGCTCCCACAAAGTTTCGGAAAACCCTCCCTCCGATGTCTCCACTTGTCCTCCATCAATAGCCTCCTCATCTGTGGTAGAGGGTGCTGATTTTGGCGCTGCTCTCAGCAAATTGAACTCCAGGGATGGCCACACCTCTCGGGGTTACAGCCCCTCAAATTCGAGATCTCCAGCTCTTTCGATACAGCCTGCCAACGAGGAAGCGCTTCCGCCCCTCCCAGCTTCCAAGCACTCCTGGAAGCTGAAAGGCATGGTCGCAGTGATTCGGCACGCTGATCGAACCCCAAAACAAAAATTTAAGTTCACGTTCCACAGTCAACCATTTGTGAATCTGTTGAAGGGCCACCAAGAGGAGATAGTAATAAAAGGAGCGGCTGCATTGTCTAGTGTCTCCGATGCTGTCAAGTTGGCCATGGAGAAGGGCTTGGAAGATATGGAGAAGCTGAAGCTGCTCCGTACATCCTTGGAGCAAAAGGGCGGTTGGCCCGGAACAAAAGTACAAATCAAACCGATGTTCCGGAAACGAAAGCCAGAAGAAATGAAAGAGCAAGAAAGCTCTCCCGCTGTCTCTTCCCCGTTGCCCGAGGGAAAGCTCGGCGAGGAACCTATTGCCCCTGTGCCAGGTGCGGCGGCGCAAGATAGTGAGGAACTGCGCAGGTCACAAACTCGAAGTGATTCTATTTCAGGTGCCACCTTCTCTCGATTCTCTGCTGCCGAGAATGACTTGATCCTGGATAAACTCCAGCTTGTGATCAAATGGGGTGGCGAGCCCACTCATGCTGCGCGTTACCAATCGCAAGACCTTGGGTTGAACATGCGGGATGATCTCAAGCTGATGAACAAAGAAGCATTGAACAATGTTCGTATGTTCACGAGCTCGGAACGTAGAGTGAGCACCAGTGGTGAGTTGAACACATTTTGCTTCATCACTTTACCATCATTGTTAGCTAATGAAACCTATCAACAGCACAAATCTGGGCTTGTTCCTTCTTGGACCAGAAGGATATCCCCGAAGACTTGATACAAGTTCGGAAAGATTTGCTCGACGATTCGAATGCCGCCAAGGATGTCATGGATAAAGTCAAGAAGAAGCTTAAGTTGCTTTTGCGAGAAGGCTCTGCGCCGTCGCAATTTGCCTGGCCCAAGGACAGCAATGTCCCAGAGCCTTCAGTTGTTCTCGCTACGGTAGTCGAGCTAATGAAGTTCCACCGGAGTGTGATGCGGCACAACTTTGAGAAACTCAGCAGTTCACCGAACATTTTCCCAACCACATCTAACGACCCTGAGAATCTAGCCCAGCCAAACTCCGAGGATCCACAGTTGGATGGTCCTGATATATCCAGCATTCAGGGCCGCTGGTGTGCGGGTGAAGATCCTCGTCTTTTCAAAGAACGATGGGAGAAGCTTTTTGCAGAGTTCTGTGACACCGAGAAGGTTGACCCTAGCAAGCTTTCCGAGCTATATGACAGCATGAAGTTCGATGCGCTTCACAACAGACAGTTTTTGGAGTGGGTCTTCATGCCCCCCGACATTGCTCGCGATGAAGAAGAAAAGGAAAGCATCAAGAGCAAGAGCACGGTAAAGTCTGATGCAACTGTGGACGGGAAGCCTGTCCAGGAGGGTGGAAATGACAAACCCGAAGAGCGCGCCGAAAACCAGACGTTTGCGCATCGCTTTGGGTTGAAGAAACGCATGCATGCGCCTGAGTCGCTCCCGCACCTTCGGGCCCTGGATGATTCATACGATCATTATTTCAAACTTTTCCCTGGTTCCAATTCCTCGAAGTGTAAGATGGATGAGCGGTTGTCGAAACTTCGGGAATTGTACAAGTTGGCCAAGGTCCTCTTCGACTATGTGACGCCCCAGGAATACGGTATCACCGACAGTGAGAAGTTGGAGATTGGTCTGTTGACCTCTCTTCCCTTGCTCCAAGAGATTGTTCGAGACCTAGAAGAGGTGCAGGCTTCGCAGGATGCCAAGTCCTTCTTCTACTTCACCAAGGAATCTCACATCTACACCCTTTTGAACTGCATTCTAGAAGGTGGAATTCAAACAAAGATTGCCAGAAGTGCAATCCCAGAACTTGACTATCTATCTCAAATTTGCTTTGAATTATATGAGGCCCGTGACAGTGAATCGGACTCATACTCCTACTCCATTCGGATCTCAGTCAGCCCTGGATGCCACGCTTTCGACCCTCTTGATGTGCAACTTGATTCTAGACACTCCATCGGTTGCGCCCCTCGGCGCAGTTTGACGGCTCATCAAGATTGGAAGGAAGTCATTGAGACACTGAAGGCGAAGTTTAACACGTAAGTCTTTTTACACTCGAGAATCTCCAGGATCATTGCTCATTACATATAGGGTGGAACTTCCCAAAACCTTCATTGCGGTGAATTTGAGCGATAAACATATATCTCATGATGAGAATTCACCGTCTCGTGGAATCTCCTCGACTCAAACTGAGTAAAAATAAAAGAAAAGAGGCTCATATATTGAAATTGGGCGTTTTTGGAACCTCTCTGGCTTTGTGTATACCCTGACTTGGGACACTTTGTACTTTATTCCTTTTTTTGTACTATGAGAAAAGAGAAGTCTAGAAGGATTAAACAATTTGCACTTGAATCATTTATTTGAGGTTCTTCTATTACATCTATAGATACATATGTAGTCAGTGTACATGGAAATTGTAGTTATCAAACGTTCGATGAAACCCGCCGTAAGCCGATTACGGTACACGCACCTACGTGTAGCTTATAACTAAGTAGCCCCGCGGTCAACTGTTAACTGTCTCTCCACACATCTTTGTTGGATCCTCGCGCCGATATGACAGAGCTACCTGTAACAGTAAAAATTGTTGATAACACGCTAAAATACACTTCTGACAAAGGCATCGAGAGTTCGATTGACTTCAAGGATATTCTCTGTGTGTTGTCAGTATCCGCCAGACATAGCGTGCTGTTCTTCGACTCCAAACCAAGTGGCCATGAGCCCGAACGTGTATATCTGGAGAAAATCGATGTCGCATCTCTGCCCACGGGACTATCTCCGTTTGTGACAAACATTCCTAGCCATCTTCAACATGAAACTGGGGCTGTCACCCAAGTGGTGATATCCACTGGATCAGGAACTGGAAGAGCCATGACAATTTATCAGGATGCTCTGCGTCCACTCTTTACATATCTCGGGATTACCAATGTTGAGGTGTACGAGACTGAGTCTACAGAAACCATAATCGACCTGGCACGGTCGAGATTCGTGGAGCTTGCACATAATGGCATCCCGCAAACCATCATTCTTCTTTCAGGCGATGGGGGTCTTGTTGATATTCTGGATGTTATCTACAAAACCAAAAAGACAATCAGTGTACCCCCAACCCTTGCGCTGATTCCCTGTGGCACCGGGAATGCCATGGCTAGTTCCATTGGATTACGGTCTGGCCCGGTGCCAGGTCTTTCAACTCTACTTCAAGGCAGTGCATCCCCTGTACCTGTCTTTATCGCAAATTTCTCCCCTGGCAGTCGACTTGTTGTGGATGAAGGCCGTCAGCGAACTCCAATAGATACCGATGCTGAAGCCGCTGGTCATACCCTATATGGCGCCGTCGTTGCAAGTTGGGGGCTCCATGCAGCATTAGTTGCCGACAGTGATACAGCCGAATATCGGAAGTATGGGGTCGATCGATTCAAGATGGCAGCTAATGAGCTACTTTATCCATCGGATGGTACCCCGTCTCATCGCTTCAAGGGCAAGATTACTATGACCACGTCGGATGGTACGAACGAAATTCGACAAGCGGTGGAAGAGCTTGAGCACATGTATGCACTTACCACACTGGTTCCACGTCTTGAAAAAGAGTTTTTGATCTCCCCAGACTCGGTCCCCCTCAGTGGGCAAATGAAGTTTATTCGTTTTGGACCTATGTCACCAGAAGATGCGATGCATTTGATGACTCTAGCCTACCAAGGTGGCCAACACGTGCTGGAATCGACATTGACTTATGCCGATATTGAAGAAGTTCGAATCGATTTCCATGAAGATGAAGAAAAGTGGCGACGCGTTTGTATTGACGGAAAGATTGTGGCTGTCGAAAGAGATGGTTGGATGGAACTCTGCAAAGAGCCCCGTCGTTTATTGAATTTGATTCATTAGTTATCTACCTAAGTATTGTCTACAAAGAAATGTTTGGTACCTGCATCGTGGCGTCGGATCAATATCTCGAAACTTGAGGCATGGTTAAGGATGATGTGTGATAACAGTAGAAGAGCTAAATCAATCGCTTTGTACGCCCCTACGGCAGCGGGACTCTGAGATCGAGACCTGTTGAACTTCTCAACGGGAAAAAAGTTCTCATTTGTCAAGTTGCAACAAACAGTACGATTCGTGAGCGAAAAAAACATGTTCTGGAAAGAACATGAAAGAACATGGGGCAATCCTCTTGGTGAGTGGCAGACATTTTGATTGCATGTGGTACCTGAAGACCGCAAGACAACTCGATGACGGGGAAGGTTCGACAGGTTATCAAGCTTCATTTCAATGTCACGTGAACGAACCGTGTATGAACAACATGGGATACGAATAACTAGTACATTTTCACTTTTCTCATACTTGCTTGTGGATTTTCTTTTATGATGGAACTGTCGATCGGATTCAATGCTGATCACTGCGCGCACGTATTCGGCTTCTCAGACCCCAGATCAAGGAGCAACTTATTCCTACATTGAACGGTCATCGCGGTTTCATACCCTCTCAGGGTGGCAGACAAATTCAGTGGATGCTAGAAAAGCGACAGATATGTTGTTAATCCACCAAGTCGGAAGTGTTCGTGTGGGAGAAGTGGTCAGGTGAACATCCCCATGTCGATGCCCAGACATAACTCCGAAGTCCTCTTCAATCTAGTGTTTCATACTGACAGTCGTGACCCCACCCAGGTATACAATCAGATATACACCAGCGGCCGATCCAATCCTACCTATTCCTTCAAATCTCTACGTCAGGGTGAAAAATACATCTGCCATACCATTACGCGCCGCGTACCTACATGGCCCGTACACGCTGTACGCCGCTTGTTATCCCGCACAGTTTGACCCCAACACCAAGTATGAGAAACAAGGAATAGAGGGAATACCGCAATATGAGCCATATCTCAAGGCCGGAGGCGGTTGGGATGCCACCATCCAGATACCATCTCATCTACAGGACGCTCATAAATTCGGCTCTCCGGGTCAAGGTGGACCGACAAGCGGACAAAGCGTTACTTGGATTGTTGAGATACAATCTCAGGTGATATTCTCGAGTAGCGCCGCGGTCCATTTTGAGTTGCTAGTGGGCCGAGATGAGAAATCTTTAGCATATTTCTCTGGCGGCTCATGGAGCAGTGGGAACGGTCCTCCAGGGAAACTGCAAGATCACTGGCTACCGCATACCAAGGGCAGCCAGGCGCTTGCTTCAAACGGTGTATACTCAAAATCCATCGCTGTCAATGTTGATGACACAAACAGTCTATGGAACAGTCCAGCATTCCCATCGGTCAAGGATGCTTCGAAAATGACTGATCCGATGGATGTGGACTCGCAGCCTTCGGCTGACAAACAGAAGTTGAATGACAATACTGAAGCTCCAACAAAAGAAGCTAAAAAGAAGAAGGTTCACCTTGTCTTGCTGACACACGGATTGCACAGTAATCTTGGAGCAGACATGCTTTACCTGAAGGAAAGCATCGATTCTGCAATGAGAAAGTCCGACACAATGAGAAAATCCAAAAAGGAAGCCAGCAAAGCCAACGCTCCTCACGTTGTCCCCGTTCGACCGGATAGTCCAAACTTTCCCACAAGGTATGAATTATCTCCTCCAACTGTCGAAACCTGATATCGGGTTTGCTAAGGTTTTCCGCAGTAGTTCCAGTGATGCCGGAGAGCAAAATGATCAAGCCGGTGATGTCTCTGAATCTGATGAGAGCGAGCAAGTCATTGTCAGAGGATTCTCTGGCAATGCTGTTCGAACTGAACGTGGAATTCAATACCTTGGCAAGCGGCTGGCTAAATATGTCCTTCTTCTCACATATCCTGATCAGCCTTATTTCCCTCTCAAAGGCTCGGCACCCAAGCCATTTTCTCGACCCTTCATTAGTCGCAAAGACCGAGCTCAACGATCATCGACGTCTGGTTCGGCTGGATCAACTCAAGAGAATGCCCAACTAGATCAAAGTGATGACCATGCTTACCAAATTACGAGCATTAGTTTTGTTGGACACTCTCTTGGGGGGCTGATTCAAACATATGCAATTGCCTATATCCAAAAGCACTCCCCTCAGTTCTTCGAGCAGATCAAACCTGTCAACTTCATCGCCCTTGCAACCCCATTCCTTGGTCTCAGCAATGAAAATCCGATCTATGTTCGATTTGCTCTAGATTTGGGTCTAGTGGGTCGTACTGGACAGGATCTTGGGTTGAGTTGGACAGCACCGAAAGTTCGAAGTGGCTGGGGAGCCATGATTGCAGGAAAAGGGGACGCTGCAAAGGACCAAAATAATTCAGATCCTGGTTCTAAGCCTCTTCTGCGCATCTTACCCTGCGGTCCTGCCCACGAAGTTCTTAGCAAATTCCAACATCGCACCGTGTATTCAAATGTCGTGAACGATGGGATAGTTCCTTTACGGACATCGTGTCTGCTGTTTCTGGACTGGAGGGGTCTGGATCGGGTTGAGAAGGCGAGGAGAGACAATGGTCTTGTTGGGACTATGGCTGAATGGGGGTGGGCAGAGTTGACTGGGGCCAACTCGAAGTCGCCGCGATTTGTTCGCTCGGATGAAGAATCACCATTGAGCCTCTCGACTACGGAGGCAGATCCTCTTAGTGCACATTCTGCGACTCAGGTTGCACAAAGCCCCAACTGTGATGAAGAAGTGAACACAACCCCACTCTCCCCAAAGCCGGGGCAATTTCTAGTGCAACCTAATCCGTCTCACAAGAGCATCACAGCAAGTGCCTCGGAAAATACGCCACTTGGTCCCCTAGATAGCTTCTTCTCACTGTTTCGTCCCAAAGAAGGCAAAAGTCATAGCGGCAAGAATTCCAGAATCTACAATCGAAGCCAAACTCTGAGCTCTTTCGGAACCGGTGCTAGTGATCATCCACCGCCTATTCCTCACGGACATGCTCGTGAACATGAGGGAATGCACACGCCACCTAAAACGACGTTTTTTGAGTCTGCGGGAGACTTGCTGATGCCACCCCTGCCCCCTGCAGATTTCATTTTGGACCCCGCCTCGCGACCCAGGACGATTTTCCATGATCGCGTCTATCATCCAGACGATATACCACCACCTTTGCCGGTCAAGCGACGCACATTGGCCTTTGGCTCGTCACAGGGCAAACAATCCAAGTCAACACCCAGTTCTAGCATTCAACATTCCCCGGGTACTAGCACCAATCCGAAAAACAGCGAGAGCGGCCTCAAAGTTGAAGAGAAAATTGCGAGGGCCTATCACCGCGATCTGTCATGGCGGAAGGTCCTTGTTCGACTCGAACCCGATGCCCACAACAACATCATCGTGCGACGTATGTTCACCAATGCGTATGGTTGGCCTGTGGTCAAACACTTGGTTGACACACATTTTGGCCATACGCCCATGGTGGACATTGAGGATTCACTGAAGCAAAATGTGGACAGGGCCAAGTCCCCGAATGTTGGACCCACTAGCTCCGGTGACGAGGTTGAAGGACAGTCCGATTCTGCCCAGCCTCAGATCACCAGGAGAGATACAGATATATTACCAAGTGTATCTGGTCTTTATCTGTCGGAAGATTTGGCTGATTATGACCGAAGCGACATGTTCGCGGCCGAGCACGAATCTCACAGGACCCTGAGTGCCAGCGAAAGAGGAACACATTCGGAGGTATCCAGGCAAGATTCGGCACGCTGGACAGATCGTGAAATTGATGAAGATAATGACTGCGAGTCCGGCCTGGAGGAGAATCACTCGGGCTTCCGGTGGTCTCGTTAGGCATAACGATACATATGTATACATTCTCTTTTGTTTATCATTGTTGTTGTACATACTACCCGATAGATACGTATATACCCTGTGAATTCATTGAATTGAAATTTTGGTTTAGATTGTTTCAAATCACAACATCGGAGGCAGGTGAAAAGATGAGGAATTTGCTCAATACTCCAGTGGACCTTGAATATAGCTCCAGAACTCCTCGACAAGTTCCTTTTGTCCCACTCGGTTGGGGGAACCTCGGACTGCAAGGTACTTTCTTCCGTCCAGACGAGGCTCCCACCCTGCCGGGCTACCATCCACCATGATACCACCAGCTTCGGCAAGAATGACCCATCCTGCACAGACATCCCAGGCCCAGCATCCACCTTCCCAGTACAAATCCAGCGTGCCATCTGCCACAGCACACAGATTCAAGGCCGCAGAGCCCAAACTCCGGAAAGACCGTACCATTGCCCCGCCATTCTCCTTGGACTGACCTAATTTCTCGAATGTCCGAACCTTGGTCTCCCAGTTGATACCACTGCGGTCTGAACCCCATTCAATGGCAATCAGGGCATTGGTCAGCCCGGCTAGGGGCTCCATATTGGAGCCCTTTAGCGGCAGACGAGTTTCACGGTTGAGGTAAGCCCCTTGACCTTTGATAGCGGAATAAAGGGTTTTGGTAGATGGGTTATATACCACACCCACGGTTGGGATTTTACCAATGGCGAAACCGAGTGAAACACAAGCAAATGGGAAGCCATGTACAAAGTTGACCGTTCCATCAATTGGGTCCACAACAAAGGTGGGAGCATCAGTCAATGGGCGGTTTTGGTCATACGTCTCTTCGCCGTGGAAGCTGTGATACAATTCATCAGAATATCAAAGCCGAACGTCGGAGTTTTCATACGTACTCGTAATTTGGGTACTTCTCCTTGAGTGAGGTCGATATCATATCCTCAACCGCACGATCATATTCCGTGACGAGATCGGCACCTGACAAGATCAACATTTTGAGCTTGTTCCTCTTCTTCAATTTTGTGGACACATACTGTTCTTTTTGGACCCAGTGTCATTGGTTTCTGGAAGTGCATTGTTAATGATGTCCCCAGCCTTGAAGGCCAATGACACCAAGAAGTCATGGATCTCATTCAAATTTGGGTCCTTTGGATGGTCCATGATGAATTAAGGTAGAGAAGAGGAGATCTTCAGTATAATAAGTATAATATAACCAAAAAGGCTTATAGATGACAAAGATCACAGATAGCTACATACGTAGGCATGTAGGTACGATACGGAGTTCGAGTTCCTCAAGGACCCCCCGGAGTTAACACTAAAGGCGGGGGGAATTGAATGCATTTCTTTTCTTCTCTCAAATTTTTGTTTTTTTTTTTTCACTTGGAATGATATTGCTTTTACGTTGAACTAAGTGATTTAAAATTGCAATTGACTATAGAAATAACATCATATATTCATCTAATATATAACAGATGATTAGGTATACCTAGTACCTAGTAGATGTGTGCTTAATAAAAAAGAATCTCCCCGTTTCCAATGACGTCGAAAAGTTCCCCCCACTTGAGAAAAAAAAAATCTTTAGTAAGAAGAGACAGTGAGAGAAAGAAGAGTCACTCAGAAAATACCAACTTCTTACTTCTTCAAAAACAAACAAAATGCCGACTCAACTTGAAGAGGTGTGTATATTCACGCTTGCATGTGAAGCCAAACGCTGAGAATAATTTCAATAGTTGGTGGAATTCCTCCACCATGGCAATACCCAAATCAGAGGGATCGGTACATCCCCCCCAAAGATAGCATCTGGTACACATCTGACTAGATTATAGCCTGTGAACATCTTGTCGGCTTTTCCACGGCTCAGCCAGACCTCTTCAAGCGCCATCAATTACTCCCCATCCGCGATTTGAAGCTTTTGGTCCGCGATTACACTGTATGTTATAATTGGTGACTAGAAGGAACATTGCGCTGATGATTGGCTATGGAATATTGCGAAAAATGCATTAACCATGTTGATCAACCTATCTGGCGACGAAGAAGTGCTGAAACTCCTCGCTCAAGATGAGTTCATCGAGGATCTGCTTGCGAAATTGATTGTGAGTGATGATTTGATATGGGCGGTATGTAAGTCAAGGCTGAAGCTGATCAAACGTCTTTCCACACAGAACGAGGAGGAGCCCAACGCCGACGAGGTGGCTATGCTCCTGGCCAATCTGGCCAAATCCGAAAAATTACAGAGTCTCTTTACCATCAAGCGTAAAGCCCCGAAATCCGTGTCCACCTCGGAGAATGCCATCGACCAGATTATGGATTGCTTCGTCAAGGGTGCCGATGGTTCTCTCAACAAACACGCCAACTATGATTACTTGTCGTATCTGTTCGCGGATTTGTCGCAAACAGAGCAGGGCCGGGCTTATTTCACTCAACGCCAGGACTACGATGACGTGGTCCCTATCACCAAGCTGACGGTGTTCACCGAACATCGCAGTGATGTTCGGAGGAAGGGTGTCGCATCCACACTCAAGAATGTGGCCTTTGAGGTTCCTGCGCATCCAATGTTGTTTGCCGAGGATGGAGCCAACCTGTTGCCTTACCTATTGCTCCCACTCGCGGGTCCAGAGGAATTGTCCGATGAGGACACCGCCGATATGCTACCAGATCTTCAGCTGCTGCCCCCGGACAAGCAGCGGGATAGTGACAACACCATCATCACAACGCACCTTGAAACCTTGTGTCTTCTGACCACCACTCGGGAGGGTCGGGATCTTATGCGAAGAGTCAAGGTCTATCCTTTGATTCGCGAAACCCATTTACATACCGAGGATGAAAATGTGCAAGAGGCATGTGATCGGTTGGTCCAGGTTTTGATGCGAGACGAAGAGGGTGAAGGGGAACCAGAACCAGAGGAGAAGCAGACTGAGCCTCCAGTCCCAGTGAACGAGGATGACAAGGTTGTAGAACTGTTTTAATACCCTTTTTTTCAAGATACACTCCATACATATGTATATAACAAAAGATGAGGGTTAAGAAGAAAGATGAAAGAAGACGAGGTGTCCTTGTATACATACATATACATATGTGTAACTATAGTGAGTACTAACCAGTAATTAACTATATAACAACTAGTACCTAGTATTATGTATAGTAACCTACAATATTGGACGTAAAATACATAGACATATGTAACGTACGTAATTCAAGTACGCGGCTCCACTATGAACACTCTAGTCCTCGTTAGCTTTATATTTTCTCTCTTCTGATTCCTCAGATCGACAAGAATTGTGAGCTACTGTACGCCCTAAACCTGAAATACTTCCTGTATTTCACCATACCCCCCACCATCACGACTACCAATATTCCACTGCGAACGCGGAAGCTGTCTTGCCCCTCGGTCCCGAGGCGCAAGTGGCTTCCCGCTGAATCGAATACTGATTCCTATTCTGATGACTGTGCGAGCGACAATGGAAATTGTGACCCAGACCTCGATCACCCGGACATGAACGAAGGGACTGTTGTCCAGCGTTTCCGGGCCTTCATGTCGCGCGCCCCTCTTCTCCGGTCGTCGCCCGCCCTTGGTGCTTCCACATATGGAGCGTTAGGAAACCCAGATGAAGACTCTGATGAAGACCCAGATGATATACTGGGAGATGCTCTACGGAGCCAGAATCCTCGCGAAGCTAGATTACAACGCGCGAGCTTTGAAAATGGCGCCGCAGGCTCTTCGAGCAATGGCCCAAGATCCCGCCTGAGACGGTCGCTTTCTTTTGGCAGGCGGCGGAACAGCATATACGCAGAGAGACACAAACGTCGCCCGTCGTCCGCTACGTCCGATGTAGGAATGGGAGCCGACTCAAAATGTTCTTTTGCCACTGGACTAGCGGTACCAGGCAACCCAGTCATGCAGGAGACACCGGTGTCTTCGCCATACATGACAAGTGACGACGAGGATATCCTCGACATTGATGATGACAATCCAAAAGATTTCGATGAGGATCCTCCAGACAATTCGCCATATGCTCAAGTTCGAGCTTCCGTCCCGGCGACAGATGACGTAACTCTTTCTATCAACAGTAAGCTTTCCTCGGACCTTTTGGCGTCTGGGCCATCTTTAATGCCCTTTTTTTTAGCTCCTCGTATGTGGATTCTGTCATTGCTCTTCTCTTTGACGGGCTCTGCCGCAAACCTGTTCTTCTCTCTGCGATATCCCAGCGTTGCCATTACCCCGATCATCGCTCTTGTTCTGGTTCATCCGCTGGGCAAGTTTTGGGATGTGATCTTCAAACATACAGATGACCCTCTCGAAGTCTTTGAGAATGGAACTCTTCATCATCGAGAAGTATTATCCGGTGAGATTGATGTGCCTCCAATTCCATTGGTGTCTCGAGTGCGATTGTGGTTTGGTCAAGGCCGTTGGAACGAAAAGGAACATGCTTGTGTCTACATTAGCAGCAATGTTTCATTTGGCTTTGCCTTTGCAACTGATGTAAGTGCTAGTAACTAGTACCCCAGCATACGTGGCTATTCTGACATCTTTGAACATTAGGTCATTGTTGAGCAACAGAAATTCTATAAGCAAGATGTTCCAATCATCTACCAACTTCTGCTCATTATCTCCACACAGGTTCTGGGTTATGCATTTGCAGGTCTGACTCGAAGATTCCTTGTGCGGCCATCGGCCATGATCTGGCCGGGAACCCTGATGTCGACCGCAATGTTCTCGACAATGCACAAGAGCGTCAACAAAAAGGCAAATGGGTGGAGTGTTTCCCGTTATAAATTCTTTGTCATTGTATGGGGAGGCGCTTTCCTCTGGTACTTTGTTCCAGGATTATTGATGCCTGCCCTGAGCTATTTCAACGTGGTCACTTGGTTGGCACCCAACAATGTTGTGATTTCGAACCTGGTGAGACTTTTGCTGTGTCGTCGATTGCCGTGAAATCTGAGCTGACCATTCCCAGTTCGGTGTTGCCTCGGGCCTTGGAATGTTCCCTTTGACATTTGATTGGGCTCAAATCGCCTACATTGGTTCTCCATTGCTTACGCCTTGGTGGGCCGCAGCCAACATTGTGACGGGACTGGTGATTGTGATCTGGGCTGCAGCCCCTATACTTTGTAAGTATTCAGCACCTTTCTCTCTCTTGTTTATGCTGATACATAATATCAGACTACAAAAATGTTCTTTTCTCCGCCTATATGCCTATTCTTTCCACGGCAGTGTTTGACAACACTGGGCGACCATACAACGTCAGCCGAATCTTGACCAAAGAGTATTTTTTCGATCAAAAGGCCTATGAGGATTACTCTCCGGTTTATCTACCAATCACCTATGTTTTGTCTTATGGGGTTCAGTTTGCTGCTCTAACATCACTTGTTAGCCACACAATTTGCTGGTATGGAAAGGATATCTGGCACCAGACCAGAAAGGCATTTGAGGAAAGACGTGATGTACCAGCCATGGAGACATATCAACCCCTTCGGGGAGAGACCGTTACAAGTCGACAAAATTATGACTTCTCGAGAGATAACTCGCATGATCCTAGCCAGAATATATCGCTGGGAGGAGAAGACGTCCATTGCCGTTTGATGAGACGCTATAAGGATGCCCCTCTCACATGGTATCTTCTTGTGCTCGTGTCAATGTTGGCTATTGCCACTTTCACCGTTGAGTAGTATGTTTCCTTTTGTTTCATCGCCTTTTATCCAAGCTGACTGACTTTACTTCAAAGTTATCCAACACACTTACCATGGTATGGCCTTATATTGGCTCTTCTCATCACTAGCGTGTTTTTTATTCCAGTGGGCATCATTATGGCTGTCACCAACCAACATAGCAGCCTATATCTGATTTGCCAACTTCTCTGTGGAATTGTATTCCCAGGTAGGCCTGTGGCGAATATGATTTTTGTGACCTACTCATATATCAGCTCGGCGCAAGGTATCAAATTTTCATCCGATCTCAAACTCGGTCATTATATGAAGATTCCGCCGCGAATTCTTTTCGGTGTGCAGATGATGGCAACCTTGGCTTCTAGCTTAACTCAAATCGGAGTCTTGAACTGGATGTTTAGTTATATCCCGGGTCTGTGCACCCCCGAGGCTATCAACGGGTTCAATTGTCCCATCGCTCGAGTTCATTTCAACGGCAGCATTCTCTGGGGTGTTGTCGGACCACAGCGCTTCTTTGGTCCCGATGGACTGTATCGACCACTTGTGTGGGCATTTCTGGTGGGGGCTGTGGCGCCATTGGGAGCATGGCTCCTTGGGCGACACAGCAAGAAGAGCTTCTGGCGTCTAGTCAACTTTCCCATTTTGTTCGGTAGTCTGAGTTGGATTCCCCCGGCTACCGGGCTCAACTTCTCCATTTGGGCTCTTGTCTGTTTCATCTTCAATTATGTGATTCGAAGGAGAAGAACCGCTTGGTGGGAAAAATACGCCATGACACTGTCAGCCGCACTGGATTCTGGACTGGCGTTTGCAGTGGTGGTGGTGTTCTTCGCTTTCATCTATCCAGGTTGGGTAGATGGGTTCAAGTGGTGGGGGACGGAGATTTACAAACAGGTAAGAATATTCCTTCGTCATCTCTCGTGTGCTGCTAACCTCGATTATATAGGGATGTGATTGGGTTGCTTGTCCATATAAACCCCTCGAACCAGGTCAACGATTCGGCCAGTAGAACATATCGTATCTCAATGAAAGAAATATTCATGCCTTGTGGCAATAGATACTATGTTGATTCTTTCGACGATTTGGTTCAAGAGTACGAGTACGAGAAACAATACTGTTCATAATAAATATCATTATACATATATATATACTTACATAATCCTTGTTGGAGGTGGAAAAAGAATTCGTAGATCCTAAAGAAACTTCATCCCACAATGGGCATTCCATACTTGACAAAGCATTTGCTTCCATATGCCGAAAATGTGTATCTCCATGACAGTGGGCTTGCCGTGGTCATTGACGGGCCCAGTCTAGTATATCACGTTCATCGTCGACTTTTAGGCTGGATGGACCCAAACTGTGATATTCTGGACTACCAACCCTCGTGTGATGAAATCAGTCGCGGAGTAAGTAGCTATCTTCTTCAGCTAACCAGACTGGGTATTGAAATGTAACCTATGATTTGTTTTCCCAACATGTTGTCTGCATGCTGATATCTTGACTAGACACAAAATATGCTTTGATGGGGCTTTACCTGTCTCCAAGCGAACAACACGCTTGTCCCGGATAGAAAGATCCCGGCGCCGACTTGTTCTAGCTCATCGAGACCTATCCCTTCCCGCTACACCGAAATATCGCGATACCATACCAACCGAGCCTGGACAGGTCTGGTGCAGCCGAGGCTTGCCTCATGGACGAAGAAGTCTTCCTGAGAATCCCTTCATGGTCTCTGCTGTGTACGAAGATTTGCGGCACAGATGGAATAAAGAAGCGATTCAAAAAGAGGTTGACAACGATATCAGCTGCTTTTCCAAGGATATCGATTATCCCTGGGCGGATATCACAGTCATGGTACAAGGAGAGGCAGATGTTGAATGTGCTCGTGTGTCAAAACTGACTGGCTGCGCGGTCTTGACAGATGATTCGGATCTTCTGCTTCATGACCTTGGCCCATCTGGCGCGGTGCTGTTTTTGGGCTCGGTTCAATCACCCTCGCGTGTCTGGGATCCCATCAAGCCAGATATTCAGGGACTGAGAATATGTCCCGATTCCCTCGCGCGCCGATTGGGTATCACAAGCATTCAGCGATTTGGCTACGAATTGACCAAAGACCCTCACCTGCGGTTTGCTGAAATCATCCGTAGGTCCAAGGCCAACGAGGCCACTGAGCTCTCGTCTGATTATCATGACTTTCTCCGGGAATATCAAACCACAGACCAAGACCTAGCATTGAGAGCAAAGAAGCTATCAGAACCAATGGATCCAAGAATATCCGAGTTGTTCTGGCAGTATGAAATCCCTGGTATTTACTGTGTGGGAGATCAACCGCACGTCTACCTTGGGGTTTTAAATGAAGACCCCACTAGACAGTGTGCCTGGAAACAAGGCCGAGCATACAGGTGTCTCGGTTACTCAGTTCTCAACCTCTCCCGTCCTGTTGACGATCAATATACGATTGTGCAAGAATTTGTTCGCAGAGGTGGAAGAATCGTGGCCGATCAGATAGCACTTAGCGGAACAGAGACCACAATTTCTGAAATGGAACTTCTACGCCAGCGTCTCGATTTAGCGCGGAGTACCTTTGATTCAACCGCTGAAAGCTTTTGGTTCATGTTCGCTCTTTCCGAAATCTATCGCGAGGCGTCCAACCCAACCACAATTCCAAGTGGTGTGCAATTGGAAAGCTTCCTTGCCAGTGGGTATATGGAACAGAGCACCAAATGGACAGACATTCATCTTCTTGCTCAGGTGCAGGCTGTTTTGTACTCTCTACGAATGTTGCAACAGCTCCTCCATAGCGCCACTCCTACAGATTTGGGTGAATATGAGTCACTTCTTTTAGGATTACCTCCACTACACATAATGATGTCGCGACAAAAATTGATCCAAAGTTTCACCACTACTCGGGTGTTGCGACACATGATTTCTCAGTTATTGAAAACATATGGCTAGCCATTTATGTGACAAATATGAGGTTCTTGCTGCCGAAAAAAAAGAAGGGAACCCACTGCTCTGCCTCCTACCGAGCAGTAGGACGACGTACTTTGAGCGAACTTCGGCGTAAATGATGAGGGCTTATGTATGCATCAGAAAAAAATTGTAGAAAGTGTCAGTCCCGAAGAAAAGCAAGGTTTTCTCATGGCCTTGATCATTGTGGCTTTCCAGGACTTCATTCCATGGAACAATTCAGGGTATAAACCTCACATCTGGACAAACCAGCGTCCCCATTTAATACTCGATGTAGGTCTTGCGTTCCAATTTCGAGGGTCAGTTGGCATCATTTGCGTCGTTTTTCTGAAGCTGATCGATTGGTTTGTATGTCTGCATGGGTAAATGGATGCTTGTGATGTCTCACACCTTCTGGGAAAGAGCTGAAGAAGAAAACGAATAAACTTGTATGTCGATTTTTGAGTCCTATAGATCAGACATATAAATGGCGGGTATTGTATCAGGCTCGCAACAAAAGGATCGAATGCTCATTTCTCTGGGGCATCGGGAAGTCGCTCAATGACGTATTTTCCACGAGCAACACTCATTATTGGTGCACCTGGAATCTTACTGATGTGTGCATTAGAAATGGAAGATCATTAGTGGGATTGGAATGAGCAACATACCGAATTCGTCTTTTGAGATCACGATCGTTTGTAGCCACAATGTAGACACGATGTTTGATGAGACGATCCACCAGACAATCATCGGCATATGTTCCCTTGTGGTCACATTTGACTCTCTCAAACCGGGGGTCCTTGGCTACACGCAGAGCAAGCCGGTATTTTGGCCCAAGCTTCTCGAGTTCTGCCAGTACGCAATCGGTCACGATAGGTATGCATTTCGCATAGAGACAATCCATCATTGTGGGAATCACCTCCAATTTGTGCTGAATCGTGTGGGAAATAAAATTGGTGTCCACCAATACTGAGTAGGGTGGCGCAAGGGCAGTATTGTATTGAAAGAACATAGACGAAGGAGCCTGTGGACTAGAAGGTACTGTAAGTATAAGTATTGTGTGATTCATTCAAGTCACTTACGCCTCTCTGACAAGGTCATCTTTTGTGGTTTTGGCTTTCTGCGCCTCTGCCTTGTCTTGGTTTTGCTTCCTATGGTCTAGGTTAGTAGGTCCTATGTAGATAAGGATTATGCAATGGCATACAGGCGATTATCACGCATAGAAATGGCTCTCTTAGCCAGCGCAAACTTGCGTGTCTTTTTCTGAACACCCATGGTGACTAGAAATGGATTTGATGAGAAGTGGTGAGAGTGGTTTTTTTTTTTCCTCCTCACTTTGGCTCTGTTATCGCAAAGGTTTATCTCCGCTCCCGGGTTGATGACTAACCACACATGCCGAAGCCCTACTGTTAGTATGTACATACAACGTAGTTAACTAGTTATAATTATGTATTCGCGTAGACAGACCCGTAGGTATGTATTGTATCTCTCGTCTCTTTCCTTCCTCCTTCTCACCTCTCTATCTTACATTCATCGCTACCCCCTTTCTTCCATTTCTGCCAAAATTAAGCGCAAATCTCTGCATAGAATATAACCCACAGCCAGATTAGCTCAGGGTACTAGAGAATCATCAATTGGGCTTTCCCTCTAGACTCTTCGGGGCTGGTACTGTATTCCTTTCAATCAAGTAAGGCCTTTACGTTCGAAATTATAGTTGGAGATGGGGTTGCAGAAGCAAGATAATCATTGTGAGCATCAGGTGAAGTCGGAAGTCCCCCCTACTTGAATTTAGAAATAGTGTGAGCCGTGCTCTGGTTCGGGTTCGCGAATTTTCGTAACCATACAGCATTGATTGATCTTGCTTCCGTCAGTTTTACAGCTACTCCTCTTTTAGTGTTTGCCATTCGCTTACATGAGAGTCAAAGTTGGTGCATTTGTGGGCAGTCTTGGGATTTATCTTGACAAATCCCCTCGGCATCAAGATGTCATGCAAAATGTCCGATCGAACTCAAAATGAGCCTGACAATGATCAGAAGGTCTACCTCCCTCTGTTAGACGGTATAATCATGAAGGAAAAGATCACTTTTCTCGAATACTTGCACTTACTTGAGGGAACTAACATCAGTTTCAGATCTCTATTTCAATGACAGTCTGACCTGAATTCTAGACTACTTTTGATAAAAATTTAGAATAGTATGAGATCAATTTAGTAGGTTAGAGTGGTTCTTTGTGTGATTTCCATTCCTGTGTTCTTCATTTACTAAATCTGGTATTTTGACCCAACTCTTTGAATACTTAATTCTAAAAGGATAATTAAGAGGGTTAGGATATATGATGGGTATCTGAAAGACCTGGAGATGCGAAGGGGTTGCTAAAGGGAAGAGGGAGAGAGAGGTCGAGGCTCAGCTACCTGTAGACCCTCAATCCCATGTCACCATAAAGTCTATATATTGGCAGACCTAATCCAAATGAAAGGAGCACAGCTTAGTGTGTAATGAGAGTGACCTTCGATACATGCCGTGGTTCATTCATGGAATGTAACTTCATCTGAAAGGCTTATTCTCTCGGGACCCAGGAGCCGTGATCAGTAGTTGGAAACGTGGAAAAGATATATCAGATGTTAAGCTCCTGGGAGCAAGTAAAGCGTCATGTCCCATTTGCCTGCTAGTCGGCTGCTGCAAGATATCCTGCCCATTTTCGGATAAGGAGATGGGTATCTGTTTTTAGTATTCATTTTACGACTAGACTATCGTTACCTGCAGCGCAGCTCGGTTGAGATGGGACCTTTGCGTTCTCACAGCCTATATGACTGACTAATGATTCGTGATCATATAAACTCAATTAGGCATCTAGATTATTGGCTCTATATGCACTAGTTATAATAAAACCTACTATGTAGCATGCGAAGGCAATATAGATAAAACATTCCTAGGAGCGTGCAGTCTTTAGCCAGACCCTGCTAAACTACTGAGGTGGGAGTCTATATGCATTTGCTCTTAGAAGGTAGTTGTAGTTGTATCACAAAAAAAGGATATATTAATTTCTCTGATGGGACATTTGAGACATTCTAAAAATAATAGGGGATTTTGCCAGGCGTAGGGTGTTGCACATCATTGAGGAATATTAATTAGTAAGACCGTCGGTACAGGGTAGGGAACCAGACAGAACCCGGAAAGGACCTTCACTGGTCCTATTCCTTCCCCGCTTTTCCCGCCTTTGTTAGGGATTTACACGGTGAAAGAGAACCGGTACCCTTAGGTGTGGTGCATTTTCATAGAGATGATCAGCGATGACAAGAAAGCGGTCAGGAAAGCGGTCAGACCTTATGAAAGGCGGTAATCTCAGTGACTGGATTGCCAGGCAAGGGGGTGTGGTCTGATCCAAAGGGTTGTTTCTATATCAATCCGCTAAAAATAATATTTGCGGAGATAAAGCTAGATATGTAATTTAGGGTTTTAACCAAAGATTAGCAATTGATTTTCTGGAAACTTTCTTTACTACGTATAGAGCGAAAACATAGCAGATGCGATGAATTATGATAGTTAATAGAGAGCGGACAACCTTGTAATATGATTTTAAAAATGCATTTGTACACGCCGGAATAGATGCAGAAACATATATAATATTAATTATGAGAATATATAATATATAATGATTTTTATATATGCTTTTATTCCAAGAAAGCGATACATGGTCTAAAACAAAGCCCTAGATTATAGAATAGATTTCTATCTAAAGCCCTGTGTAAATTCGGGCTTAGGGTATCACTATACGACGAAGGCAGGTATCTAAACTTAAAATGGCAGTGCGTTTTAATATGTTATGCTAATAATGCTTTAGCCATCTATGTAGATATCAACTATATGAAGGATTTAATAGAAAGATTATGGGCTAAGATGATATCAAAGAAACAGGCCTAGTCTCTACCTTTCTGGGAAATAAGATTGTCTTTAAAGATAAATATCTATATCAATCGATCAAAATAAACATCAGAACTTTTAAACCCATTTAATATTTATAATGACGATAAATTCAAACCTACCAAAATTACAGGAGAACATTAAATTAAAAATGCAGAAAAATCAAGCTTTTTGTATTGATATATACATATTTATGATAAATTATTTATAAGATTAATTTTTAAAATGACAAGCAAATAATGAGATAAAATAACCAAATAAACAAATGTCCATATTATTGACAATCATATTACTCTAAATAATAAAAATATGAAACAATGGGACTTCTAAAATAGAATGTTAGATAGAAATGTAAATCTTAGTATTAAGTATTATATTTTTATAAGACTAAGAGATCTAGGTACGGTTATTTGAGTTATTATTTTTAAAAATTTAGTAGATTCTAATTATCACGAAGAATTCACGATCATAGATCCGGAACCGGTTCTGCCGTGTCCTACTGCCCTCCGTAGAACGTGATTTAAACCATTTGATTAGATATCTTAGGCATCACTACCTTAATTATTTTAGCGCGTTACTTCTTCCTTCTCTTTCTTTCTTTCTTTCCCTACATTTAGTATTTTAGTTAAATAAACTCTTTTCTATTAAGACTTAGCTTAAAAAACAATACTAAATATCACTAAAATACCCTACTAAGTAATATGACTATATAAGCTATTATCATAATTAGTTTTAGTCTTACTTATCCTTACTTTCTATTCTTTAGTATTATAGAGCTAAGACCTCCGAACCGAACCGAAAGATCAATAAACCTTATCAATTAAAAGTAAGAATAGCTAATTTAAAGAAGACTCCTTATATAACTTATAATTAGTAAATAAGACTTATTAGTATTAATAATAAAGAAAGAAATAACTATATATAGTCTAAGTTTACTTATCCTCCTTTCCTTTAACTAATTATTAATATAAGAACGAAGCTAAAGTATTAATATTTATTTATATCAAAATTTATTAATAGTATATAATACCTTTAGTTAATAAAATATACAATAGCGCTTTAAAATATAAATTAAAAAATATAGAAAGCTTAAAACAGATTTAATAAGATAGAAGCTGAAGAGAGTATTATTAGTAAAGAGTTTAAGGAAAGTATTATACTCTAAGAGTAAGTTATTAAAAAACGTAAAAGAGCGATTACTTAGTTAGTTAATAATCACAAAAAATAAAAAAAGATAATAATACATATTAAAAATAAGATAATATATAAGTTATTATAATTAAGAAACTATTAATATAGTATACTGATTATAAAGATTATAACTATAACTTCTTATATTTAGAAAACGACTAAGATATCTGATACTCTTATACTAAATAATAATAAAAAAGTTCGCTTTAAAACCTAATAAATGATGATCTAATAAAAGCTATTTATCAATATAGATTATTATCCTAATCTAATCTATTATATGATTTATATCTAAAGCTATTATAAAGGAAAGATATAGTTATATACTTAAAAATAATATTTATTGACCTAAATAAGAAGGTAGAAGTATATACTTAATTTTATAAATTAGAAATAAAACTAATAAAGAACTTTACTAATTTTTTAATAAAGTATATATTTTAATCGAAGGTTATGAATAAAATCTTTATCTTGTATTTCTATATTTATTATAAACCTTACTAATACTTTAAAAGAATTAGAATATAATATCTTTTAATAAATTTATCTACACCTATATTAGCTTATTTTATAATTATAAGTTTAACCTTTATAACTTAAATTAAGAAAAATAACCTAAGATTTATTTATTATTATTTGCTAAAAGATAAATATTAATAAAAAAAAGATATTACTTTAATTATTAAAAGTAAGATTATATAACTTACAATAATTTAGTATCTAATATAAAGCTTATAATTAATAAATATTCCTTTTTATTTTAATATTATATAATATCAAAGTGAATAATTTAATTTTTATTCATATAGCTTTAATAGCTTTATTATATTAATAATAAGATTTATAAGTCTAGAGGTTAGAAAGTAATACTTAATAAATAGATTTAATAATAAGCTTACTAAACTTATTATTTATAAAGTTATCCTTTTAATATATATTAAAAGATATATCTATTAATAAATACCAATCTTAATAATAAATATTAAGAAATATAATCTAAAATTTCGATAAATATAACTTACATAATATAATATTTTACTTAATCATTATTATTATTAAATAATTTAGTTATATAAATTAACTTTATTTAAAGAAGTATATAATTAAGTTTCCGTTCTTGATTTAATTACTATAGTGAAAAAGCTTATTTTAATAAGATAAGTTATTTAAATAAAATAAGTTATTTAAATAAAATAAGTTATTTAAATAAAATAAGTTATTTAAATAAAATAAGTTATTTAAATAAAATAAGTTATTTAAATAAAATAAGTTATTTAAATAAAATACTAATTTTTATATCAATCCTTTATAAAGAAAGTATGAAGATAGTTAATAATACAGTATAAAATTTAAAAAAATAAACTTAATTTATAATAACTTATCATTATTATAATTATTTAAGATCAACTATTTAATAGATATTAATATTATTAGTCTTATAATTATTTAAAGATTATAAGTAAGACTACTTTATAATAAACGTATTAAAATATTTTTATATCGCTTGTTAAAATTAATTATATCCTTATATTGAATTCTTATTATTGATATTGAATCTAAAGATAAATAATATCTAAATAATATCATTAATAAAATATTAAGACTTAATGAAAGTTTTCTTAAAAAGGAAATTAAATAAAGTACCTTTATATTTAAAAAGGTATTAATTATAATATTATACTTAAAGTAAAAGTATGGTTGAGATATTATTTAGTATATAAACTTCTACTTAACGAATTATAATAAATCAAGAAATATACTATAAGAAACCTTAATAAAGGGTTTATTATAGTAATTTCATATTATTTATATTATTAGTCTTAATAATTAAGAAACTAAATAATAGATTATATTTTTAGATAGATTATTAGAAATTAAATTTACTTATAAAGAAAGATTATTACTTATTCTCATTAATTAATAAGATATTATAATAATTAAATAAAATAAAGTTCTTTATTAAATTAGATATTTAGTAAGGTTTTTATTAGATTCGCTTAATATTTGAAGCTCAAGATCTTATCATCTTTTAAACCTAATATAAATCCTTTAATATAAAACAATATCTTTTAGGTTAATTAACGGACTTATAATATTTTAAAAGTTTATAAATAATATCTTTATTTATAATACTATAATTTAAGAGTAGATTTATTATATCCGAGAAGTTCTAAAACGACTTTAAGAAGTAAGAAAGACTATAAGTAATATTGAAGAAGTATAAATTTTTTATCTAATAAACTTAGAGAAGATTAAAGTAATTTAAGAATAGAACGTCTTAACTATAGTAAAGGGTATTTAGTCATTTTTAAGATTTTATAACTTTTATAACTAATTTATTTAAAGGTATAATAAGCTTACTAAACCCTTTATTATTTAATTTAGTATAACATCCTTTTTTTATAGGCTAAGTGATATAAAATAACCTCTTAGTAATTAAAATATTAACTCTTTATAATATTAATATTATAATCTAACGCGACTTATCTAAGTAGAAACTAGTACTTAGATAAAGTAGTAAGAGTAATACTTATATAATATTATAAAGAAAATAACTTCTAATATCCGGTAGCCTTTTTTTCAAAAAAATATAAGTAATAAAGCTAAATTATAAAATTTAAGATAAAGAATTATCAATAATTATTTATATCTTACAAGAGTAAAGACCTAAATTCAAAAGATTATATAGACCCGAGGGTTTTAAAATTTTAATAGATTACTAATTATTAAAATACTTTATAACTTCTTAATAATAAAATTAATAATAATAGGTTTATAATTAAATATTAACTAAGTAAGAAAAATATAATAATAAATATATTTTCTTAAAAAGATATACCTTATTAAGATATTAGTTAATAGTTTATATTACTCTTAATAAGTTATTTTAAATCCTTATTAATATTGATTTAGATGATATTATTATAAATTATGGATTTAATCATAAAGTATATAAATATACTAATAAAACTAGCTTAGAACTCAAAGAATATTAAGAAATAATCTAAAATAGTGATATATATAAGAGACTATTTGTTTAAACTTCTACTGTATAATAGTAATTTAGAAATACCCGATTATAAAGACCTCCGAGCTTATGTATTAGATAAGCTATGTTAATAACTATTCATTATTTATCCTAATATTAAAAAGCTAGAGAAGTTAGTCTTAGTAAGATACTATTAGCTTAGCTAAGTTACTAATATAAAGAGATATATCGATAACTACTTAATATATAAATAAATAAAGGCCTAAAGAGATCGAACCCTTAGACTTTTTTACTCTTTAGAAATCTTAAAAAAGATTATAAGAGTATATTATAGTAGGATTCTAATTATTCTTAAAGGATTAATATAAATATAATAAAGTATTCTTTATTGTAAATTATTTATTGAGAAGACTATTGTTTATCTTGAAAATACTAATATAAAGAAGATAATACGTTCATTTATTAATAATATAATTTATATCTTTAGTATCCCGTCTTTAATTGTTTCGGGCTAAGGTAGTTAGTTTATTTTAGAGACTAAGTTTCATCGAATTCTTAGTATCCCAAGAAAGCTATGGATAGCTTATTACTTATATACTAATAAATGAAGTAAGATTATTCACTAATATATAATATAGAGACTATATATATCCTTATGTCAAATATAATTAAGATAATTAGTTAGAATATCTACTAATAACAGACTTTATAATATTTATCTTACTATGAAACATAATAAAGGAATTATATAAAGATAACACTTGTCCCAGACCCGTGAACCCTTATCCCATCTACAGTAAACTTGATTTAGTTCATCTTAATCGGTCCTGGGACCCGTGGCGCTCCTAGCACGCTTTTTCACGATCCCAGGGCTAGAATTTTGCTCTGAATCTAGGTGGGTCTTTGATTCAATATTTCTGATATATGCAGGTCAAATTACACGTCAATAATTAATAAGCAATTGTCCGAATTATGTACAACTATCTAAATGACACTAAAAGTGAAGCCAGCGGAAAAGATCTTTGTCCATCCAGACCTAAGATAAACGGAACTTAATGAATCACAAGATTTGAATAGTACAATATTGTGCGCTTGCAGTGGTAGCGAAGCCACTTTGGTTGGGTATGTACAAGTATTATCCTCACCGATGGCTGAAAAGTAAGGCCAATCACTCGGGGAGAGATTGTGTATCATGGCGAGTCTAAAAGACTGTGGCAACTGAAGCCATAATTTAGAGCTTGTCTAAATTATCTCATCTTACTCTCAACCATTTCAACCATGATGGTAGCCAGATAAGGGTTTCTTCAATGAAGCATACTTCATCACACTAGATCTGAATATTGTAGCGCTTTCGGCAGTTTTCATGGATAGAGTGTATGTGTCCGCCCGTTGAAACAAAATAGCACAAGGTTGTAGTGCACCTCTAGATCTGTGACTATATCTCTTCTTCATTGATCCTCTGGGGGTTCAAAATATACAATCATGTTGGTGATGTGTAATCTGCTAAGGCCAACAAGCATTTCGTTTATCTAATGCCTGATGATGCTTAGATTTGTGCCCTTGCTCGCCGGTACTGTCAGACACCGAGGCATTCAGTTGGGTGGGTGGCTATTCTTGGTCTTCTAAGAACATTTCCTGCCTGATATCTCAGGCCTGTAATCCGAGTGTGCCCTGTGTGCGACTCTTTTTCATCCAACCTTTAGTGCCTCTGTTGTTTGGTCCGACTATTTTCTTGCCCTTTGGGCTCGGCTCTCACTAAGCTCAATGTGACCAGCTTGATAACTAGGTGACCTGAATTCAGACATCATTCTTTGTTCTTGCCATTTGGAGTTTCAGTAAATATTCATGCCCAGGTGGGGAGAAGTTAACGATCACTAACAGTCAAAAAAAGAAAGTTGGGCTACCTGCTTGGCATCTCACCTGTTTTTGTTCCTTTCCCCCTCCATATAGCATAGAAGTTTTAAACTCACTCGCTCCACCTTGGAGCTCCCCACGTAGCTATCTTGCCTTCTCTGTGGCTTTTTTAGCATACAAGCACCGGCAGAAGCACGGCATTGAATAGAAATCAGACGGAAGCAAGTACTATATCAAGGGTTAAATGGCGACTTTTGAATCGATAATTCGGAAGAAATAACAATGATTCAACTCAGGCAATATTGAAGACTAGTTTGTGGAATACAATTGAATGACTACCACCACCGAATCAATGAGTCTTGAAACGGTCTTCCAAAACAAGTTATATAGCTTCTGCTCTTTCCAATACTCCCACCACCTGTGATTGCATAATCATCTATCATCCATGAATACCATGAGAACTTCCGCTAAACAGCTGGAGCCACGGCAAGGTCACGCAAAAGTTTTAGAGATGGGGTGAAGAAGTATTCACCGCCATTGGATTGAATGAACGGCGTGAAAGTGACCTGGTTGTGCTGGCCCTGACCATCCACGATGGCTAATTGCGAATTTTTGTGATGACCTTTGATGTCACTCTTGACTGACTGGCCAACAACGGCATCTTGTCCCGCAAGTCTACCGCCAGTGAACTCAGCCTTTTTTTCCGGGAAATCATCGACATCGATCCATTCTGAGAGATTAAAGGTCAGTGGTGTAATTGTTGATCTGGACGCGAGGCATGACTTACTTTTCCTGATGAATTGGAAGCCAAGTGTTAGACTGGTTTGATAGCATAGGAACATAAGACCACGGTCTCTCCAGGTCTTCTCCGTCTCGGTCCAATCAAGCTCTGGTCCATAAGGAATACCACGGCGCATGATATCGAACACATCGAAGTTTTGCATCCCAGATCGGGGTTTGGTCTTCCGCATGTGAGATGCAAATGGGCAGTTGGTATGGTCATTCTCAGGATAGTCAAAATCGTTCCATGTCGCCATGTCCGGGTCGTCCCTTACAGGGTTCAACTGAACGGGTGCTCCTAGACTTTTCTTTAGTACTTGATATGTGCATGAGGATTGCTACGGCTTGCAGCTTACCGCTTTTCCAGCGTCCCATAAGCCGAGCCCCAAACTGCTCTGGGGTGAAGTGCAGTCTTGTGGCCTCGTCTTTCAAGAAACTAAATTTAGGTCAGTCAGATGATGGCTTTGAATGTCAAAAGAGAGGCAATAACATACCGATTCCACTCAGGCACGAATTGCCTGATTTTGCGAAACACCAGAAAACTGCCGTCCTTGGCCCAAGTAGGCTGCGCTGACGGTACTCCCTGTCTCACCTCACCGTCGTATCCGAACAAAATAACCCTGTGATATGTAAGCATTCTCATCCAATGTTTCTTGAAGTGCTTTTCGATTTACCCGGGATTAGTCAAGTTTTTGCGAGCCCCACGTTCATTCGCGGCGTTGTCATCAAGGCCCCTGATTAGTGGTTGTGAGATGCCATCCAAATACCCAAAGCTGAAATGTGTTAGCTGAGAAATCCCCGGCACCGGCCTCTAGAAACGTACTGCTCATGTCCTCTCTGGTTTCCGGGTCTTTCATTGCCATCCAATGTCAAGATAGGACGAACGCCGTGGCTGCGGCAGAAATACTTCCGAGCTAGCTCTCGTGTTTTCTCCTTCACCTCGTATTCGGTACCACAAATCAGCACTACTCCATCGATGGAGCCATTCTTGAATTCAGGCATCCAGTCTCCGTCTTGGTCTCTACCTTCAGCCACCATGTCCTTGTACATGCCCTTGAGAAATGGGTCATCTTCGAACTTTTCCTTGCTCAACTAAAGAGTACAGAGCAATTAGATATAATCTGAAAGCTTCAAGGGCAAATATGTCAACTTACCTTGGTCATTCCCTTGGCGGTGAAAGACATATTGACACCGGTTATTCTGACATCGTTGGATCCTTTAGACCTCGGGATTTCATGAGGCTCCAGAAGATTACTGAAGAAGTTAAGAGGCACAGTGAGCGGCAGGGCAGCCAAACCGACTATGCCAGCTCCAATGGATTCCGCGAAATTAGATTCCGGTGCTTTGGATTCCGTTGCTTTGACCTTGTGGATATGAGCCCGGTCGCGCATGGCATCATGGGCAGAAGTGATAACTTCATCGGCCAGGGTTTTCAGTACAGCTTTGAAAGCAGCAGGATCTTCAATACTGAAAAAGAAGAATTGCTGGTATCGTTTCGACAAGCCAGGCCTAAATCAAAGTTAGTACAAATCTTCTTGGTGGTGTTCAGGCAAATCTGACCAGATATCGCCCTGGATGTTATCGAAATCAAATTCAGATGTGGAACCCATGTTTCTTGCTCGTGGTGATTTCTTGATAGTTGATGGTTTTGAACAGCAAGCGTAGTGATATCAAATAAAAATTGTTCGTAACTGTCTTAAGAGTGACACTTTATAGCTTACTATTCTGCGGAGTAAACTCTGCAACCGGCGTTCAGGATACCCTTGCACAGCGTAATGACACTAGGGAAGTGAAAATATAGTATATCGTTATTTCGGTTGGAAAAATGCAACAGTTGGGGTAAATCCATTATACCCTCAGCTGTTACATTACTTTTGCTTGCGGAATGAATAGTCGACAATCAATACTAGTCGTGTACGCCTCGAAAACTCTTTCCCTTCTAGCCGGCAGCCAATTGGAAAAGAAAATGCAACAAATCTGCAAAGTGATGGCCCGGTCAACTATCAAGCCGGGTGATCCCAGCATAATTCCCATGGAATGACCTTGTACATGACTGTGGAGTCTATAGACCTCCAGACATCCAGAGTGTAGAAATTGGATGCTACGCCATGAGACTCATTGCATCATTAAGGATCTTAAGCTTTTGACAGAGATGTGTCGATAAATTTTTCCAAGTGCGTTGTCAATCTACCATATGGCTTGTACTTGGTCCATTTGGAGCCATCATGACGAATTGACCGTTGATGTCTTTTGTGGCTTCATGACTGCCGCCGGACGTGGAAAGCATATTTATGTAAATGATTCCCTTTGCGACCTGATTGACGAATGCGGGCATCCAGTTCAGATCGAGCTGCCATTGATTCGCAAGGATTTCTCGGTCTGGGGGAGGATCAGCAAAAATCAAGGAGTAGAAAGACGTTTGAATGCCTCCATGGTAAGGTAGCCTTTCTCGATAACGTAGAATTCTTCGACACCGATTTTCACTGAAGAAAATTCTCCCCATTCCTATGACGGATACTTTGATCATGAAACAATTGAATGGACTCTATGCTCTTGCAAACCGAATCTGTGATGGGGACATGTGCCTCAAGAAAGTCGCCGACTGAGGAGAGGGCAATTTCTGACATTTCCGACAGTTCCGGAAACAACCGCTAACAAACTTATCTTCCTATGAAGATGAATGATTTTTTATCAAAAAAATTATATATATAAACGCCGATAATAAGACTTGCGTTTGAAAATGTGTCCTGGGGCTAAATCCAGAAGCCTTGGCCTATAATATGGTAATTCGGGCGTACATGGAATTTAACTTCAGGCCCGCAAAGTTAACCTTGAATGAATAGTACTATTAGGACCCACTACATTATTCCTCCACTGCCGGACACCGTATGCCGGACGTGCACCAGAATTCGCCTCGGGCCGCACACCTTAAGTAATGTGGTGGAGCACATTCTTTGTCTTGACCAATACGCCATCCGAAAACGTTATGTTAATGCCTCTTGCTTGTTCACCTACTCACTCTGAACGGACTACTTCATTTTCTCATTTTCTGATATGATTTCCTCTTGCCTCCAAGGGATTGGTGCAAGAAAACTTACATTTCAAATATACTAGCCCAGATATTTCATTGAGATACATTTTCTTTTGATGCATTTTCGTTTCATGAACCATTTCCTTGAGTGCCTGAGGCAAGCATTCTGCATTGGGAGCAATGAAAACATTATTTTCTTGTGCTACCTGCTTCACGTGTTCATCCAATCAGTCAATGACAAAATGGAGATCATATCCCCCAGGTACATTCTGTATCCTAGATCTGCACCGAGCGTCCGGTTCGCATATCGACATTCCGAGTTCTACGGTAAAGGGGCTCCAGTTGCAGCCCTTGCATAGTTTGTTATGCTCGGCCCGTAACCCGAACAATGCTTACTGTATTGGCATCGAAGTCCTGTCGAGGTTGGAATCCTGCAGAGGATGATGGGTTTAAAGACAGACGATGTTACTTCGTGCAGACCCAGACCCCTTGGCTCGAACCCGCCTCCTTAAACCCCCCCTCCTGTCTGTCGTCCGCATTCAAGACGCGTGCAACATGATATGAAGCTTAATTGGCATGCGATAGTGGCTCTCCTGGGAACCGTTCGGGCCCAGGACATATCAGAGCTCGAGTAGCTTTATAGAGAGGGAACAACACCGATACTAAAAGCGTAAACGGCGTCTAGGTTCCGGCGCTCTCACAGGCTTTGCCCTAGGACCACGAGATCAAATGCGATGGCTGGACCGCTGTCTGTTCTACCACTACGGATAACTATGAATTTGACTAAGCCTTCGATGCCAATAATAACACCTATTGGAAGAGCACTAACCGGGCCTTACAAATTTTCGGTAAAAATTACCAGACCCTCCGAAGGAGGGTCCGCGACTCACTTTGTAGTTGCACCCATTTTGTAGAATTTTCTAGGATTCAACCTCACACATTCAACCATTAATTTCTCCATCACCATGCCTAAAGATAACGCTAAAATTGAGATTCAGGTTGCTAAAGCAATAGATTCTTTATCCCAGCAATCTAAGCCTAATATCGCGAAAACTGCGCGTGAATTTAACGTACCTGAGGGCCGGCTTCGGTATCGATGGAACGGTGGAAAATCCCTATTTCAACGCCAACCTAATAGTCGGAAGCTTAGTTTTGCACAAGAATCTACTTTATGCTAATTCATTGATTACTTCGATAAAGCGGGCGCTGTAATAAATCAGTCACAAATCACTGTCGCCGCGAATTCAATTCTCGAAGAAGCGTATACCGATCCCGCAATTCCACCCCCTAAGGTCGGCGACCATTAGACTCATCGGTTCTTAAAATGCAATCCTTAATATTATCAACGTCGCCGACGAGCCCTCGATATCGAACGAAGCCGAGTAATGGATAAAGGGGTAGTAGAAAAGTGGTTTGAAGAATACACTCGGATCGTCGAGGAGATTAGCATTTTACCCGGCGATATCTATAACTTTGATAAGACTGGCTTTAAGATTAGTGTTAGTAAAGATCAATAGATTATTACTCGAGAACTAAAGCGTAAAATCTCTAATAGTTCTGTCACAAATCGTGAATCCGTTATAGTAATAGAAGTAGTCTCGGCGGACGGTTCTATATGTCCACCACTTAATATTTCAAGTGGTAAATAGATAATGCTACGATCATTAAGGCTATTTAAACTGATAAACACCTCGCTATATCCGTTTCTGGATATATGACCGATGTCTTAGTATATTAATAGATCCAAAGATTCTATAAGTGGACAGTCCGTCGAACTCAGGGTGTTAAGCGACTAGTTTTATACGACCGGTTTAGATCACATTTTACCCGGCAATTTAGTGAAATTTGTGATAAGAATAATAATATTATTTTCTTCTTATTGCCGCCTTTAAGCCACTTCTTACAGCCTCTCGATGTCGGTGTTTTCAGTGCTTATAAATATTGGCATAGTGAGGCTATTAAGTCCGCAACAATGACCGGATGTCAGAAATTCACTAAGGAAGAGTTCCTTTATACGATCACCTCAATACGGGAAAAAACATTTCGGCTACGCACTATCAAACTCGGCTTTCGGTAAACAGGTCTTTGGCCTATTAATTCTAAGTTAATTACTGAGGATTTGGTTGATTATAACCCTTATCAACGACCATCGACACCATCAACTAGTAGCTCAGGCTATACAGACTTCAGCACCCCGAAAACCACTGAGAAAGTGCAAAAATTAAGCTTAGCGTTTAAAGAGAGTGAAGCCTATTCTTCCCGCTACAGAAGTGCACTTGCAAAGATCGTAAAAAGTGCTGAAATGCATACTGCTTTAGTGCATACATTACAGTTCGAATTAGATTCGACTTCAGCTATCGCGGCTGCTCGCCGCGCCAGATATAATGCTACCCGGGCAAGGGCATATGCTACTGGCATTATTAATGCTAGTGAATTAAGAAGCATGAAGTATAAAGCATCTAAATGGACTGAGGCTGAGGATATTTCCAAACGGAAGCGGAAATGGGCTAAGGTCAACACACAGATCAGAAGGCATGGACGCATGCAAAAGAAATGGGGGCGGGTTATGGCTATTGAATTCATGTAATTTAATAGATATTTAATTCATCTCATATTTAAATTGCATTAAATTGATTCATATATATGGCTGAAATGGGTGGGGGTTAGAATTGAATCCTGGAAAAATCTACAAAATGGGTGCAACTACAAAGTGGGTGGCGGACCCTCCTTCGGGGGGTCTGGTAATTTTTACCGAAAAATTATAAGGCCCGGTTAGTAGCTAAGCCACAGAAAGTATCACTATTGATTTGGGATAATAGGACTAGATCGTGAGCGGCTTCGCCATGGTGCTTAGATAGAATGATAAATTTTCCTTCATAGAACAACACTAAGTCTCTTTAAGTGCTGATAATGTGACCTGGAACTTGGTTACGTGTGGAAACTGGTGGCCGGATGTAAGGTAGAAGATATCTGTATTTTAGCCACAAAGGGCCTCATATGTTAGACTTTCAGGCCCGGCTCTAAACTGAATCGCCATCGGAGATATCCAGATATTTGAAGGCGACTTCATTCCTCCTGATGCCTCCTTGGGAGCCTGGGGCCCTACTATCGACTTTCCTCAGGTTCCCGTTTCTGGTGCTGTTGATGCAAACTCGGTGAGGTCGTTACCTGGTCCGCCTGGGGCTACAGAATTTTTACTGGTGGCAGAGGCAAGACACAAAATGCAAACTGGAATAGCGGGAATCAGTCTATGATGCGTCGTGTCGTGACCAACACACAGCATGACATGTTCTGTCCAGGTTTTTCGACGGACGAAGACGCAACAATTGTTGTAACTGGAGGAGCTGATGCAGACCAGACCAGTATATACTAGGGACGCGCTTCAAAATGACAAAATGAACGTCATTTACCGTCATTTTAACGCCATGACGGTCAGCAGAAAAGGCCTGACGCGGCGCTAAGAGAAACTTTATTTTTCTGCCAGAGAAAAAAAGGCAGAAAAACGAAAATACCAAAGCCTCACTAACTAGAAACAATTTGATAGCATATAGAGAGGTAGGTGCAGAATGAAACCCCACG